TGGGACATTACTCTGACACTATAAGAGATATGAACAAGAAACTTTGTAGGTAGATAAATATCATTGGGTAGATGAGCAATGCAAAGAACAGTCACTCTGTCTTGCCTACGTTTGGAGTTATTGCACTTTGAATTTTGTCCGGGACATAACTCTGAAACTACAAGAGGTATACTTTTCTGTGTCCAAAACCTATTCGGGGAGCATCACCCGGTATAACCAGTTCTTGTTTTAAATGAATGCATAGATAATTTTTAACTTAACAAAATGAATGTATAAATTCTTTGTATAAATGTATATTTTATCTTGATAACAGAGAGAACTTGAAGAAAACGTAGACAAGAAAGTCAAGAAGTCAGATAAACAGACCAATAAGGATGGTACAGAATATAAAATTGGTGGCTTGCCTTACTTCAAAGACAAATCTGGGAATGTATGTATTTGCTTAGTAGATAAAGATAGCTGGATGGTGAATGCAGTGTACTTATCTCTGTTTGTTTTTTTCAGTCATTTTGAAAGGGTCTTGGTGTGCCCAATTTGGAATTTTTGAACCCTGATAATTAGGGAAAATTAATTAATTGCAGGGCTTTTTCCTGTTTTGGGAAAAGGCCACTTAGTATGAATTGGGAATAAATTTCGCAATTCAGGAATTTTGAGAATTTTAGAAAGTTTGAAAATTATATTTTTACATTCCTGAAAATGTTTTTAACATTTCTCTGATAATATAATGTGCCAGTTCATTTAAGAAGAAAATAAAGCGTAATATTTTCAAAAATTGAAACAGTTCCATTATTTCTTGGCTGCTGTTTGGCCTTATATCTTCCCCAATGTAATAGGATGAAAATGCCCTGAGTGTAGGATATTTGAGAATTTTAGAAAGATTAAAAGACTATATTTTACAGGCCTTTAAACAACAGTTACATTTGTAATGGTAAGGGTGTGCCAAATTAAAAAAATTTTAAGCCCTGAAATTGGGAAAAATTTGTGGTTTTTGAATAAAACTATAAACAACACTCTGAGGAAAAGATATGATTTTCTAGTACTTTAGAATCTACCCCTTTTGCCCCTGTTTAACAATGTGGTAAAACAACTGCAGGGCACTATGTTTATTGTTACATCTTCATGATGCTGTCTATTTTTGTGTGCTATTTTGTTTAAAGCATGTTCTGTAACATGAGAAACCCTGTTAATTCGTAAAACAGGGATATACCATTTTGGCTGTGCTATTAAGAAGATACAATTGTTAAAAATTATTTTTAGATGCCACCATTTAATGAAGATGTAAAGCTGAAGGAACAGATGAATGAAGAAAAACAGCATGTGAGACCAAAAAGCAGCTGTAAGTTATTTCAGGCTTTTCAGCATTCAATTTCATATTTTTCTTAGATTATTTTTCCTATTCTTGATTTGGCAATATACTGATGGCAAAGGCTAATTACCGCCAAGGGTTAATTCTCAATTTACTTATTTCATTTATTATTTAAAACTGTTCTATTTTCTCTCGGGGATGATAAGCATTCTTTTAGTTTAATTTAGGAAAAAAATTAAACGGTTGAATTTATGCTTTTGAGTGGATTACTAATTTTATCTGTGAAAATTATAATGGATAATATCACAGTGGAAACTATCAAAATAAAATTTCACACTTCTCAATCACAAAACTACTTTTTAAAGATTTTTCCCATGTGGTACCTCAATTTTATTTTTGCTGTTTAGATAAAAGCAAATCTGAAATCGATAAATAACTTAAATTTCAAAATATATAAAAAGAAAAAAAAACTTATTGTGGCCCTTAGTGTTATTTATCTGTAGAATTTTCATCAATTTTTGTCAATTTCTAAGTAGACTTTGCTGTATATAGCCTAAGAATATTGTTGAGCTCGGAAAAAAGATATGAAGAGAGTGAATTAATTACATATTGCCATTTAATTTGTCAAGTCTTGCCTTATCTATATTTTTTGTTACAGTTTGACATGTAACAGATTTTAAGTATCCTTTTAGCTTTCAATTTTGGTTGGAAAAACAATTCTGTGTTGTTTCAAACCAAGAATTTCAGTTATTTTATCTTTGAAAAGTGCATCACATCACTGTATGGCCTTCTTTAAAAGAGCGTCATGAGTGCTATTTATACATCAGAGTGACATTTGTTTCTAAAAATAGAAGATCAGGAATTGCATAGTTAGCTTTACTTATTTGTTGATAAGAGACATTGAGGGGTTTCCTTGTTATTTATTACTTTATAGACAGCAAATTTCATTTTCCACCTAAATTCTTTTGATTTGACAATTATGTAAAACAATTTATCTAAAGAATAACATATTAAACCTTTGAGAAAAGCTGAAGGCCTGCACTTAAATTGTATATTTTCTTCATTGTTAGGGACAAAGAAGCAAAGGAAAGAACTGGTTGATGCTGTAAAATTAGATGCCATGGAACAAGCTCTCAGGCCATTACTTAGCAAGTAAGTAAACTATTCAATCTTGAAAACTTTTATCCCAAATCTTGATCCAATATTAAATGAATATGAAATTTGTATTATTAAGTTACAGAAGATTTTTTTTAAAGATTTTGTCATGTTATATGGCCCAGTATAAAAAGTTGTGTGCTTAAATAACCACACCTACTATACAACCATATATAACCAGTGTTTCTGCCAGAGCGCGTTTTTGGCGCACTATTTTCGGCCATGACGCAATGAAATTTAGTTATTGAGTATTTTGTGACGCAAGAATTTCACCGTCGCTGATTTCAACACGAGTCAGATATACTGACTATAAACTGTCAATTCAGTATAAAAATGTACGTAATGTTTACCGTGGGCTCGACAATAATTTTAATGAGATATGAAATTCACCGAGTCTGTGGTCCGGCATTAGCTAATTTCAACTATTTAATAAACGCTTGCATTTATAAGATACTGCATATATTGAAAGCTCCCAGACAAAATTATTTATTTTGTTGTCGTCATATTCCGCAAACGAATTTTAACTGTCTGCTGGAAAATGTCATCTGCAGATTGACCAATTTCTTTACGAAAAATACACAAAATATTGTTGTCCATGACCCAAAAGAAGTATCAGATAAAAATAATGTTGACAATGACCCTAATCCCCCTAAAGATAAACAATCCATTACACAAGTAAAAATTGATCGTGAATTTCGTCAGGAATGGCTAACAAAATTTTAACATACTTTTTGTATGAAAGTAACAAAATGACATGCAACATTTGCATCAGTGAGGGCAAAGACAATTCCTTGACAAGTGGTTGTACAAATTTTCGCCATTTTTTGGGTCCAAGTATTGAAAACTTTGAATAAATTGCTAAGGCAGTGAACAAATGGATAGAATCCATAGAAAGACGCCTGTTCTCTCGCAGAAAGTAAAGTGTCTTAGAAAATAAAACTTATATTGTTATCTGTTGTTCTTACATTTTTGTTTAATTTTGATGGCATGACCCTTATGAATTTGAAATGACCTCTAAAATTTAATACAGGGGGTCATAAATGACCCTCAGAAAATCAGAGCTGACAGAAACACTGTATAACCTGTCAGAAAATTTCATATTAAGTTAGTTAATTTAATTGCACAATCTCTTTATTTCAGAAAAAAAATTACATCTGCTTGAAATTTTTACATTGTGTGTATTTGAGTTTATTTAAACTCCCCACTGGTTGCCCATATGGGCGAGTCCTACAGAATAGTATTAGTCATTTTAAATTTTGAAGAATAGTGCAAAATACAGATACAGAATCCCCAGTTAAAGAAGCTTCTCTTGGTTCTTTAGCATGCCAAGTGTTAAGCACTCATACACGGGTCCTCAATATTAAGTATCGACCGAAAGACTGATAATGATCAGTAATTTTAGTTGGCCAGCCTGGGAATCGAACCCACGATGTCGAGATTACAAGTCTCGCTTCCTAATCCATTGAGCTATGCATAAAGATTATATATGAACATAATGATTAACCAAAGTAAATTTACATAACAATCATGAAGTCTTGTAAAACTATAGTGACATAGTCATGGATCATTTTCAAATATTTGTAGGCAAGAAGTAGAGATGGAGAAATTGTCAAGATGTAAAAATTCAGAGGAGATCACAGAAGCCAAGGATAGAATAGAAAAACTGCAACAAGAAATAAGATTAAAGCAGTAAGCTCCTTATCTCAAATCTTAACTCTCAAAACTCTTTTCGACATTTTTTTGTCACTTTCATTATTTTAAACCTGTGTGTATTTTATTTTTTCTATATTTCATGCGTGTATCAAATGCATAAAAAGATACTTGCACAAATTAGAACAATGGGAAAAATGTGTATCACACTTAAGTTTGAGTGAAAAGTGTTGTAATGCTTTTCATTTCTGGGTCATCTTGCATACTAAAAATGATAACCGTTATTCTTGAAAAAAACAGGATGAGGGAATTATTCGAAAATTTGCACAGAAGTTATTGATCCAAACCTACATCAGATTGTACAAAAATCTAAAAAAAAAAATTAAAATTTTTTCAGTCTGATCATGTCTAAAAACCTCATTGGAGTCCCTTTAACCAATAAAAGTTTTAATATTTTAGACAGAACTAGAAGAAAAAAATTCATAACCCTGATGCCTGTTTATCTACTGGTTATCAATTTTGATTTTCTCATCTATGTTGCAATCTTATTTTTTCTTCAAAAAATTACAACTATTCAGCATTGATTTACATTGTGCATGTAGTATCCTTAGTTTGAATGATTATGGCAAACTGGGAAACCCAATGTTTTATATTTTATTTTTTGCAATTTGTTAATACAGGAATACTCCAGGTGATGATTTGTTGAAGACCGTTGATAACAACAAGATTGATTTTCTGAAAATTTCATGCTCCAATGTAAGTTGCATCAATTCTTTTATGATTGATATTCGGCCTCAATGACTGATTGGTAAGGTGGCTGCTTAAAAGGCACATTATCCCCTCAGAAACGAATAAAAAATTTCTTCTTCAGATAGGGTAAAAAGAGTTTTAATATTTAAATAATTTTTTTATAGCACCTTAGATGCCTTGCCACCTAAAGATAATAGTGCTGAAAAATGAAATAATTTGTCTTAAAAGTAGCTTAATGTAGTGTTTTGACTTTCAGACAAAATACTTAATCACTTTAACTGTACTAACTGCCTTAAAGGGATATTCAGGCAAAATTATGTCAAGAATATTAAAATGATCGTATGCCCTCAAAATCACCGCTTGTTAAAATACATTTTTTTAAAGTTCCAGCCATGAATTTTCTGTTATAAAAATTCTATAATATTTTGGGGGTTGTGAACGTAAATATATCTTTATATATGTTGAAACAAAAAATTTAAAGACACCAATAAAAACTACCCGAATAGTTTTAAAAAAGTCATGTGACTTGAACAAACCCCCTTGGGAAGTTACAATAAACAATTGTAATATTTGTATGATTAAAAAATTTCCTAAAGTCATTCATTTTGACATGTTCTTTTTACGTTTCCAGAGTTTCAAGAACAAAACATTGTGAAATTTCTAGCGCCTAACCTTTGACCCACGCGGTCAAAGGTTTTGTTTCTTTTACTGTCTAATGTATATTCATTTTGAGGGCATTTACAGAATAAAGAATGAAAAAAATTCGAAACTAAGAAAAAATTTTTTGGGCCCTGTGTTTTCCCTTTTTAACCCATAAGACATTTTTCCTAATTTTGAACTTTTTAGCTTCTAAATTTTGTAAAACAGTTTCAGCCTGCCTTAAAAATAAGAACAGCCCCATTACATAAAATTTCTGTACAAAAAATTTGGACCATAAATTTTTGGAAACAACAAAAAAATTTACCACAGTTTAAAAAACTTTATTTTACTATTTCAAAATTTCCGAAGGTTTCCCTTTTTTAAAATTTTGCATTTTTTCGTCCGGGCAAACTTTTCCCCCAACAGGCACACATCAAAGAACACTTCCATTGTCTTAATTTCATAAAAATCAATTCCTAACTAACCTTCGTAAATTTTCTGTAGTATATAAATATTTCATAAGGTATAGCTGTATACTCTTTTAGATTTACAAGTACTATTTATTTCATGCTTTCCAGTGTTTTACTGTAATATATCAGATGATTATATTCTGATAAACCACTAGTGAAATTTATAAAATATAATTTTCACTGTAGCCGGACGTACTATATCTGACTGCAGATGAAAAGAATATCATAACTAAATGGAATAACAGGCAACAATAAATGCCGTCATACGTAAATTTTGTTTCTTTAGAAAAAGAAAGTGGATATCATCTTACATCATGTTAAAAATTTAACAAAATTAGAGAAAGTTTAACAGAACTATTTTTCAAAATTTATGATGTGATGTCATGATGTGATGACGTCATAAAGGAGAATGCACAACATTATGCGGCAAAATCAGTAAAAAATATTTAAAATCACTTTAAAAGCATGAAATAAAAAGAAAATTTATTTGTTTTACATATAAGATTGAAATATATTTCATTCGTGAACACCATCTATTATTTTTTCACTCGTGAAAATATTGCACCTGGTGTTCACTCAGTGAAATATATTTCAATCTTACATGCAAAACAAACAAATATCCTCTATATAATTATATATACACATGTGTATATATATAGACCAAATAATTGACTCTTTATTTTAATTCAGACTTTTAACCTTTTACCCCATGAGCATATTGCGAAAAATGGCCGTTTTCCTTGAAAAGCCTCCTGTAACAAGTTCAAACTGCTATGAAACTATGAAAAATGCTTCAATACTAATGAAACTTGGCACAAATGTTGACTACACCATAGCCTCTGTAACAGCATGCTCAATGGTAAATTTCCTGTTACCATGGCAACGGGGGGACGTCTCCAAATTGCCAAAAATCACTATTTTGCATTGTTTTTTTCCATCAAAAGCATTGTTTTTTTCCATCAAAACTGATTTCAAAGTGCTGCAACTTCTCAATGAATTGAGATAGAGTAAAAGGCTTTTCAGCGTCGGTTACTAGTTACCCTAAAATCGACCTGAGGCCATTTTTAGCCTGTCACATGTCCAAAATTTTCTTGGCAATGAGGGGGACTCTGCCCTCCTTCTGGCAACCCCCCAAACAGAAGGGGGCACATCCCCCTTCTGGCAACCCCCTGATGTAATAATTGGATGGGGGACGGCGCCGAAAAAGTGCTCACTTTTTTTAACAACATTTCTCAAACGAAAAACAGTGTTTGGGGCCTAAATAGGGCATTTTTTCACTGTTTGAGGCCTCAAAAAAAGGGGGGGGGGGGGGGGGGGGAAAGCCGTCGAAACATGCTTATATAAGGGAAAAGGTTAACAAAAAATGATGAAAAACCTTGGAATTACACAAAAACTTGATTTTCCATGTTTACACATGCCCTAACACCGAAATTTGGTGAAAAGTTGTTGTTGTTTTTTGACATTTTTTATTTTTTTAATTAACCTTTTACCCCATGAGCATATTGCGAAAAATGGCCGTTTTCATTGAAAAGCCTCCTGTAACAAGTTCAAACTGCTATGAAACTATGAAAAATGCTTCAATACTAATGAAACTAGGCACAAATGTTGACTACACCATAGCCTCTGTAACAGCATGCTCAATGGTAAATTTCCTGTTACCATGGCAACGGGGGGACGTCTCCAAATTGCCAAAAATCACTATTTTGCATTGTTTTTTTCCATCAAAACTGATTTCAAATTGCTGCAACTTCTCAATGAATTGAGATAGAGTAAAAGGCTTTTCAGCGTCGGTTACTAGTTATCCTAAGATCGCCCTGAGGCCATTTTTAGCCTGTCACATGTCCAAAATTTTCTTGGCGATGAGGGGGACTCCCCCCCCTTCAAACCCCCCAAACAGAAGGGGGCACATCCCCCTTCTGGCAACAGTGTTTGGGGCCTAAATAGGGCATTTTTTCACTGTTTGAGGCCTCAAAAAAGGGGGGGGGGCAAAAAGCCGTCGAAACACGCTTATATAAGGGAAAAGGTTAATTGTTTATGAATCAGAATATGGAACCTTATACATTATACATGTAGATGAAAGTCTGGCTGGTTAAGAAAAACAAAAGCTTGATTGTCACCAGTGATAACGTGTTTGATTATATTTTTTATGTCAGAAAAATAACATAGTATATAAACGAAATCATTGTACCCTGTCTTTTCGAGCCTATATAATTCAGTGTGTACCCTGCCTTGAGATTTCAAGCATGTGTTTGTCACGATTCAGAACTGTTCACTATTGAGGGGAGAAGATGTGTAAGCATGTAGCTCAGTCGGTACAGCCGCGGTACGGTATTCCGAAGGTCCCGGGTTCGAGTCCCGGTTAGGCTGCACATTTTTCTCACACTGTGACATGTTACTTCTGATCACTGTACCTTACATGGGAGCCTATATATATTATATCTTGAATCTTACTTGCGAAAACAAGAAGTAGACATGTTTATATTCTGTGAATAAAATTGCAAATTAAAATGACCTACTGTTTTTGATAGGGAAGATTTGTAAAAAACAACATATGCTGTCTTGTTTTAGTTTAACAATAAATTCAGTGCTTCGGAGTGCATGAGTATGTGGAATGCAGTTTTACAGCCTGGCATTAACCGCAGCAAGTGGACAGCTAAAGAAGAAGAAGAATTGATCAAATTGGCAGAAAAATATCAAAAAAGAAATTGGGACAAAATTGCTGAGGAGTTAAAGGTTTGATGGCATATTGTAGCACATTATTTGGGAAAAGATACAAATTTTGCAAGTGCTGTTAAACAATACTGTAAAACCAGAATTTTTTGCAAGGCATTTAATTTGATAACTTGAAGATCGCCATGATTGTTTGTGTAGGTTTTATGCAAAATTTTATCACAATTTTTGGTCATATGAGCCGCGTCACGACAAAACCAACATAGTGCGTTTGCGACCAGCATGGATCCAGACCAGCGTGCGCAGTTTGATCAGGATCCATGCTGTTCGCTATCAATTCTTTACTTGTTTTAGAGTTTGTAAGCGAACAGCATGGATCCTGATCAGACTGCGTGGATGTGCATGCTGGTCTGGTTCCATGCTGGTCGCAAACCCATTATGCTGGTTTTGTCATGGAGCGGCTCATATCTTTTTGATTGGTGCACGGAACTGTACAGTTCCATAATTAGAAGTTGGAAATATTCATGTAAGAAATTCAGCAGATAACAGGTTTAAATTGAACTATAAGTAATGATTTTCTTCTTAGATTAGGCATCATGGTGTTAATTCTTATTATTTTATTGTCTTTCAGTCAAACAGAACACCCTACCAGTGTTTGCAGCATTTTCAAGAAAACCATTTCGCCAGTGTTCCCATGTAAGAACCAGTTCAATTACACGTTTAAACTTAGGGCTTATAATAAAATGTCTCACATATACTTAGGACTATTAATTATTGCAAGGGTTTATTAATGATTGATCAGTTTTTAGGGCAAAATTTTGGCCAAAATTCTTCTTCTTCCCACTACTCACTACTGTAAGTTCGAGTTACGTCCGTGTCTTCGAATAACAGAGCATAAGTCATTCTACTTAGATGCCCATTGGTGACTGAAATAATGCACAAAGGGGCACCTGAGGTCTTCTCCCACTGGTAAAGCTGGAAAGTTGCCATATGACCTTTACTGTGGTGCAAAGGTATACAAAAAAAGAGAAAAAATGCGAGGTAAAGCAAAAAAAAGTCTTATTAATGATTGTTCTTTTTCAGTGATATATTCACAATCTTTGATTAATTGTCTTATGTTTGTAGTGAGTGGACAGAGGAGGAAGATGAATTACTGAAAGAAGTAGTCGAGACTTGTACATTTGGTAAAGGTAGAATCAAGTGGCATCAAGGTGGGTATTGTAGTAAAATGAAGTTTAAAACTACTTGATTAATTAGTACATACATCTTCCATACAAATGAATATGGAGATAAGTTATATATGGTAATAAGTAAATGTGCTATGTTGTGGCCACTAAGATGAGTGGTTTTGGCTGTTGACTTCAAATCACTTTTTCTCTGATAGCTGTTGGTTTGCATCTTGTCAGACTTTGAATTTCATCATGTGAGGAAGCTATTCAGTTAGCTTATGAAAGGTTGGTGGTTCGACTCGGATTCTCACTCTGCTGGAAATAATGTGCAGTGGTTCAGCTGAGGTCTTCCTCCACCTAACAAAGCTTGAAAAGTGGTCATGTGACTTTTTTAAACAGGGTAGGTGTGACTTAAACCCAACAAACAAAATGTCTTGTACAAATTTCAACATACAGATTATATCAGTAAGAAAATGAAATTTGAGAATATCTGATTTAATGTTATTTCATAAATGGTATAGCCACATGTAAAAAAGTAATAGGATTGATTTCATTTGAAAAATAAACCTGTTTTCATGTATTTAATTCTTTGCAATCGCTACTATCTTATATAAAAGACACTAAGGATTTCCTTACTTTATTCAAGGACTGTAGATTAATGCCATGTAGTTACTCCATTATGCATTTTCCTATATGATGTCACAATGCTCATGTTGAAAATAATTATGCCCCCATTTCGAAGAAAAGGGGGTATATTGCTTTGCACTTGTCGGTCCGTCTGTCTGTCGGTCTGTCGGTCCGTCGGTCCGTAGACCAAATGGTTTCCGAGTGATATCTAAAGAACCCTTAGGCCTAGGAACTTCAAACTTGGTATGGTGATTGGTCATGACAAGTAAATGACCCCTATTGATTTTGGGGTCAAGGGGTCAAAGGTCAAGGTCACATTGACCTTGTAAGCAAAAACAGTTTCCGATCAATAACTAAAGAACCTTAAGGCCTAGGAACTTTCAAACTTGGTATGGTGATTTGTCATGATCAGTAGATGACCCCTATTGATTTTGGGGTCAAAGGTCAAGGTCACATTGACCTTGTAAGCAAAAACGGTTTCCGATCAATAAGTAAAGAACCTTAAGGCCTAGGAACTTCAAACTTGGTATGGTGATTGGTCATGATCAGTAAATGACCCCTATTGATTTTGGGGTCAAGGGGTCAAAGGTCAAGGTCACATTGACCTCTTGGGTAAAAACGGTTTCCGATCAATAACAAAAGAACCCTTAGGCCTAGGAACTTCAAACTTGGTATGGTGATTGGTTTATGATCAGCAGATGACCCCTATTGATTTTGGGGTCAAGGGGTCAAAGGTCAAGGTCACATTGACCTTGTAGGTAAAAACGGTTTCCGATCAATAACGAAAGAACCCTTAGGCCTAGGGACTTCAAACTTGATATGGTGATTGGTCATGATCAGTAGATGACCCCTATTGATTTTGGGGTTAAGGGGTCAAAGGTCAAGGTCACATTGACCTTGTAGGTAAAAATGGTTTCCGATCAATAACGAAAGAACCCTTAGGCCTAGGGACTTCAAACTTGATATGGTGATTGGTCATGATCAGTAGATGACCCCTATTGATTTTGGGGTCAAGGGGTCAAAGGTCAAGGTCACATTGACCTTGTAGGTAAAAACGGTTTCCGATCAATAACGAAAGAAACCTTAGGCCTAGGAACTTCAAACTTGGTATGGTGATTGGTCATGATCAGTAGATGACCCCTATTGATTTTGGGGTCAAAGGTCAAGGTCACATTGACCTCTTAGGTAAAAACAGTTTCCGATCAATTACTAAAGAACCCTTAGTCCTAGGAACTTCAAAACTTGGTATGGTGATTGGTCATGACCAGCAGATGACCCCTACTGATTTTGGGGTTAAGGGGTCAAAGGGCAAGGTCACATCGACCTTGTAGGGTAAAAATGCTTTCCGATCAATAACTTAAGAACCCTTAGGCCTAGGGACTTCAAACTTGGTATGGTGATTGGTCATGACCAGCAGATGACCTATTGTTTTTAGGGTCAAGGGGTCAAAGGTCATGTAACATTGACCTTGTAGGTAAAAACGGTTTCCGATCAATTAACTAAAAACGCTTAGGCCTAGGAACTTCAAACTTTGTATGATGATTGGTGGTGACCAGCAGATGACCCCTATTGAGTTTTGGGTCAAGGGGTCAAAGGTCAAGGTCACATCGACCTTGTAAGTAAAAACGGTTTCTGATCAATAACTTAAGAACGCTTAGGCCTAGGAACTTCAAACTTGGTATGGTGATTTTTTCATGACCAGCAGATTACCCCTTTCGAATTTGGGATCAAGGGGTCAAAGGTCAAGGTCACATTGACCTTGTAAGTAAAAACGGTTTCTGATCAATAACTAAAGAACGCTTCGGCCTAGGAACTTCAAACTTGGCATAGTGATTGGTCATGATCAGCAGATGACCCCTATTGATTTTTTGGGGTCAAAGGTCAAGGTCACATTGACCCTTGTATGTTAAAACGGTTTCCGATCAATAATAAAAGAACCTTAGGGCCTAGGAACTTCAAATTTGGCATGGTGATTAGTCATCGTAACCAGCAAATGACCCCTTATTGATTTTGGGGTCAGGGGTCAAAGGTCAAGGTCACATTGACCTTGTAAGTAAAAACGGTTTCTGATCAATTAACTAAAAAAATGCTTAGGCCTAGGAACTTCAAACTTTTGTATGATGATTGGTCTTGACCAGCAGATGACCCCTATTGAGTTTTGGGTCAAGGGGTCAAAGGTCAAGGTCATGACCAGTAGATACTTGATAACCCTTATTAATTGTTTGATCACTGGGTCAGAAGTCATGCATAATTACCTTATCACATGAATAATTGGCTGCTGATAGGGGGCATACATGTTTTACAAACATATCTTGTTTCTTTAAGTGTGTTATATATTCATATATCTCCATAATACATTTTACCTAAGTGGTGTGTATATCTGATAATTGTAATGATATTATATGCTATTCATTTGTATTCAAATACATGTATAGTGAAATAAAATGTTTCTTCCATTGAAATAACAGTAATCCAGATATAATTCACAGTTTTGTTTCAATAATCTACTGAGAAGTATGTAAAATTAAAAATTTTCATAGGGATTAGATTTATAGCTAATTTCATAAGTTAAAGAATTTTTTAATTTAAGTATTGTAATACCCTATAGATTGAACAGAATTCAAAGTAGAAATTCGCGAAATAATAAACCTTGCCAATTAGTTAAAAATATTGATAATTTGATAACGTAAAATTTTTGCCTCACAAAAATGTCTAGTTTTACAATAGAAAGCTACTACAGGATGTATGGAAATAATACATAAAATAAGTCAATGAAAACGAAAGTGCCTAGCATTATTAGCCTTAAGAAAATTTTAACACTTACTTATTGTTGTTATGTTACTTAAACCTTTTTTTAATAATTGAAAGTTTGTGCAGAGTCAACTTTGCCTATTTTTAAAAAATATAATAAGAAAAATACATATAGTGCTTTGCAAATGTATGATTTTGTGTGTATTATTTCAGTACACTGTTAGTATATCAAATGTCATAGTATTTGTTTACATATCTTGTATTATAACTGGAATTATTGTTTGCATTGAACAATAAAGAGAAGAAAAAAAACTAAATTAGTGCACTGTATATGATATCAGTATTTTTTACCATGCCTGTTTGTTCTCTCAACAGTTGCCTACTATATTGATGGTAAGAGTGCGGACCATTGTAGGTCTAGATGGAACAGAATTGATCCAAATAGAACTTTAGGCAGATGGACAAAAGAAGAGGATATGGTAAGTGCAAGTCACATACGACCGTTTGCTCATCTTTATTACTTGTCGGGATGGAGAAAGTTTTATCGGGTGAGCAAGAAAGTTTGTCTTTGGGAGCTTTAGTGAGCCAAGATTCACTTTTGTAGCGAACCGGATAAACCTACTCCTATCCCAACATCAACCATATATTTGATTTATCCTGCTTTGATCATGTTTTTAGATTAGTTAAATGGTTTCATGTTTACTTTTCCACGATATAACAGCGTCTATATGTAGTTTTGTTTTGCTGCTAACCATGTGATGTCATCATATGATGTAATGACTTGAGATTTCATATGATGTAATGACTTGAGTTTTCATATGATGTAATGACTTGAGATTTCATATGATGTAATTAATTGAGATTTCATATGATGTAATGACTTGAGATTTCATATGATGTAATGACTTGAGATTTCATATGATGTAATGACTTGAGATTTCATATGATGTAATGACTTGAGATTTCATATGATGTAATGACTTGAGATTTCATATGACTTAATGACTTGAGATAGATAAGTTTATCTGGCAAGGCTTTATCCAGCTGATAATATAGACAGTAGCAGGATAAAGTTGAGCTTTTATGATCGCTCCCTGTGTCGTTGACATGTTCTTCATGCAAAGACTTTCATGTAGCCCATTATCCAAACATTTTAAAAATTATCAACATAAAACTTGGAATATTTGCATATCATGACAAGGTGCAGTTTTTTAAACAAGGGGCTAATTCTGAAAGCTATATTTTTGAGTTATGGTCCTTTTAAACGCCACAGGTCTCCTTTTGTTACTGTCATTAGCAAATCTTTTCTGGATCGTTCTTAGACATGTAGACCCACCTACAGTATGAAATGACCAAGCTTCTTTCAAACTTAATGCAGAGCTTGTTTTGTTATCATATTATATCCTGATTTCAAAACAATTTAGATACTCCAATTTAAATTTCAGCAACTGTTAGATGGTATACAAATACAGGGAGGTGTCTTGAATTGGGCAAAGATACAGGAGCACGTACCTACAAGATCTGCAAATCAGTGCAGGGAGAGGTAAACTGAATCACTTTGACATGTCAAGGTCATGGGGACATGTTTAAGGTCATGGGATTTTTTTACCCTTTGGCAGTATAATGGTTCTTCTAGTATTTAAAAATTGATGTTCATTGATTGACATGTCAAGATCATGGGATTTTTTTACCCTTTTTGCAGAATGATGGTTCCTCTAGTATTTAATGTTTTGATTAATAGTGTCAGGGCTTCGAACCCAACAAGTTAAAAAGAAATTGCTCTCTAAGATATGTCTAAAATTTGCAGACATACTGTTGCTCTTATTTTATATGTTTAATTATTATTCTGTGAAGAAAAGATTCCATTTTGTTTTCAGAATGTATGTTTTACTTTTCGTCAACTGATTGATTGATTGATTGATTGATAAATTGATTGATTAATTTTCTGAAATTTGCTGACATACTATTGCTCTTATTGTTTCTATTTGATTTTTATTCTGTATGGTAAAAGAGATTCCATTTTGTATGAAAAATGTTGTTTTTTCCTCCTCAATTGAATCTGTCTGAAATTTGCACACATACTGTTGCTTGTTTTGTACTAGTTATTTTTTACACTGTAAAGTAAAGGAGATTCCATTTTGTATTGAAGAATGTTGTTGTTTGTTTTGATTGATTGATTGATTGATTGATTGATTGATTGATTGATTGATTGACAGGTTTGTTAGTCGTATGAGTGGAGATATACTATACAAGCAGTGGACATATGAAGATGATAAGAAGTTGTTGATGTTATATGAAGACTATGGATGTAAGTTACTTCTTACTACAAAGTCTTCAGTGACGACAGATTATTTTTCGGAGATGTGTCATAATTGGCAGAAATTGACAATTAAGACATTTCCCCTTGTTTATATATTTGGGAAGAAAAATGCAGGAAGGCAATTAATTGCCCTTATGAAGATTAACGAGAGGAATTGTTTGGAGTTAGAAAAAAAAAAATGGAAAGGAAATTGAAATAACGTGAGAGGAATAGTGACATTATGCTTCATATCTTCATTGTCAAGTTAATCTGAAATGACTGCATATTTCAAAAGATTGACTGTTTAAATGGTTATTATCAAAAGTTTATTTTGGAAATGTTTTGGACAAAATATAAATCTCCTTCAAATATAAGACTGTCTCACTCTTTTTATAAATTGAATGTGACAAGTAAATTCTGATGGATATTTACAGAAATTTCCTTGGGCCATGTGAGTTTTTAATAGTTCATGCAAAGTTTATTATAAAATTTAAAGCAATTAAGGCAAAAGGTAAACTCTTTACCTGTATAATTATGGGCATAATGTCATATTAATCGGTGTGTCAATTATCGCTCAAAATGACTGGAAGGAAAATGTTGTCTGGGATTTGTGAATAATTTTTGTATCTCATTTAGAAAACATAAATTGTTTATTTTTTTATCACCCATGTTTAAATAAAAAACCCTATTAAATTTTTTTATTTTTTTTTAAAGAAAAAAAAAAAACTTTTTTGTTGTAATTTGCTAGTTTTTGTATCTATTGTTGTTTGATGGTTCTGTAACTTTATAATCTCTTTGTTAAAATGATCATTTCAGCGAATTGGGTGAGAATTGCACAGGAGTTTGATGGTCGTAGTGACAACATGGTTCTGTTGAGACACCAGCGTCTTGTCAAATGGCAACGGATGTCGGAGGCATTTTTTAGTCAACCTGTAAGCATTTATATCATCTCTTAAAAATGTAGTTACGACATACAGTTTGTTAGGATTATGCATTGGATCGTTACCATTAAAATGCCTATATAACTCTAATATTTGCTGAACTTTTATAAAATTTAATAAAAATTTTTTATACTAGTAAAATTTAAAAATTAAAAAATCTTTTTCAAAATCAATAAGAAAAATCCATTTTCAAAAAAATTTTAATCTAAATCAGATTACACCAACTGTTATTGCTGTCATTGAAAGAAACTGTATAATTGAATCATAGTATGTGGATTGATTATTTAAACAGATTTTTTTGAAATTTGATAATTTTGACATATTGATAAAATGTCTATAAATGAGAAAAGTTCACCCAGACATGTGCCCTGTCAAAAGAACATGTTTTAAACTAAGCCATAATTTCTAAATGGACATATTTTATAGCAGTGATTACAAAAAAGATGGTAAGAAAATATGATGCAAAAGGCATTTATAAACAATAAGTTTTATGCACAGAAAATGTATTTTACTTAAAGTGATGAAAACAGGTCTGAAAGTCAGATATAGATAAATAATGCTTTAATTGTATTATATTTGTGTATTCGGTCCTTAATTAGGATTTAGGAATGTTGTCTTTATTGGGAAGGGGATGTTATTCTTAATTATGTGCATTTATTTCACTCTGCTGAAATTCCTCAAAATCGGCTTTTCAGACCAAATAGCAAAATGAATAGTTGCAACTTCAACATTAAAGACCTGTTAAATTTATTCGATGCTTAAACATTTCTGTTCAAGAAGATCTTCAAATTGCGAATTTAGCAAAATTGATTCCATTGCAAAAATTTCTGCTTTTACAATACTGTAAATAGTCCTGATAAGAAAATGTGTGCCAAACTTTGTTTGGAAGTGTATGAACTTATTCTGTTATTTGTTCTATTGTAGGTAAAGGTACAGAGGGAATTGAAACACCAGGCATTTAGAATTCTAAGAACTGGCGAGGTAATTTTCAAAGTCTTATATATAGACTGAAATTATATATATAAAAACAACTTGGAATGAGCTCATAGATGGAGAAAAAAAACACACTCTTTTGAACTTACATTATACATGTACTTACTTGCTAGAAAAATTTTCATTAAAAAGATATTTTGAAAGGTTTAAATAAATTTTTTGGAAGTTTACATGTGAAGCATAAAAATATTGATTATTATTTACATTACTCATGATTCACCACACTTGAGCTAAATATTTGTCAAAGTAATTGCTTTATAACAGATTATTTACTGTTTTTGTGCTTCTGTTGGTGGGTGGCTAAGGTTGCCAACTGCAAATCTCTTGCCATCACCGCCATTGGTTTGATCCCCATCAGAGAGGTTTAATTCTTTCAAGTGAGGAAGCTAGCTAGCTTACAGATTGTTATACACCTGACAAATGAAGTTTTTGAGGGTCTTTTATGATTTGCTGGTGGTGGGAGGTTGGTTGCCGTCGTGCAATTTTTTGTCCGGGACATAACTATAACCAAATTGAAAAGGTAGATAAAACTGAATGTGAAAGTGCGTGCATTTTTGAAATGTAACCTTCCCACCCTTTTTTTGGAGTTTGCCCCCTTTTTCATTTTTACACTTTGAAAATTTGTCTGGAAAATTGAAAATTTAAAAGGTACCAAATTAAACTTTGTAGTGGTAGATTCATGATAGAAGTCAGTGCAGAAGAAAACCCCCTTTTGGGGATTTTTTTCCTTTTTTAAAAAAAAAAAATTTTGAAAAAAATTTTTTTGCCCCCCGGGGGGGTTTTCCGCCCAAAAACCAAAAAAATTTTTTCTTTTTCCAAAAAAAATTTTTGGGTTTTAAAAAACCCAAAAAAATTATTAACTGAAAAAACATTTTCGACAAGCAGGTTGGGTATCGGCATTTGACAATTTCTAGTAAATAGTTTACTCAGTGGCACCCTTGTGCCTGAAAAATCCACAAGAAGCACCTCTGATTTTCCACCAGTAAAGCTGGAAAGTGGCCGCATGACCTGTTATGGTTTAAAATCCAACAAAAACAAAAATTTATTTATGCAATATTGGAGGAATCTTAATTTTATGATAAATACATGAATCGTCATGGTGTTGTTCGGTCCAAAAGACACTGGGGCGTCCAAGACGAGATGGTTTAGATCATTGGCTTCAACCCAGTTGCCCCTCACCCACAACATGGGTTCAAATCCTAACAAAGACTTTAGATTCTTTCATGTGAGGAAGCTATCCCCTTTGTGCCTGAAATAATGCACAGAAGGTCACTAGAGGTTTTTCTCCACCAGTAAAACTGGAAAGTCTCCATATGACCTATATACTGTGTTGGTGCAATGAAAAACACAACCAAAAAAAAACCCAAAAAGAGGCAATAGATTGCATGGACAAAATGCAAAAATGACGCCTCCACACACTCTGCTCCAAGAGCCTTGATATTATTTTTTTGCTGTCACTTTTCAATACAGGTAGTGCCGAAGCCAGGTCTATTGCTCCGTTTAGGTAGGAATGGTGCATTTAGGAATTCTGTGAGGCCAAAAAGGAAGCAAAAATACAAGTCAGAAATACAGCGATTAAAGGATATTGGAGGTATGTAAAAAATCAGAAACAGAAAAATTTGATCGATCAACAGTAGAAATACCCTGTACAAAATTGTCCTTTATTTTTGTAATGGTTCTGGTAATGCATTATCACATTTTTTAAAATACTTTTTTACCAGCAACAAAAATTTTTTAGCACAAAGGTTTTAGAAATGCCAGATCAAAGTTTGGCTCGACCTGGGGGTCACTACATTTACATAGACCTAATATCAGAAAACACAATGTCATGTAAGTCTTAATGTGTGAAACTACAAAGCCCAGAGCTTTGATACATGACTTGTAACATTGCCTTGTGGACCTTCACAAAAGTGATATTATGCCCTCTTGCGTCAATATTTACCCTGCCACAGGTCACTTAATTTATATGGACTTATAAATGGAATAAATACATTAAGATCTTATTGTGTTAAACTACTGTACCATGAGGTTAGATATGAAGCATGTGGGTATGTCTTTTGAACCTCTACAAAACTGATATTAATCATGCCCGTAGGGTCAATATTTCCCCCCCCCCTCCCCCTGCCCTGGGGGTCATCTGATTTATATAGACTTATATATTGAAAAGACATACAAATCCTATTCTGTGGAACAATAATATCCAGAGCTTAGATATTAGTTTAATGAATGGGTCTCATTCCTTATTGAAATACATGTATTATTTTTGTTTATACTCAAATAAATTTTCATTTGGGGCATAAATTGCCCTGCCTTTGTTGTGGTGCTCTTGTCACTTGTGTTATCTATAAAATTAATGAGCCGCGTCACGACAAAACCAACATAATGGGTTTGCGACCAGCATGGATCCAGACCAGCCTGCGCATCCACGCAGTCTGAGAAGGATCCATGCTGTTTGCTTTCAATTTCTCTAATTGCTATAGGGTTTGTAAGCGAACAGCATGGATCCTTATCAGACTGCGTGGATGTGCAGGCTGGTCTGGATCCATGCTGGTCGCAAACCCATTTTGTTGGTTTTGTCATGATGCGGCTCATTAATGTCTGTCATGACACTTTTGGTTGTATATTTTCACTGACTGTTCAAGTGTTTTGCAGGACGGTTGACTGCAGATTTAGATGCGGATAATGATGATGAAGTGAAAGATGACTCTGACGATGATGATGAGGAAGATGACAATGATGATGATGATGATGAGGAGGAAATGGACAAACCAATGAAATTGTTACAGGATAGCCTGGATGCCTTTGCCATCTTATACAATATAGAGGCGCATGATTATTTCAAACAGATTGTCGATAGGAAAGATGGTAATTACATATAGACTATAGAACTCTTATTCAAATATGATTGAGATATTTAGTGAATTAATAGAGCCTACGCTGATCTTTTATTTGAATAACAATAGATTTAACCTCAAACATTGATATGTGCTCTTTTGTAAACAAATATGTTGTGATGAAATTCTTATTGCATCCACTAATCTGATAATTAGAATTAGACAGGTCACGGATCTGTGCATAGAGAATTTATTTTAGCATGATTGTGTAGGAAGCTTAAAGCTTATAGACACACTCTAGAATCTGTTCCTGGAACCAACAGTTACGACCCAATGAGTGTAAAATTTCTTGCTTAACCCATTACTTCATGAGCATTTTGTGAAAAATGGCTGTTTTCATTGAAAAGTCTCCCGTTACAAGTTCAAATTGCTATAATACTATAAAAACTGCTTCAACACTAATCAAACTTGGCACAAATGTTGACTGGACCATTGCCCTTGAAACAACATGCTAAGACTTAAATTTTCTGTTACCATGGCAACAAGGGGACATCTCAAAATTGCCAAAAATCACTATTTTGCGTTGATTTTTTCCATCAAAATTGATTACAAAGTGCTGCAACTTCTCAATGGATTGGGATAGAGTCAAATGCTTTTTAGCGTTGGTTACACGATACCTTTTGATCAATCTGGGGTCATTTATAGCCTCTCACAAGTCCAAAATTTTCTTGGCGATGAGGGGGACTCCGCCCCCCTTCAAACCCCCCAAACAGAAGGGGGCACATCCCCCTTCTGGCCCCTTCAAACCCCTCAAACAGAAGGGGGCACATCCCCCTTCTGGCAACCCCCTGATGTATCTTTTGGTTGGGGGGCCGCGCCAAAAAAAGTGGTCACTTTTTTTAACAACAAAAACAAGTGTTGGGGGCCTAAATAAGGCATTTTTTCACCATTAGAGACAACAAAAAAAGGGGGGGGGGGTGAAAAAGGCGTTAAAAGGGGTGTATATCGCTTAATGGGTTAAGGAAGAAATGGCTTGCACCTGATGGGGTTTTAACCCTCTTTGCTAGAGATTCTGAAATTCCTAGTCTGACGAGTAAACCACTCGGCCAAGCCACCACAGCACAGGGGTGCGTTTCACTAACATATTTCCGTTATCGTAACTTGAGTTTGAACTTTACTTTTTGTGTAAGCAGAACTTACATATTTATTTGCATTTCACTAAACATTCTTTTGCTACGCATTTGCATAACTTTTAACGTAAAGTTACGCTCACTTATTGCTTGTGTAAAATGCATGTTCTGTTTAGTGAAGCGCAACTTAGTTAGTCCAAATTTATGTAAAAAGATACGCAAAACTTATGGAATATTAGTGAAACGCTCGCCAGATGTGTATGATTCAGAGAATATAATTCCATCCTGCAAAAAGGGCATTTAGGAAAAAGAAAATATATATATATATTTCTTACACAAAATTTAGATTTTGATCAGGGCAAGAATAGAAAATTAAAGTACAAAAAACATGAAAGAAATTATGAATTTGCATTGAAAAGTGTTTAATTTTCATTTTGTTGATTTTACATCCTGTACAATTTTTTCACAACAATAGTTTGATGTATATTAGTAAGTACAGGTTTGTTCACTTTATATGTTGCCTGAATGAGCGTATACATGTATAACCTACTTCTTCTGCCTTTTATTCACACTAACACTTAATTGGATGCTTCCATCTTTCAACCAGCTGAAAACCATTGGTAATTTTTAGGAAAATTCAAAATATGCACTGACCAATTAGCGGACAGTGCAGACAATAATCAAATGGCACTGTTGTACAGTTTGAACTTTGTCTGCACTTGTGAAAGTGGTACAATCTAGCTTAGGGCTAATTATGTTATCTCTAAGCATGAAATTGAAACAAATTTGAACAAAGTCACAGAGGTTAATTTAATGTTTTTATTCTTTTCTCATAGTTTGGCATTGTATTTAGTTGTTAAAGAGGTCAAAGTATGTATCATTTGGTGTAAACTGTTAGTAATATTGATGTAAATTTCAACAAAGGAATGCAATCTATATTTGATCTTTAGACCTTAAATAATTTTACATCATACAAATGAATAGATGAATTTATTAAAATATAAAGCTATGAATATAAAGCTATGAATATTAAAAAATATTTGTTTCAAACACATTTTACAGGTGACATAGTCGTGCCGAGACCGCCGCCCATCAAGAAGAATAAAATGAACCTTGGTCTCAGTCTGTGGAAGAAACACGATTGTCTTCACAACGTTGTTGCTGCACAGATTGATCTGTATGTAAAACAATTACAGGAGAAGTTGCATGAAGGCAGCGACGGCAGTACTGCCATCGAGCTGAATCTGTATGAACAGATCTCAAAGAATATCAAAATAGGAAGCGTAAGAATTTTAGTCACAGGTTTTATGATGTAAACATATCAGTACTTCTTGAAGATGCAGCATTTTTATGCTCCCCGAAAAACTTCGGGCGGAGCATATAGTTGCGGGATTGTCCGTCTGCACTACCGAATAGGGATAGGGGGCCATCTAACTGTAAACAGAACAAAAAGAGAACAATAAAGTTCATTCCATTACAATAGAATAAGGGACCATTGGCCTTCTATTAAACAATAGAAAATAATAACAAAAGAAATGTCCCCTTATTCCATTTCGGCCGGACGGACTTCAGTCCATCATTAATGTAAAACGGTACGAAAACAGTATGGTACAGAAAAAATATCGGATCCAAAATGGCGACAAACTTTCTTGTACTGGCTGTTTGATCTGGTAATTTTGGCTATTTGGGGATGAAAATGGGTGGCCGTTGGCGGCATTGAGCAGGTGGCCCTCTTATAAGAGACAAATATATAGTAATTTACATTGGGGATATCCGGAGATGGCACACTTAGGCAGGTGGCGCTTTTATAAAGGTGGCCTATCGGGCAGTTTTGACTGTATATAAATGTACACACTGAAGACGCTAAGAAAAAAAAAAAAAAAAAAAAACAACAACAGGGAATTTAAAGCCCTATAGACCTTTAACAACTTTGCACCATTTAATGCTCCTCCCATTGAAGAACTTCTTAAATTTATGATGACGAGTTGAATATCCAAGTTTATGGAACTGGCTCATGTGATATTTACTGAGGCCAAAGACAGAAAGAACACTGTCTGAATATGTAATTTATATATGTGGTGTATGTTTTACGTAACATCATTTTTGATTGGTTGGCTGTGTACTGTGTATACTGTAAAATCAGTTACGATTGGTTTCTAATAATAGATGGTTAAAGTTTAGGGGACCACTCTTTATGAAGTTAAGACGTAGTATAAGACGTATCCCTGTCTTTTGACTGTCAACTGCAACATGTGGAAATTAGGAGTCATGTAATATGCTTTATATCATGAAAGTTTTGGAAACGTTCTTTTGCAGAAGTAATGGTAAATACTGGTTTGATATCAAAGAAAGCCATTTAAGGGGATGATTGCCAAAATATTACCAAAAGCATACGTATGCCAAAAGTATGTTGAAAATCGCAAAAAAAAAATCAGATAAACAAACAAATTAACTAAAGTCCACTCAATTTTATGTATACACTTTTTCCAGCTATTATGTTTTTGTTTTATATTTTCTAGGAAGACAAGAGGCAGATGATAGCAAAAGCTTTCAAGGGAAAGAATCCATGTAATTTGTCTGTTCGAGAACTTCTCAATATCTCTAGATGTATAAAAGGTACGACATTTATCTCTAGCCCGCTGGAGCCATAAAACTGTTTGACCTTTGTCATGAGAACAGCGCCAGGTCAACCTGCTCAGCTATACAGTCTGACCAGGTTATATACTGTTGGTTGCTGAATTATTGTATTCTGATATTGATACTCCGAAAACTGAGAATGGACTGTTCCAAATTCAAAGCAGGAAAAGTCCATTTCACAAATTCAGCAGGTTGCAGGTTTAAGTTATAGAGCTCTATAAAATTGTATCAGAGTAAACTTGGATAAAGAAGAACACATTATAGTCTTGCACTAAGAAGTTGATCTACTATGTATATGTGATCTTAAATGTGTTGTCATTTCTATAGACTTCTTTTTTACAAGTCTAAAATAAGCAAATGGAAAATTTCTTGTATTGTGGGAAAAAAATGGCAGCCTAGTGGTTAAGGTGTGTGCCTCTTAACCCAAGCATCATTGGTTTGAGTTGTATTAGAGTCACGAGCAGGTTTTCTCATATGTCACCAGTACTGGTTAGTCTTGAGGGTGGTTTAGATAAGCTCAAAGTTCACTTCATATGTCAGCTTAAAAGAATAATATTTAGACTTGGTATAGATTAAGCTCTACAGAAAATAAAGTGATTTTACTTAACAGGAAGTAATTGTTTAGCAAAGTAAAAATGTTAATAAGTACATTGAAAAATCCAAATGATTTTTTTACATCATTGAAGACCATGGTAAACCACCAAAAGATGCCAAACATTATGACGTGGAGCCATGGGAGGTGGAGACAAGTGAGGAGGAGAAAGGGGCGGAGACTTCATCTGAAAGTGAAAATGAGGAGGACTTTCAAGAAGAAGAGGAGGAGCCTAAGAAAAAGGTATGAGACATATTAATGATACATTCTTTTTTTAGAATGAGACGTTTTGAGAAACTATCATAAGTCTGTGAAAGTTTGATATAGTTTCCGTCACTTAACCAAGTGCAAATATGAGTGGCTGTATGGCTGAACGGTTAACACTTTGGACTAATAATGTAATGATTGCTAGCCACATGGGTTCAAACCCCGTCAGGGCCAAGTCATTATTTCCTTGAGCAAGAAACTTTGCACTCATTGCTCAGTACTGGTTGGTTCCAGGAACAGATTCGAAAGTGATAAGATTATTGCAATCCTACACAATCGAACTAAAATAAATTATGTGGTTTACAAATAAATTATGTGTAAACCAAACTGCATATAAATAATGATAATTGATAAAGCTTATGCTGCAAACAACAATATTGCAACTGTCATGCAATGGAAAATTGGGTCTGAATCCAAGCAAGAATATTTGTTGGGTTTTTTTAACTCCACTTTTGAAAGAATAGGTAGAGCTATTGTTATCACCCAGGTGTCTGCATCACACTTTGATTAAGTTTTTACATGTTGGTATCTTCAAAACTGCTAAGGAAATTGGTTGAAACTTCTTACACTTATTTGAAAGCATAATCGGGATCAATGTATAATGTCCATAACTTGAATTTTATTCTGAATTTTGGCCCTTTTTGGACTTAGTAATTTCTACTTTATCCATGCTTTGCTATCAAGCACTGAGAATAGGTGAGCAGACATGTTACCAAGAGATCTGGTTTTTTTTTAATCAATGAAGTTTTGAGATATCTATTTTTGTCAGAAATATGTAAAATTTAAAATTAAGAACATGTCACATTCAGTCAGTTAATCAGAAGTCTGTGTCCGGATCCATGACGCTCTAGAATGTTATTTTCCTTCTTCAGAACCAGAATTTAGCCTTGGATATAATATATATAATGAAAAATTCCTTCAGTCAAACCTGTATTAAAGTCCACCTCTGAATAAGGATAACCCAACAAATTAAGGCCACATTTTGATTGCCATTCATTGAAAAAATGGAATGGAATAATCTCCAAATAAAGACCACATACATATAAAGACCATATTTTGTCTCTCCTTTCGCTGGCCTTTACTCACAGATTTGACTGTATAATTATTCAGCATATAAGTTTATTGAAAGCAGATTGTCAAGATGCATTTTGCAAGTACAAAATGCACATTGACCTTGTACGTTAAAACGGTTTGCGACCAATAACTCAACAACTCCAGTTGCTTTGGTTGATATTTATACCCCCAAAAACGAAGTTTGGGGGGGTATATAGGAGTCACCCGGTGGTCGGTCGGTTGGCCGGTAGGTCGGTGGGTCCAGATGTCCGTTGCATTTTCCTTGTCCGGAGCATAACTTGAAGACTAATGGTTGGAATTCAATATAACTACATACAATGGTCAAGCACATTGAGAGGAAGTGCAGTGCACAAGAAACATAACTCTATCTTGACTAATTACAGAGTTATGGCCCTTTGTTACTTTTCCTTGTCCGGGGCATAACTTGAAAACGACTGGTTGGAATTCAAAATAACTTCATACAATTGTCAAACACAATAAGGGGAAGTGCAGTGCACAAGAACCATTACTCTATCTAAAGTAATAACATAGTTATTGCCCTTTGTTACTTTTCCATTGCTTTCTTTTGTCCGAACCATAACTTGAGGACTAATGGTTGGAATTAAATATAACTACATACAATGGTCAAGCACATTGAGAGGAAGTGCAGTGCACAAGAACCATAACTCTATCTTGACTAATTACAGAGTTATTGCCCTTTGTTACTTTTCCTTGACGGGGCATAACTTGAAAAATATTGTTTGGAATTCAGTACAACTTCATACAGTTGTCAAGGACATTAAAAGGAAGTGCAGTGCACAAGAGCCATAACTCCATTTTGACAAAATACAGAGTTACTGCCCTTTTATACTTTTCCTTGTCTGGAATTCCTTGTCTGCATAACTTAAAACGTACTGGTTGGAATTCAAAACAACTTCATACAATGGTCAAGCACAATAAGAGGAAGTGCAGTGCACAAGAACTATAACTCCATCTTCAGTATTTATAGAGTTATTGTGCTTTGTTCCTTTTCTTTGTCTTTCTGGACTTATTACAGAGTAAGTCAATAAAACTTCATCAATGTCCAACCACATTGAAAGGAAATGCAACATACAAGAACCACAACTATCTTTAATTGCCCACAACCATAACTCTATATTTCCATTCTTTTACAAGGTATTCTGTTACTAGTAACATCCTCATTTCCGAAGCAGTATTGTGGGGGTATTAATCACATTTAGTGATAGTTCTCGTTTTTATTAAACTAAAAATGATTTTGGTGTTCACATTTCAAGGTCTAATATAATATTACAAATTGGCTTTCATTAAGGAGGCCTACATGATTCATAAAATTTATGCATATATTATTTGGTAAAATTTGTGATAACTTTGTCATAAAATTGCTGCACACAACCTTTACGGTCACAATGACCTAGTGACTAGTCATGACCAGTAGATAACCCTTATTGATTTTTTGGTCACTAGGTCAAAAGCCCGTCACAATATCCTGACCATATAACTAATTGGTTGCCTATAGAGGGCATACATGTTTTACAAACATATGTTTTTGATTTACAGAAACGCCCATTGTCTGAGAAGCAGAAAGCTCACCATAAGCAGTTGTCAATAAATATGAAAAATCAAAGTAACATAAACTACCAAATCAAACATCTTGTTCTCAGTAAAATGGACTCCAGGGAGGTGAATAAACGAGTACGAAGGAAACAGTTCTTAATGTGTATGTATTATTGATCTTTTGATATGGTAGTTTAAGCATATATCTTGGATTCTTGTGTTGCTTTTTTTTCAATGAGAACAATATCAGTGAAGTTTAAGTAGAGCTGTCGCTGACTCTGTCCTAGGCATATTTGATAAATAACAATATCGGAAGACAAATTTTGACACGACAATATTTTGACTATTATTTATCAATATCTAACTTACATTCCTATTTTCATGTCAGATTTCAGTCACATATGTTAATTCACAAAATTTATTAAATTTGTATGGTATGACATGGTACTAGCATCTGTTTATGTTTTCAAAGAATTTTTATTATTTCTAGACATTTTATTAATTAGTAAAAAAGAAAATGGATTTTTTTTTTTACAAAACTGTATCAATCAACAGTCTAACATAAATGATACATCCATACCTTATCATTATTGTTGGTAACAGCTTTAGGTATATAGCTGTAGGACACAGTTTTGCTTTATACTGAATTTATTTTAGTTTGATTGTATACGGTGCTATAAGCTTATAGAAACTTTCTCGAATTTGTACCTTGAACCATCTGAAATTAATAAATGATTTAAAATTCTTGCTTATGGAAACAACAGCTTTGCTCGTCACAGGGTTTAAAGAAATTGTTTGAAACTCTTTGGTATAGCTAACAAGATAAAGTTTTGTATTTTTGAACAGTTTGAACTGTTAGTTACATTGAGAAAATGTCTATCTATATCTGCCTCTATTATATGCAATTTTGTCTCACAAAGTAAAGTAGGTGGTTTAAAATGTTTTCAGATCCCAAGTCAATACTAATGAAGTACAAAGGTCTGGACGAAGAAAGGCGAATGAATAGGAAATCACTTGTTCTGCTGATGAAGGTAATATTTGCGTACTGTATATGTAGCTTGAATTTAGGTTCTACATATTTGGCTGTTGAATCATAATTTGTGTAAGTTTGATGGTGTAGGAAGCCAAATGCTAACAGATCCAGCCTTCACTCTTATTTCATATGATTTGAATATTTTTGGAAGGCCATAAAGTTACTGGTTTGTTCTTCTAAATGTCTGTCACTCTAACTGGCTTTCAAAGCACCTTTACAGATTCTTGGCATGTTGGTTATTTACATAAATCTCCTACCTCAGGTTTAATTGCAGGTTGTTGGGTCAAGGTCACAGTATATAAATAACACATGGGTTTGTGGGTAACAGTAAAAATATCATCCCGAGTAAAATACTGTTACCCGAGGCGTAGCCGAGGGTAACAGTATTTATACGAGGGATGATATTTTTACTGTTACCCACAAACCCATGTGTTATTTATTTCATTACCCCGAACAAATACTGTGATGATCTGAATTTGGCAACTAAATCTAACTGTAACAAAATAAGCCAAGAGAAGCAATAACTAAACTGTCCTTACCTTGCAAGTTTTAAGTGCACTGTAGGCCTACTTGAGAAGCTGTTTTTCTTTTATTCTTTAAGCAAGTGATGATATCTACCAGTCATAATCATAAAATAAGATGTGTTTTATTCAGAAGCAAAACACTAACTCATTTATAAGGTTATGATCTGTGAAATCTGATCCTTCTGCATCCATAATATTCTCTGCATGGTTTTTGACAAAGTGCATTTAGAAAATAACAATGATATCCTACAGATGTATGTCCACAAACTCTATCTGTAACGTTTCACTGGTTAAAATTGTTAAATTATCCTTTGTTGCATGCTTTAATTGTCTGCATGTTCCAGTTTGACACAAAATTATTTATATTACAATTACTTTCGTTGGAAACGGATGTTTCCTGTTGACTATTCAACAAAAAGATATTTAATACGCGAAAGGGAGTCTAGGTTGCAAAGAACTAAATTTTATTAGAGTAATAGTTACTTCGACGATGCCCTATCGTCAAAAATAAGAATGAATCGAGAGAGAAATGGCGGCCATTTTATTTCATTTTATTTAGAAAATAGACCACGTGACCAGATTTTATACTGTTAAAAATACTGTTACCTATGTAACAGTACAAAATTCGTAGTCACGTGGTACACTTGCATTAACAGTAAGAATAACTCCCAGAGGCCTATGGGAAATTAGCATTACGAAAAAAAGTGAGGGGTAATAATTATAAATGTATTTTATTCAAAATTTCATCATTGAGTGTTGAAAAGCTGCGATATGATCTATTGTTAGTTTTGTTTATAAGCATTCCCCCCTCTCCTCAAATAAAAAATAAAATAAAAAGAAACAAAAAAAAGGAAACAAAAAAACAATGCAAGTGTAATAATTCTAATTTGAAATCTGTTTGTACATAGTTTCTTTTATTTATTTTTTGGTTGTCATTACAGTCACTAGATTTCAACTCAAGGAAGGCCTATTTCAAGGCTTGGAAAGGAAAGCGTAAACTTTCCGCTCTCGCTATGCTTAAAGCTACGGAGAAGTTCAATTTAAGAAGAGCAAAAACTAGACGACAGAAACAAGAAATACAGGAAGCGGCGAAAAGCGAGACGAACATAAACACTGAACTGAGCGAAGTGTCCGAATACTTGTTAGACCTGAATGATGAGTTGAAGATTAACGTTAATGATAATGCTAACATAGAAAAGATGTTGGCGGAGGAGGAAAATTTGCAAGATCGGCAACATTATGGTTACAATAAGTCCTTGCCATATATACCTCCGAACAGAACAAATCTGCTTGGGATGAAGACTCTGCTGTTGGAACACAGGTCTCTGATAGATCAGGCTGGGATGTATTTTAACACAGATGAGTTGAAGAAAAAACTTTACGTGTTAAAGGAGAGAGGACCAAATCCTTTGATGAGCGTCTTGAATGCAATAGGAAAAACGGAGGTTAGTTTTGTAATTTGCTTCTATGGCTTGCTTTACTTATACACTACACCAGATTTGTTCTTTTCAAATTCTAGTATCTAACATAGTACTAATTTGTGGTATATACGGTACCAATCAGTTATGAATATTAGCATTTATATACATTTTACAGTTTTTTCCAGCAATTCATATCAATTTGAGTTTCAATTCTTACTAACCCTTGAGAGGCTTTATTTTTTTTAATGGATTTGCCCAAGTTTGAATATATAGAACAGTCTATTCAAAGTTTTAGGGATTTCAGACACAAAAAACATAACTGATGTGCTGCCATTTGTTCAAACTACATGAATGTGCAAGCTGGCCAGGCCCTATACTGGTGACATAGGCTTTTCCAGTACCAAAATTGTGAATGTTACGCTAATAGTAATACATTGATACATGCTCTCAGATGAGCTATGATTGATTGTATTTTATTAACCTTAACCCTTACCAAGCTAAATATCTTAAATGGACTTGTCTATCTTTCTTTCTGGACAAAACCATTCATTATTTTTATGGAAAATTTGAAAACATGCACTAACTGACCTATGGAGATCATGATAAGGTGACATCAATATGCCGGCAGATCTTGGTCTGTTCTGCTCATATTGATGACCTCTGTAGGTAAAGGAATAATTTCAATTTTGTCAAGCATATAAAATAGAAATATTTTAAATATATTTATTATAGAGTGCTGCTAGGAAACGAGATGATGACCGAAAGTATACTCCAAACCCGAAAGTGTGTAAAAAGCAGATGGACGATGTTCGAAAAACAACGGCTTATAAGAAACTGAAGGTAAGTGTGTTATACAATTAGGATAGGTGATGGTTTTATCAGAAATAAGATGTAGGAAACTCGCTGATTAAGCGATTACAGAGACTTGAGTCTGAATTTTCCCTTCATTACTTTGGGTGTGAACAAAATGGAATTCATTTTCTTTTATGTGAAGATAATATACAGCTGTCTTAAGAGAGATATGTCATTATGCCCAGATGTTACCCGTAATTGACATTATGCATTGGAGACCTGTCAGGGGCTTTGTTTTTTTTCATGTGAGAAAGCTATCTAGCTAGCTTAGCAAAAGTTTGTGAGTTGTCCATCCTCAGGTGCAAGTTTGTGTCTGAAATATGATACAAAAATGCACCTGAGGTCTTCCTCCACCAGTAAAGCTGGAAGGACGCCATATGACCTCTATAGTGTTTATCTGGTTTAATAGTTTATAAAAAAAGCACCTCTGGCTGTGTATATATTTGTATGTTTATGTAACTAAATGTATCACCACTGTCTGAAAATTTGCAGTACAAACATTTATTAATAATTATAATATAAACTAAACTGTTATCAGTAGTTACTTGGTGGTAAGTTAATTTCTCATGCTTTGATTTCTGTCTATTGTTACAGAAGTTTGGTGGTTCTACTAAGGTTTCCGCTTGTGCCTGAAATAATGCATAAAAGGGCACCTGAGGTATATCTGAGGCAGTAAAGCTTGAAATGCCCAATTTAAAATTGACAATGTTTGTGTCACAATCCAACAATAAACAATCTTGACTGGTAGCTTGTACATTAAATGAGAGAATATTTGCATTTGGCCATGCATAGTTGATTTTTTTGTTCCTTTTATGTTTTACTAGTTTAAATAATCTTAACTTTTAGACAGATACATGGGTGAAAATGTCAGGATTTTCCCTGAATTCAGAATTTTTATACATGTACTCTGAAGAGACATCTGATGTTTGACATAAGGGTATAAACAAAATGGAAAGGTGACAGTTATTTCAAGAAGAAAAATCTAAAGTTACACCAATATCTTGTGTACAAAACATAATCAGTTGTTGTTCCTTTGTAACAGGCAAGGTTTCAGTCAATATTTACATGGCCAGCACTTTTGGCAACCATTCAGCCGCCTAAAGGGAATCCATTACCACTAGCTTTGCAGGATTTCAGACAAAAGTCAGAGGTTGTCGAGGAACCACAAGAACCGGAAGTTGTTCTAGAGACTGAGAATGTTGAGGAAGACTTGGACGGTCTTCCTGAAGAAGAAGCTGTGGAGAAACTTGTCGATAAAATCATGGAAGAATACGAGAAGGAAAGAGCAAAACGGAAAAGGTTTTACCATTTTCTATTTCTATAGATAGTAAAAGATAGTTTAGATAGTATAAGTACTTGTGTGTTTTTTTTTTAAAAATTATTTCCAATTAGATTATAATTAAAACATACTGTCAATAAGTGTAGATAATGGAAAGTAATCGGGAAGGCCAGGAAAGGCACATGAAATCTCCCTTTACCAGTTAAGCTACAAACATGCATATGTGAAAGTTTCTAGGATTATTCCTGAATTCCAGATTTTAAGACACAGTCTTTTTCAACATTAAACTAAGATACATACACTATGGGCATGTCAATGGAAAAGTGATCGATTTTTACTGTAAAGAGTTCTAATTTTTGGTAATTTATATTAAAGTGTTAGCAATACTTAATTTAAATATGTATATTCCAGTAAAATAATATTATGCTCACCAAAAAGCTTGCATAATATTATTTTATTCAACTTAATCAATAAAACCAGTATTGAACCTTTACTTATTCAGTATCAGCAATATATGAAACGGGGGAATTTTCTTAGCGTTAAGTTATTTTGATACAGTGAAGGATTATTTTTATTTTAATTTTTTTTATTTCAAAGTCACTTTGTCTATAACAGTAGAATTTTTTTGTGTCTCATTGGCACATTCATAATTATTCTTGGCAATTTTTTTGCAGACATTTAACTACAAAGAAGCATCGTAACTTTTCTGAGAAAAGGAAAAAAGCTTTTGTGGACAAAGAACGCACAAAAATTCTGAAACGGCTAGGTGAGTTGTACTTTTCAAATCCGATTGTACATAATGCACTATATGGAGAAATTTGAGTAATTATTTACTACAATTATGGAAATTAATTGACTCTGAAATTATCTCATGAATATTTAACATACAATGTTTTTATTAAAGGCTGCATCATTAACTACTTTCTACAAAATGAATAATCATTTAAACTTCTTTTCCTGGAACCAAAGGTGAGTAGATTTTACCACTTGTATAAAGCCAGGGCAGCCTGCTTTTCTGTGTGGTCTGTTCAGGCTCTATGCTTTTATCTAATCAAATCTTCAGTTTGATATCCCAATTATTCAAAATGTACTTTTCCAAACATAAAAGCTGAACAGGTCCATTTTTTGGAATTCTGTAGTTTAAGGGTTAAACTTAAAAAAAAAAGAGAGATGGAAAATAGGTGGTAATAATAATTTATGTTTCAGGCTTGTTTGAAAAGATGCAAGAGTTTAAAAGACGACGACTCGAAGCTGCTCAGGGTAATGTCTCTCCAACGCCTTCTTTGCCTTCTACATCAAATGCTAGACCATCAGCTACATCAACTGTTACTTCATCAACTATTACTTCATCTGATGTAGTACACAGCCAGTCATCAACCGTTACATCCTCAGCTACTGAATCAGCTCTTTCACCAAATGTTACTTCAGCTGATGCTGTACCTGGTACGTCAGATGCTTTAGCAGTGGTTGAGGAAACGGATGCAGAGTGTAAGGTAGATGTCAACGAAGTCAGTGCTCCGTCATATAATTCTACAGATTTGCTTGAACAACCCAGTGTAAATGATACTTCAGCCATGACTAGGTATATATATGCTACATGGTTTCATTGTAACTGGATTTTTATTTGTCTATGTTTATTGCATTTACTCACTTTTAAGACTTATTTAATGGTCAGTTAATACTGTCAGTTTTTTTAGGGATATACAAATTATTGAAATAACCATACCCACTATTAGTGTATCAATAGTCAGTTTTTTAGGGATATACAAATTATTGAAATAACCATGCCCACTATTAGTGTATCAATAAATTTCATAGAAAAATATATAACCTAGGTTCATTAAGCAAACTAATGCAGACTTTACTGTCAATTTTTTACCCTGACTTATAAATGGCCAGACTAATAGGTGACTTATATCCCTTTTTAGCCTCCCTAGTTTTCATTCATTCTTTCTTTTTATCTCCAAATAATGTCAATACCTTTGCTAACAGGGACATAGAAATGTAAGATTGTATAAGATATAGTAATGTTGCGGTGAGCATATAAGGCTCTTAATCTCGAGGTCATGGGTACGAATCTGAATCTCTGTAATGGTGAGATTCTGTTTGGACTTATAGGACTCACGCTTGAGTTGCATGAATGGGACACCCAAAAACAGTCAGTTGGCATGATATTAAGGGCATTGTCTAGGTTCCTGAAGAAAAAAATAGCTTGACATCATCAAAACAAAAACATTCATTGATCATTTAAAGGGACTCCACTGAGGTTTTTATGACGTTACCAGACTAGAAATAAGTTTTCAAGATTAATGTTTCATTTGATAAAGGTCTAGACAAGTAGCATGTGTGCCAAATTTCAGATCATTCGCTTACATCGTTTTTCCAATGGAGTTCAGAATTGTACAAAAACTATTTTCAATTTACATATATTTCTTAATTGACTTAATAATGACCTTCAGGCCCATAATTTAATTAGATGGCCAATTATCACCTTTCTGCCGTACAATGCCTTGTATTAACCTTGTAATGTATTTTGACTAAGAACATATGGTAATTTTACAGCTGTTGCTGATTTTAAGTAAAATTACAGAATTTTGTTTGGAATTTTCGAATTCATAGCTTCAAACATGGAATTTCTAAATTTTTAGCTTTAGACATTGTTAAGTATCAGCTATTTTGAATTGATCTTAAAAGCTATGCAGATTTGCTTTGAATCATCTTGATATTGTTTTGTATATTTTGTAATATATATACATATACACATTTATAATGTTAACAGTAATGTGATAGGAGAACCTATGAGTACCTCAGAAAGCTGTCATGATGATTTGATACCAGATGATCCTAATGCGACACCTTCAAATGGAAATACAGGTTTGATATTCTTTCTTTTTGTTGGGAATTTTTTTTTATAACATTTTTATAACATTTATTTTTCCCTTTGATCTCCCGAAAACAGAAGTGGTTTACCTGTAGCCAGGCCAGTCTGTACTTCTTGTTAGTCTGCTTAGGCTCCATACTGTTCGGTAGCTCAATTATTGTGGTTTTATTTTGAAATCTCTTTAACTTTGAATGGTTTATTTCAAATCATTTCAAAAGCAGGGCAAACCTTTTACATTAATTCAGCATATTATGATTTAAGAAAAGAACTTTATTTTGACTTAAAGATCCTGTAACTCAAAATTTTTTATGGGTTTATATCATAAATATGATGCTCAAATGACGATTTATCAATATTGTCAGGTCCAAATAGCATCATTTGTATTAATGTTACCGAATTTACATTTCATGTAAATAAAGGGAGGTGATTAGAAATTTCTTTTCTATAAAGTCTAAGCCAAATTTTTCAATAAGAAACAAATGCATATATTTTAATGATTACTTATAATGGGGATAAAGATTTGCAGTACATATTTAACATATTCTTGGATGTTTGGAAATTGTTTTAGAAGAATAATTATATTCATATATAAAATTTTACTTAAGTGTTGTTTCATCCTTAAGTACAACATACAGGATCTTTAACTATTAATTCCATGTTGGAGGCTGAACATGAAGGCAAGTGTTGACCATCCTTTGTAACCCATTGATTTTTCATTGCAAACACATCCTGATAAGTGTTGAAGGTAACTTCGGGCTCTGACAATGATTGTTAACCTAGTGGGTTCGTGCCTTTGTTTGCTTATGTGATATTAGTTCTGATAAACCACACAAGCATGGTTCCAATAAGCTACATTGTATAAATTTTCTTCACCGCTCTTAAAAAATTGACCTTTGAACTTCATACTTTGTAATGTAGATGCACCTTGAAAAGTTCTACCTGCCCCATCTTTTTCTAGATCATAAGGTCAAAGGTCACTGAGATCCCCTATACTATACTATCCCCTAACACCCCTATACTGGATGAAAAGGTCAGGAATAGTGTAACTTTTAATAGAAATTTATCTCTTTATTTGCAAAATATGCCGTTTACTATCAATCATTTATTTTAGGAACTGTTGGAAAAAGAAAGAGAGGGAGACCAGCAGGTTCTAAGACCAAATGTTATTCTAACACAAGCCCTGTCAGGAAGTCGCACCGTACAGCAGACACAACCACGGTCGTTAAACTGGAACAAGATTATGAAATGTCACCTCAAAAGGTAAACTAAATGGCAAAGTTAACACAATGGCAATTAAGGTAAACAAAATGGCAATTAAGGTTATCAAAACAACAATTAATGAAAAAAAAACTGGGTTGTTCAGGAGTTGTCTTACTGATAGTTTACAAATTTATAAGTCTTTTGATTGCTATGTTATCATTTGCTAGATACAGGGTTTTCATTTTTATCTGAGCCAACAGATGTGCTAACCACTTTGGTCAAGAGTAATATTTTAATCTACAGGCTGAAAATACAATCAGTTTTGACAGCATTTCAACTGATGATATGGATCGCCAGTCTGTTAATAATGAAAACTCTGTAGGTATGTGAGAGGTGTCATAGTGGTGAAGGTGTGACTATCTGTTTTATAACTAGAGGATCATGGGTTCAAGTCTGATTAGGTTAACAACCTTGTTTCCTCTTTGGGCAGTTTTAGGAAGAAAACTTGAGAGGTGATCATAATTATAACCTCTAAGCTTTCATTGAAAATGAGCTAAAATAGATACATTGTGAATGTGAAACACTAACCTTGCTAGATATCATTTTTAGGGAAATTTTCAAAATTAAGTGCGAACGGTGTAGACTAAACTCAGATGCAGATGTCAGGAATACACCCACTGAGCTTGGTCTGTACTGGTCACATAGATACCAAACAACAGGATTGATTGGCAGTGTAGAAGACGAATGCTTTACTCATTTTCCTGTAGGTGTATGGTCTGGGTTACAATTAACGAATGCATTAGTAAATGACATAAATAAATAGCATTTACGTATGAAATTTCTTTCATTACTTTTCTAGAAGACTTCACATTCCAAGAGGGGAGCCCAGTATACCCTTATGCGCACTTTGATCCCAGATAAGATGGGCAAGATTGCTGCAAAGATTTCAGATTTACCAATCCTGAACGAGCCTCTCCCAGAGATTCCGGTTAAACCATTGAAGAAAATTAAAGTGGAGAAGCCCCCGAAAGAAAAGCAACGGGTCAAAAAATCAAAGTTTGTACGGGATATAGAAAAGAATGCGGATAAGAAAAAATCTGGCCCAAAAACAAATCGTTTGTTAAGACAGTTGCAGGAGTCTGAAGCTGAAAAGGCAAGTGCAACGTTTGTGATAAAGTCTGAACCTATTGACGCAGAAGGTGAGGGGAGTGCAGAAGATACCGATAGTTATAATAGTTTCACTGTTACTGAACTCGAAAATGCAAACAGTATTTCTGGAATGGTAGAAACAAGTGTTGAAAGAATGGAAACTGATGCTGAGGGATTTGAAATAAATGCTGGAAGAGTGGAAACAAATTCTAAAAAGGAAGAATCAAGAAAGATCAAGACTGCAAGAACTGTAAGAATGGCACAGAACAGCCAAGAAAAGTATTATGAAGCTGTAGGTGAAGAACAAAATTCTGTTGATGCTCCAACTACAGAGTGTCCACAAAATAATGGTAACAATTACACTGAGAGTGTTTCTGAAAGTGATAGTGCAAAAAATGCTACTGTTGAAAATCCAAATGTTCAACAGGATAATAGATCAGTTGGGAATGCTAAAGATGTTCGGGAACCATTGATTATAGCTTTACCTGTGATGATCGCAGGGGTGCAACAAGTGGCCTGTATACCATTCTATCCTGACAGTGAAGGGAAAATAACATTACCCAATGGTGTCAAAATAGATGCAGCTGGTGTTTCGAATCAAAATGCTCCGTCCTTGCCAGTGATAAATTTTGATCAACCATTTCAAATAGTCAATCCTAGACAGCAATCAGGCACTGTTCCGTCAGCTGGGCAGCAAGTATCTTGTGTTAATGATCAGGATAATATGATCCCTGATCCTAAACAGACTGTAGCTGCCCCGCAAGGCAGTGTGTCTGTACTCAATCCAAAAGTAATTCAATCAGGGCGAGAAAAGCAAATATCTGGTCAAAGTATTTCATTACTGAATAAAAGTATAACTGTTAAAAACTCAACTGCAACAAAAACTAATGCAGGGCAGAGTAGCTCTATATGTTCTAAATAGTAAAATTTGAAGAGAGAAAAAAAAATGTCATTTAAAATAAATAGGGTGCCAAAGTTCAAGATTTACATAGCGTACAATTTCAACTTCAAGAACTAGTGTTAAATAACATAAATATAAATACAAGAAATGTGAGATACCTGCTTTGTTGATAGAAGACTTTTCATCTAACATTTATTAGAAAATGCACCTCATTTTGTTACAGCAATGTATATATATATGTTGGTTTAAGAGGTCATATTTAAATCTGAATGCAAAATAGTTCATGCCTTGTCTACAACGAATTAAATGATCTTATGCCTTTGCGTGACAACCATAACTCTGTCATATATCTATATATTAATAATAAACTTACACATTTTTAGTTCATAGGAAATAATGGAGTAGTTGCCTGTATTTCTTTAAGGGCTGACAATCCCAGAAAGTGATAAGTAATACATAATGGTTATTAAACATTTAAAATAAGCGAGTGTACACCGGAATCACATATATTGATAAAGTATTTCTAAAATTAGTCAGAAAAAGATATTCTTCTGTTTAAGGAAGCAACTGACTGTGCATTAATGAGCAGCGTTATGATGACAAACCAACATTAATGGATCCAGACCAGCCTGCACATCCGCTAAGTCTGATCTGGATTCATTCTGTTCGCTTACCAATCTTATTACAAGTAGAGAAACTGATAGCGAACAGCATGGATACTGATCAGACTGCGCGGATACTCAGGCTGGTCTGGATCCATGCTGGTCGCAAAGGCACTATGATGGTTTTGTCGTGACGCGGCTCATTTTTTCGCTATCATTTTATGCAATTGATTAAGGAAAAATCATATAGGATGTACATTAAAACAAAGGAAAAACGTAGGATGATGACAGATCTGTTTAGAAGTTTTCTAGTGCAGTGCATTACATGTATGGCATTGACAAAATATAAGGAGGACAGTTTACAATGTTATTATTTTCAAATTTTTGTTTGTGAAATTCAATTTTAAAGTTATCCTTTTCACATTTCTAAACAAATTTTTTTTTAAAGTTCATAGAAAATGGGGAGCTATTGTGATAACCCCTCGGCAACATTGATGTTGCCTGTTAGTGTTAGTTAACCTTCTTGTTTTGTTTGGTCATAACCTTAATTATTCCAAGAAAGGTGTTACATAGAGACTTCAAATCCTTAGTGACTTCTACCTGTTCCATCCATTTTCAGGTCAAAAGGTCAATGATCAGGGTCACTAGTACCTGTAAACTATCAAGGCTTTTCACTTTAAAAGTTTTTTCAACTGAGTTAATTTGTTCATTTTCAAAATTTGAGATCATGATACAAGGGCAGATAATCCTTATATTATATTTTGCAAAGTTCAAAATTCTCTTAACTAACTTGGAATAATTGGGGTTTTTTTTGTTACACTTGGAATGCATTTATAAAGGGCAAATAACACTGAAAGTAACTTTTTACTAAATAATCTCCCTTCTTACATCTTAAATTTTTGTTATTTTCTCAAAAAAATATCAGAGCTATTCACTTCAGACTTGAAATACCTTTTAACTGTCAAAGGTATGTTATTCTGCCCGCCGTTTCTACATATACCTAGCTTTTATCCTACTCTGAGGAAGTTGCAATTGCCTACTCCTTAGACAGTTCTTGTTAATGTTTGTTTATACCTAATTATGAATAATATTGTACTTAACCAAATGATCACCGTTCTATATCAGCAATTAAAAGCTTTCTGGATTCTGAAATTTTATAAAAAAAGAAAAGATGAGTTCTACAGAAAGGTTTTAGTTGTTTGGGATGCTGGTGAAGTAATGTATATGTACAGTTTTATTAATGTAATAGTTTTGAGTTTAAAATAAGTGTAGATCTGAACCTGGTTTCAATCCCAATTTGTAACTGTGAAACATTCAAATTAAAAAAAGAGAAATTAAAAAAATTGTAAAGTCATAATCTTACTATAAACAGTAATTTGATTTCTTGGTTCTGTCATTTTTCTGTCATTTCTTTATTACATACAAAGTTGTTTGTTGTTGTATTAAAGAATTAAAGCATGCACATGGCTTTCTTGCTTAGTACTCCCTTTCCTGACAAATTAAAAAAAAATAAGATACAACTTTTCTTAATTTGAATGTCTGTCTAAAATCGAAGTTTGTGAAAAATTAGGGTAATAATGATGACATTTTAGTAGGTCGAGTTTCAATTTCTGAAAATCCTAAAAACTTTGTTTATGGGCTTATTTATCGTGACCCACACTGGAACACGGGCAACCTTTTGGTCAGGAGACCCTCACAAAGGCGTCAGAGGTACCCTCAAGGTCTTGCAGTTTAGCTACTTATAAGAGCTTATTCTTAACCTTTGGTCTCTTTTAAATGTATCAATCTGTTGCAAAATATTAATTTGTATATATATGTCCATCGTTAGATACCCACGGTTAACATAGCATAATAAATGGTAATGATTCGGCTCTGGGTATCTGATGATAATGAATGTCCAACAGTTACATTCTATTGGATAGGGGGTATGGAAAATCTGATGGCTGAAACAATAAGACCCATGGACAGATGTGATGATGTAACTTTTAAAATTGAACAATTACAAGCCCTTAATTATATAGTAAGTTCAATCCGGGGACTTGGGATTCATTCATGTGAAAAAGTAGTTTGTGATAATCAGTGGTTTATTTGTGAGCCTGCTCATACCTTAAACGTTGCACAGAAGTGCACCTTAGGTCTTCCTCCCCCAGGAAGACTAGAAAGTCACTATGACTGTGACTTGCAGTGTCGTTGAGATGTAGCCCGTAAAGCACAAAGGAGCGATGACCTAGTGGTAAAGGTGTCTGCCACTCAACACAGGGACCATGGGTTCGAGCCCTACTCTGGTCACGACCATCCTATTTCCTCATAAGGCACAAGTACGGGTTAGTTCAAAGAAGAGAAAATGGTGCTTTTTACGAGAATTTTCAAACACAAAAGAACAAATCCACGGTCCAGAAAACGACCATGCCACGCGGAAATCTCACGTACATATTGATGGGTTAGGGCTTTGGACTTTATAATGTGAGAGAATAACCCTCCAATCTTGTACAAAATCGAATCTGCAAAAGAATCAGACACATTGTGTTAAAAGGGCTGGCTTGAGAAAAAGGTGCTTTTTACTAGAATTCATATACTCAGTACACAAAGAATAAATCGACGTCCAGAAAACAATGTCACACGGAAATCTCACGGACATATTGATTGGATTTGGACTTTATAATGTGTAAGAAAGACCCTCCATGTACAAAATCGAATCTGCAAAAGAATCAGACAAATTGTGTAGAAAGTGTTGGCTCGAGAAAATGGTGCTTTTGACGGTTTATTTTCTCGTCAGAATGGAAAAACCTGTGTTTCATAATGATTTAATAAAGAATTTAAAGCATGTTAGATGCTTATAACGTTAACAATTTTACAAAACAGTATAATATTTTCAAAAAATTGTCACAAAAGAAGTTATATTTAAACGTAAACAATGAAAGGTATTTTGTCGTTTCCAATATAATTCATTTATTATTCACAGAGACAAAGAATGAAATTTTTAACCAGTGAACATAATTTACTTAGACCCAAGAGTATGACACGTTCTTTCAGGGATAGATAACTCAAAAAGTAGGACAACCGTGATATCCCCACTGTCATAAATTTCTTTGTCTTTGTAAAAATGAACAAACTATAGGAAACGTATTTAAGTCTTTATTTTGGTAAAAAAAACACGTTTTGAACTGAGTCTTGTCAAGCTTTTAATGTGTCCAGAACTGTACATAGCTTGTGAGATACCCCGGTATATAAATAGTAACATTGAGTATGTGAGGTCAGGTATGCGGCACCGCAGTGAGGGCAACTGGAGTTGTCCTTTTGGCATAGACAAGAATTCAACGGATTAATTAAGGTACTTGAATGGTTGAAAGGCTTTGGTTAAGAATAAGGAATTGAACAATTCTTATGTATACAAAAGGAGCTTTTATGCCCTTTACAAAGAGACATCAAAATATGTTAAGAATGATTTATTAGATCTACTATTGAAATTAAATGAATTATTAATGAAGTACTATGACCGCCGAGACCGAGTCTATGACTGCTTGTCCAAAGACATGATAATTTAAATGCTTAATGTTTTAAATGCTCAATTTCATAACAAATTGATTCAATCGCTGAGATAAATGAATGTGACAAAGAATAAATACCGAAAAAAGAGGCATTGTTTATAAAGAAATGCCAAACAAAAAAATATGGCAATAGTGTGCATATGCGCCCTTTTAAATGACATATTAGTGAGCACATTTCCACTTGTTCCAAGTGATTCCTGGTTATACAAGTGTTCTCTGGTGCGCTGTTAAACAGTCAACTTTCTTTGAGTATTTAATTAACAATGACCATTGGTGTTTTAACTGTCCGTTGCACATCGTCCTGTGTTTTAAACTTTCCTCTCATCCATGTATGTAGGGGCGATGTACGGGGTCGCCCTGTTGTAGGTCGGGACAGTCGTCCAGCACTAACATCGAGATCTTGTGATGTCATTACAGCCCACGTGCCCGGCCAATGTCGAGGGATTTCGGGATATTCAAACCGGAAGTAAGGGTTTCCTTTGAATTCATCAAGCCGTCGTCTGCTGCTCGTTTCATACACCTTCCGTTCACGTGACCATAAAACAGATTTTCGCGCACTTGCAACTGTTGGCCGCGTGATGGAATGGTCATAATTACCGAGATGAACTTCTGCAATATTACTTCCAAATACACTGGTACGAATTTGCTCCTCTGTTCTGACGTTCACACTTTCTTCTTCCATTTTGAAATTTTAACCCTGAAAACAAAAACGAGATTTTTACCGATTCAACTAAGGTACTTCGGCTTAGAAACAGCTAGACCTTTTATAGGATAATTTTGAACGGGGTGAACGTCACTGGAATAAATGTGATGAATAATAAGCAAGTTTTTTCCGGGCATTTTAGGCCTGAAAGGACGTGCTAATGTATAAACACGTCCTGCAATAATCTACCCTAAATGTAAATCAATATAATTATATTTTCATTGTCAAATTCAACCGTGCCTACATTTCCGAGTTTTGTTACCCTGTTTATTCGGGATTAACCGGCGTACAACTTTGCCTATTTCACAAACATACAGGATAAATCGGCGTGTTGAATGGTGTAACTTGAACTAGTGGACGAATCCCGTGGTTTTCAAATATTAAGAGTCCTTTCCCATCAATTAAGAAAAGAATGTGTTGCTTATTTATATATATATACGTATACATGTTTATCTTCTTGCATATTTAAACAGATATATATGACCATTTGACAATCCAATTTTTGTATGCAATTCTACATGCCCCTATTGTTATTTTATTCCATTTTTAAACAATAAGAAAGTAAGAAAGGAAGAAAGAAAGAAAAAATGTAAGAAAGAAAAGAAAGACAGAAAGAAAGAAAGAAAAGAAAGACAGAAAGAAAGAAAGAATGAAAGAAAGAAAGAAATGTTTAATTACAAGCAATTGCCAACGATAAAAAATGTCAACCTCCTTACCTAAAAATAATAAAATAAACAATCAAAACGAAATAAATACATAAATAAATCATAAATAACCAATGATAAAAAATGCATACCTTATATTACAACAAGTGTTTTGTTATTATTAATGGATTAAATTTTAAAAAATGATATATTTCCTTCAGATAAACTTTATTTTCTATATTTCTATTTAGAAGCACATAGACACAGTCTTCATGAATTAGCATACAATAAAAAACAATTCTTTATCTAATCGCGTAATTAATTTGTCTGTATCGAGATATTTGGGTGATACTATTGTTTGTAACCGACAAAATCTAATATCGTAAAATAGACTGGACTATTTAGGCTATTCAAAATAAACGGATTAAATAAACCTACTTCGCGTGCATAATCAAACGGGATGAATTCAAAATATGTATCATTTTTCAAAATTTTCAGACATCGAGTTGATCCATTGTGTTTTTACACCTTAAAGACGTAATATTTGATATGAAATATGTCAAAATATAGCAATGTTTCAACTCCCAAGGAGTGGCAAGGAACAGCCCCCAAATTTCTTATAGATGTAAATGTTTTACTTAGTGGGTGCTAGGATTATGTAAAATATTTAAGTCTGACATATTATTATATATTATGATTAAATATTGCTAATTCGTTTGTTTGCGGATCAATTTTTTAGTCTATATATGTAAGAAATGTAAGATATATTAAAGCCAAGTCACGACCCCTGTAGTTCTACTGTCATACCTTCAGAAGACTTATAAACATAAATAGGAATACACTTGGTCTGTGGGGTATCTCTAAAATAGAGTATTTCATTTCATTTTTTTTTTACCTGTGTTTGTTTTTGTTTTTTGTTGTTTTTGTTTTTTGTTGTTTTTTTTTTTTTTTTTTTTTGGGGGGGGGGGGGGATTCACTCTTGATTTTTCTAACTTGAAACTGTGGAAAAAAAAATTATAAAGAAAACACAGCGCATTTATTATATTTATTATTTGTCAACATCTGACGAAATTCCCTCGTATTCAAGCACAATCTAACATGCACTTGCAGGGATGAGTGCTGGCATTGGAAATGCAATGTTGGCATGTAACGATCGCTTAAACAATATCAATGACATGTTTGCACAGAGTGAGGCCTTGAGAAATGTAATGTTTGCATATTGCGTGAGCTTGAGAAGTGAAATATTTGCATAAAAGGCATTGAGAAATGTAATGTTGGCATAAAGCTAGGCCTTGATGACAGTAATGTTGGCTTGAGGACTGTTATGTTGTCATAGATCGAGGCCTTGAGGACTGTAATATTTGCATAATAAAGAAAAGCCTTAAAGACTATGATGTTGGCTTCAGCTAGGACTAATGTTTGCATTAAGCGAGGCAATGGGGGTTGTAATTTAGGAACCGAGCGAGGACTTGCGGACTGTAATTTTGACATAGAGCGAGGTCTTGAGGACAGTAATGTTGTCTAAGATGGAGGTCTTGAGGGCAGTAATGTTGTCTAAGATCGAGGTCTTGAGGACAGTAATGTTGTCTAAGATCGAGGTCTTGAGGGCAGTAATGTTGTCTAAGATCGAGGTCTTGAGGGCAGTAATGTTGTCTAAGATGGAGGTCTTGAGGGCAGTAATGTTGTCTAAGATCGAGGTCTTGAGGACAGTAATGTTGTCTAAGATCGAGGTCTTGAGGGCAGTAATGTTGTCTAAGATCGAGGTCTTGAGGACAGTAATGTGTTGTCTAAGATCGAGGTCTTGAGGACAGTAATGTTGTCTAAGATCGAGGTCTTGAGGGCAGTAATGTTGTCTAAGATCGAGGTCTTGAGGACAGTAATGTTGTCTAAGATCGAGGTCTTGAGGGCAGTAATGTTGTCTAAGATCGAGGTCTTGAGGACAGTAATGTTGTCTAAGATCGAGGCCTTGAGGGCTGTAATGTTGTCTAAGATCGAGGTCTTGAGGACAGTAATGTTGTCTAAGATCGAGGTCTTGAGGACAGTAATGTTGTCTAAGATCGAGGTCTTGAGGGCAGTAATGTTGTCTAAGATCGAGGTCTTGAGGACAGTAATGTTGTCTAAGATCGAGGCCTTGAGGGCTGTAATGTTGGCACAGAGCAGCTTTGAGGAGAGTAATATTGGCATGGAGCGTTTTTTATTATGCACCGGAAGAGTTAAACGGGCTCTGAGGAAATTGTAGTTTTGAGACCGGATATGCTCAACGGGCATAGAGACTATATTTAATGCTGATGAATAGAACAATTTCTAGATATGTTGAATAAAAAACAAAAAAAAGTCAAAAGTCCCCCCGCTTGTTCACCTTACCGTACTAAGCGAAACTCTCTTAAACAAGCTTTTTATACTCGTATATGTAAGACTCGGTAGAAGACTTTTTAGAAATACTGACAATGAATTTAGATTCCACTTGTAAACACTAATTTTACTACTGATTTAAAAACAAAATTATTTTTACATACCGTTATGAGAAAATACATAAATACAAGATCCTACAACTATTTAAAACATTATTCCATACATTTCATAATACGATGCTAAATAGACTTTAAAGATAGGAGAGGTCTTCTGAGAGGTATTATCTAAAATAGTGCCGGGCTGTCAGTTGACAGGATTTGCAAGGTAAAGTCATGTTACAGACTTTAATCCGCGATTACCAACTATAATGTCGTGCAGTGATAGAGTATTAGAATGGCTGACCTTACAAGACTTTTTTGTCCTGTCTGGGAGATTAAAAATAATAAAAATCTGGCTGTATTTACTTTTTTTAACCATGCAATCTGTCAAATGGATATACCAAAGGCATATAAAATAAAAGATTTAAGAGACCTTTGTACACCTTTGCTTGAAATAGCATGAACAATTTGTTAATCCGCTTAAAATGCAACATTACTTACGTATACAGTCATACAGTATAACCTGTGTTAAAGGCCATCTCCAAATAAAGATGATCCTAAAAATAAAGGTTATCAATTTTTTGTACTTCGATAAACCATAATTGATAAAATTGAATGAGATAAACTCCAAATAAAGACCACTTGTCTATATACAGACCATATTTTGTCTCTCCGCTGGATGGCCTTTATTTACAGGTTTGACAGTATGTTGTTTTTTTTTTATTTGTATGACATTTCAGCTGGTAAGCTTTGGTCGGGTTTGTTGATCGTTAGAACTTGTACGTTCCTCTAAATTCATGCAATTTTTATAAAACAAAATTGACAATGTTTTTATAAGTAAAATGAAAAGGAATTTTCTAAACGCAAACGGCGCTAACAAACCACGTAAATTACCAAAAATAGGTCAAAATAGTAAACAAATAATAAAAGGCTCATACTGTGAAATCCCCCTTGCTCAAGTGATTTATATCAAATCAAACTTCGTTCTTTTCAATGTTATGATATTAAAATGCAGACGAACAACGAGACTTAAATGTGAATTTATTTTTAAATCGTATTATTGGCTCAATTTAATTAAAATAAACAATGTTGGACCAGGCAGTGTTAACAAGAGCTGTCCGTAAGACAGCGCGCTCGACTTTTTTATTGCTTGCCAATAAAAAAAGTTTTTGCAGTAAAAGGCAATACAAGAATCTCTGTATTTTTAAAGTGAACTAGTTGTTTGATACCCTTGAATATTACAGCAATGTTTATATGACATAATTTATGGTAAAGTGAACAAGTGGATAGGAATGAATTTTTTTAGATTTTTTAAGTTTTTTAGTGCTTGCCTATAATACAAAACATTGACAGTTAAGGGCCATAATTCAAATAAAATCTTTGACAGAATTACCTTCTCCTGGACATGTTTGGGAATCATGATTGTAAACAAGTATTCCAACTTTCAAATTAATATCTCAAACAGTTCAGTCAAAAAGTGGACTGGTACTAAAAACTTAACCAAGATTCTAAGTCGATAAAAGGCCTTAATTTTTAAAACAAATCCTTGACAGAGTTACCTTCTCTTGCGTACAGATGGGGGTAATGATGTGAAATAGCATTAAAAGTTTCAAAGCAATATCTCAAAGGGTTAAGGCAATAAGTGGATTTTACCCATATTCAATGTATTTTCTAAGTCAAAAAGGGCATAATTCTGTCAAAAACCTTGACAGAGTTATGTCCTCTTGTCTGTTGATGAAGGTCGTGATGGTAAACAAGTATGGTCAGTTTCAAAGCAATACCTCCAATGGTTTTGAAATAAAGTGAGGTGGTACAAAAAACTTAACCAAGCTCAATACACTTTCTAAGTCAAAAAAGGGCCATAATTCTGTCAAAAACCTTGACAGAGTTATGTACTCTTGTCTGTAGATGGAGGTTATGATGGTGAACAAGTATGGTAAGTTTCAAAGCCATACTTGTAATACTTCTGAAATAAAGTGGGGTGGTACGAAAAACTTAACCAAGGTGTGACGCCAACGCCGACGCCGGGGCGAGTAGGATAGCTCCCCTTTTCATAGAAAAGTCGAGCTAAAAATGAAATCAGTAAGAAGAAAACCAAACTTCAGTGGCGACAAATAGTTTAGACACACTTACAAAGTTTGAAAAAGTCTAGATACGTGAATCTATATTCTAAAATATATAGAGAGACATATTAGAGGTAATATCGCGGTTCTGTAGCGCGGTATGTATTGTCTAGTGTTGTATCGCGATACATCGGTATATCGTTACACCTCTACCAGTTCCGGAAGTGACCGACTATTAATTTGAATCAGTGGTGAGAGACAAGTGACCATTAAACTCAATATCCAAGACTAGTTGTCACAGAGAAAATTTCACCTCGTCGGATCATATCAGCGACCCCTAGAATCCCAGTACGATGCCCCCCCCTATTGAGCTAAGTGGGCGGCTATTTCAAAATGTATGAATCATCAAAGCATTTAGGGATTCAAGTTCCATATACGATGCTGTCCCTAATGGGCCAAGCTCTCCCTAATGGGACAATTAATAGGATATTTTTTAAAATGTATGAATCATTAAAGAATGAACTAGCAAATTGTAGGGTTTCAAAATGTAAAGTCATAATACAGTCAGATAATTGCTCTTTATTCAACACATATGGCACATTCACACTTGAAATTTCAAAAATAAAATTTATATTAACAAGAAATAACAGTATTTTTTACACTGAAACTGTCATGTTTATTCTCACATTATCCACTAATCTTGCTTCCCGGGGGTTAAATTTCAATTTTAAACAACAATCAAAGAAATGTTACAACATTTAAACAAGAGGGCCATGATGGCCCTGAGTTGCTCACCAGAAACAACTGCTTTCTAGTGTTGGATTGTCAATATATTCTAATATTTAAATGTGAGCATAGAATGCATGTTTAAACAATAATTTGAAAAAATGCCATGACCTGGGGTATTTAAGCTTTAGCTTAAACGGGGCTAATCAAATTAATATGAGCAAACTTGATTAAAGACTACTTAAGAATGCTACAAAGTTTGGTGATCATCTATCAATTATTTCAGTAGGAAATGATGTTCAAAGGTTTTTTCTATTTTTCTATTTTTACCTTAGTAAAAGGGGCCAATCAAATTAATATGAGCAAACTTGATAAAATACTACCCAAGAATGCTACAGACAAAGTTTGGTGATCATCCATCAATTAGTTCTGTAGCTATAGCATTTAAATGAATATCAATTTTTAATTTTAGCGGCCCCTAAATGGGGCCAATCAAAATAATATGAGCAAACTTGATAAAAGACTACCCAAGAATGCTTCAGACAAAGTTTGGTGATCATCCATCAATTAGTTCTGTAAAAATAGACATTTAAAGGTATTTCTTTTTTTAGCTTTATCGGCCCCTAAAAGGGGCCAATCAAAATAATATGATCAAACTTGATAAAACACTACCAGAGAATGCTACTGACAAAGTTTGGAGATCATCCATCAATTAGTTCTGTAGGAGAACATGTTTAAAGGTTTTTCTATTTTTGGCCCTAGAGACCCCTTAAAGGGGCCAATCAAAATAATATTAGCAAACTTGATAAAAGACTACCCAAGAATGCTACAAACAAAGTTTGGTGAACATCCATCCATTACTTCTCTAGAAATAGACATTTAAGTATTTCTATTTTTCGCTTTAGTGGCCCCTAAAAGGGGCCAATCAAATTATTATGAGCAAACTTGATAAAAGACTACCCAAGAATGCTACAGACAAAGTTTGGTGAACATCCATCCATTACTTCTCTAGAATTAGACATTTCAGTATTTCTATTTTTCGCTTTAGTGGCCCCTAAAAGGGGCCAATCAAATTATTATGAGCAAACTTGATAAAAGACTACCCAAGAATGCTACAGACAAAGTTTGGTGATCATCCATCAATTACATGTAGTTCTCTAGAAATAGACTTTGGCCAGTTTTTCTATTTTTAGCTTTAGCGGCCCCTAAAAGGGGCCAATCAAATTAATATGAGCAAACTTGATAAAAGACTACCCAAGAATGCTACAGACAAAGTTTGGTGATCATCCATCCATTAGTTCTGTAGAAGAAGATGTTTAAAGGTTTTTCTATTTTTAGCCCTAGAGATCCTTAAAAGGGGCCAATCAAATTAATATAAGCAAACTTGATAAAAGACTACCCAAGAATGCTACAGACAATATTTGGTGATCATCCAATCATTAGTTCTGTAGAAGAAGGTGTTTCAAGGTTTTTCTATTTTTAGCTCTGCTGACCCCTAAAAGGGGCCAATTGTAATGACATGAGCAAATTCAAGTGTGACCGTCACAAGGATGCTACAGACCAAATTTGAAGAAAATCTGTCCAGAAGTTTCAGAGAAGAAGACCATTGGTGATGCATGACGACGGATGATGGACGCATCCCGCTTTGATACTAATAGCTCACCCTGAGCCTTCGGCTCTGGTGAGCTGAAAATACGTACTTTTAACGTATATATATTCCAAAAATCAAATACTCTCAACAGATAACGAAACAATCCACATGCTATAATTGTGGTGCAAGAAACAGAATGTTAAAGTACCATTCATAAATATTCATACAGATAGTCCCTATAATTTCTTTATTTTTTACATATTAAACAACAGAACAAAATCATTTAACTATTTTTTTTACATAAATGAGAACTTACTAGCTTACTACGAAGTTGGTCCCAATATTTGTATTCATTTACTCAAAATGTGTTAGGATAAATACTTAACAATCAGAGATAGGTACAAAAATAGATTTTACAATAATAATTTGTTTGAAAATTTGCAACATGTTCACCATTACAAAAGAAATGTCAAGAGAACATGTTATAATATACATGTATATCCATTTTACTAACGAACAACATGTCAAATTTTATGGAAAAGTTGAAAAAGAATAATGTTAATTTTGAGCAAGTATCTGTATCAGTTGATAAATGAAAGTTTTATGAGGAAAAGAAGGGGAACATATCTATTTTTAGCATCTGTGACCTTGACATCAGTGACCTTGACACAATGGACCTAAAACCTCAACTCAGATATGCATGCAAAAGACCTTCATTTCATACTGAATATATTAACTTTACATCTAAAAAAATAATCAATAAATGAAGGTGTCATTAGAATTATTAGACCTAATTCGCCTCACAAAATAAAAGATGGCAGGACACACTGCCATTATATGCTCCTCAGAATAAACTTCTAGAGCCCATAAAAATTGATTATGTTCATAATAATAGAGCATTATTTAATTTTACCCATGAAATATGGTGCTATATCAGTCAAATATATTTCATATTTTTTAAAAAGAAATATGAAATATAAATATGAAAGTGGGCGGAGTCAAAACTCATATTTATTTTAAGGGACTTCTTTCGCCATTTTGTTTGAAAAATCTGATAAATACAAACAACTTTTTTGTTGAATTTTGTTTTGAAAACTATCTAGAATGATAGAAAATGGTCTAAGAAAATAAATCGGAACACCAATATCTTTAATTCAATCATTAACGCTGTACAGACGTTTAAAAAGTTGTTTACGTGACGTCACAATCTAGCGCTAAATATCGCGTGCAAAACAAGACGCGCTGTATAATTGCAGTTGTGTAGCAGGCAAGGGGGTTCATAACCATTTTTCTTTGATAATGAAATTAAATAAAAAGGTTATTTTTTCGTTTTTCGTGAAATATGGTATATATTTTCACTCAACATGATAAAATGCCTCGATCATATTTTCACTCGCCGTCCCGGCTCGTGAAAATATGTGGCATTTTATCATGTTTCGTGAAAATATATTCCATATTTCACTCAAACGAAAAAATATCCTCTTAATATTATTGTCTGCTGAACTTTGTCTTATAAAATGTGTAAAAGATCTGACTTGTGCGTGAGTAAATATGTCATAAGCCTATGCAGAACTACAACATTGTCACCATATTAAATTTATCTATTTTTATAGAAAAAAAACTTTAACCTGCTGAATTTATTAAACAGACTCTCCACACTTCAAGCTTTTTTAAACTGTTCTTCATGATTTTTGCAAATATGAAGATGAAAATTCAAATATCAGGCCAGCAAGCAGCACTGCAGTGCAGGGTCATACTACTCAGATGTGCAGGCTGGCCTGGATCTACACTGGAGACAAATGTTAACATATATATAACATGATATCTTAATTTTAGACTACAAAGTTGTGCAGACTGGCCTGGATCTACATTTAAGTCTAAACAGATCTGCTAGCTGGCCTGTATCAAAATTTAAGATACATCTCATGTGCAGGCTGGACTGAATCTAAAATTTAGACAGGCTGGCCTGGATCTAAAATTTAGACTATCCCGATGTGCTGGCTGGCCTGGATTTACAATTTACACTACCCTGGTGTGCAGGCTGGCCTGGATCTACAATTTAGATTACCCCAATGTGCAGGCTTGCCTGGATCTACTATTTAGACAGGCTGGATGGATCTACAATTTAGACTAAACAGATGTACCGGCTGGCCTGGATCTGAACTTGAGACAAATGTTTATCACTTTTGGTTCCAGCAGGGGATGGACTTTATGCAATACAAATATATCACATGATCATGTAACATACTAAACATAGCCAAATAATTATAACATGTACAAAATTGCACTAAATTGCCACTTCTATTCCAAAATCTGAACTTATACATGTATTAAGAAAAAAGATACATACAATGTCATGAACAATATCTATACTAAGTATATTTATACACAAGCAAGCACTTTTTTGATTTTTCAAATAGTTTCCTTTCATTTATATTGGGAGGCTGCCAAAAAATAAAAAAAAATAAGCAAATGGTGTTTGTAGTACAAAGGGAGGTAACTTTGTTGTCAACAGTAGAAATGCACATTATCTAGTGTATAGCATATTTGAATCAGTATAACATCTGTGAGAAATATCAGATGGTTTTTTAGCTTGACATTACTTCTTAACCTGTACACATCCAGGTGACTGAACTTGGTTTCTTATAACAACACATTTGTTATTCAGATTCTTGTTTAAAAAAAGTGCATAAATATTTGAAATCTGTGTCATTCTTTGTAAGGAATGGCTGGATTTACAAATTGTATTATGCTATATACCAATCCTGTTATAAGTAAGAGGTTTTTTTTTTGCCCTGTTAAACACATTTTACAATGTTATTATAGTTTACCAGATTTTCATAAAAATTAGCAAAAATCTATGGTGTGCTGTTTATAGTATTTTCTGAAGAAAAAAAAAGTAGCTGAAAAGCTTTTACTAGAATAGCTTTATACATAAAAATGATCTCTTCTCAAATTTTAGGCACTTTTAAAGTAACAACCTTATATAAAGAACTTTTCAAGGTCTGAAAAAAATCCTGTAAAGGGAGGTAATAAGTACTATAAATCTTATTTTAACATGATCATGATTTTCTGCCCTTTTTTAAGAAAAAAACAAAACAAAACAAAACAAATAAGCAAAAACAATATGATAATCACAATTATTTTGATAACTTCCTAAATGCTTGAAAAAATTTATAGCATTGAAAAAAGGGATCGATCACCAACAATATACAATTTTTTTTCATTAGCATGATTTAAAAAATATTACATTGTAACAAGAGCACTTCAAGCAGTGTTAAATCTCCTCTGTCATAGTAATCAAGTATCACAAGTTTTATGCAGATATCTTTCACAGTTTTGGAATCATTCTTCTTATTAATAAGAAAATTCTAAGATAAAAAGGGGCATAACTCCGAAAAATATAACTTTCAGAATTATGCCTCTTGTCTTACAACTGCTTTTTGTCATGATATGCATGAATACCAAGTTTGGCATTAATATGTTGATCATAATAGTTCAACTTTTTCCTCAAAGCAGACGATCTAATTTTATTAAATGGATTTACTACACTCCTGCACTGTGGCTTATGTGATAAACAGTTAAATTATATACAAGCTCTGTTTTTCAAAAAAGTACACAGAAATAAGATGTTTATCAAAGTACATATTTCCTCTTTGTTAAACTACTTTGTATTCTATCAATACTTTTTAAAATGATCATAATGTTTGATATGGTAAGAAATTATACAATAATAAATATAATGGTGATCATTCTGAAAACAGATCTTTGTTAAGTGATAATTTTTTTTTACATGGTATTGATAGAACCATGATTTTTCACCTTATATATACAAACACAGGCCTATATAAGGCCTCTTCCCTATGGCAATTGTCTTTAAAATCAAGTAGTTTTCTCCCAAAATATAAACTTTTTTTTACTTCCCAAGTTGGCAATTTTAATGATAATTTTTCCCCAAATCAAGAGGCCTCTTTCCAATTAAGTGAGAAAAAACACAGCACAATTCAAAATTTTGTACAAGATACCTGTGACCACAAGAAATTTTTTATACCCACCATTAATTTCATACATTTACCTCAAAAAAATTCACAAAAAAATGTCCATATATTTAACACTGATCCCACAAACATTTAACATACATTTATTGCACACATATTATACCAAAATCTTTTAACTCAAAAAATTGTTATAACTAGAATCAAGCTGTTAACATATATATTTATGATCAAGCCCTTCCATCAAAATATGTTTTAACCCTGATCCTGATGAATTTGGAACAGTCCATTTGAAAAATAAGGGATTTCAAAATCAAAATACAAAACATTGAGATGTAACAGTAATAGAGTCTGGTCAGACTGCACAGAAGTTCAGGCTGGCCTGGCTATATACTGGTGGAAACAACTTGCTGCTTTCTGTGGGTAACAATTTTAACTTGCATTTGTCATCAGTATAAATGGAGTGGTGGTCTAGTGGTTAAGGTGTATGCCTCTCAACCTAGGGATCAAGGTTTTGAGCCTTACCCGGGTCATGACCATGTTTTTTTCATATGACAACAGTACTGGTTAGTTCTATATGACACCAGTACTAGTTAGTTCCAGAAAGCATCCCCCCCCCCCCCAAAAAAAAAAAAGTGATTGTATCAGTTGCAAGAACTTGTTTCCAAATTGAGCCTAAATAAATATGTTAAATTAGTATAAAGCAATCCAATCTAAACCTCCCTACAGTCAGACAAAGCTTTAACAGTTGGCTGCTTAAATTCATCGTTTTACTATTCAAAATCCCTTACATTCATAATGGATGGACTGCCCCAAACCTCAAAACAGGACAAGCTCATTAAACAAATATAGTATGGTACAGGTTAAAACTGATGATTTATATCAACAAATAACATAACAAACGTTCCCATATCCAATGACTCCTTAATAGGACAAAAAAAAAGACAAAAAAAAAAGAAGAATAGACACAATAGAATAAATTAACAGTATATCTTCAATAACTCCAGCACTGAAGCTTGTTGAAACGATCATCAAAGGGAAGTAACTCTAAATTGAACACTTCTGTGAAATGTGATGTAATCTCTGCAATGATAAAAAACATAAATCGATAAATATTTCACTAACAATAAATATTTCGCTAGCGATAAATATTTCACTAGCGATAAAAAACATGAGTCAATAAATATTTCACTAACAATAAATATTTCACTAGCGATAAATATTTCACTGGCGATAAATATTTCACTAACAATAAATATTTCACTAGCGATAAATATTTCACTGGCGATAAATATTTCACTAGCAATAAATATTTCACTAGCGATAAATATTTCACTAGCAATAAATATTTCACTAGAGATAAATATTTCACTAGCAAATATATGAAATAATAAGCCCTCAACTAAAATCTGCTTAAGCTTACAACGCAATTGACCATTTGCGATATTTTAATATATTGTATTTTCACAAGTCAAAATCAGATTTTAGCAGCACAAAAATGAAATAAAATGTACTTTTTAAAACGTTTTCAAGAAACAGCTTTTTACCCTTAGACTGTTGGTAGCGCTGGATTTTCCCATGGAACAGTGCAATCCAAGATCAGAAGGCTGCCCATCAGTACTCTCTGATCATGATCTGTACTGTTCACTATATAGTCAATCTTCATATATTTAGCATAGTAAGGGTTTAAAGATGGACTCCCTGCAATTTCTTAATTTTCACAGATACTTCTTAAAACACAACAGCCAAACAACACAAATATAGAATATCTACTGTCTGTGATTTGTATAGGAAATAATTGGGTTGGTACAATTTTTTTTAAAAATTACCAAAATTCTGTGATGAAAAAAAATTGTCAAAATCCATAACAGAGTTATGTCCTCTTTCCTTAGAGTGAAGATGATGTTCACAAAAAAGCAATTAAAGTTTCGAAGCAATACCTCACAGGGTATAAGAAATAAGGCGCGGTAAGAAAAACTTAACCAACAAGATATGTTTGTAAAACATGTATGCCCCCTATCAGCAGCCAATTAGTCATGTGATAAGGTTATTATGCATGACTTCTGACCCAGTGATCAAACGATTAATAAGGGTTATCAAGTATCTACTGGTCATGACCTTAACCTTTGACCCCTTGACCCAAAACTCAATAGGGGTCATCTGCTAGTCACGACCAATCATCATACAAAGTTTGAAGTTCCTAGGCCTAAGCGTTTTTAGTTAATTGATCGAAAACCGTTTTTACCTTCAAGTTCAATGTGACCTTGACCTTTAACCCCTTGACCCCAAAATCAATAGGTCATCTGCTGGTCATGACCAATCACCATACCAAGTTTGAAGTTCCTAGGCCTAAGGGTTCTTTAGTTATTGATTGGAAACTGTTTTAACATACAATGTCAATGTGAACTTGACCTTTGACCCCAAAATCAATAGGGGTCATCTGCTGGTCATGACCAATCACCATGCCAAGTTTGAAGTTCCTAGACCGAAGCGTTCTTAAGTTATTGATTTGAAAGCATTTTTACCTATAAGGTCAATGTGACCTTGCCCTTTGACCCCTTAACCCCAATATCAATAGGGTCATCTGCTGGTCATGACCAATAACCATACCAAGTTTGAAGTTCCTAGGCCTAAGGGTTCTTAAGTTATTGATCGGAAACCGTTTTTACCTAAGAGGTCAATGTGACCTTGACCTTTGACCCCTTGACCCCAAAATCAATAGGGATCATCTACTGATCATGACCAATCACCATATCAAGTTTGAAGTCCCTAGGCCTAAGGGTTCTTTCATTATTGATTGGAAACCGTTTTTACCTACAAGGTCAATGTGACCTTGACCTTTGACCCCTTAACCCCAAAATCAATAGGGGTCATCTGCTGGTCATGACCAATCACCATACCAAGTTTGAAGTTCCTAGGCCTAAGGGTTCTTTCATTATTGATCAGAAATCGTTTTTACCTACAAGGTCAATGTGACCTTGACCTTTGACCCCTTAACCCCAAAATCAATAGGGGTCATCTGCTGGTCATGACTAATCACCATACCAAGTTTGAAGTTCCTAGGCCTAAGGGTTCTTTTGTTATTGATCAGAAACCGTTTTTACCCAAGAGGTCAATGTGACCTTGACCATTGACCCCTTGACCTCAAAATCAATAGGGGTCATCTACTGATCATGACCAATCACCATACCAAGTTTGAAGTTCCTAGGCCTTAAAGTTCTTTAGTTATTGATCGGAAACCGTTATTGCTTACAAGGTCAATGTGACCTTGACCTTTGTCCCCTTGATCCCAAAATCAATAGGGGTCATCTACTGATCATGACCAATCACCATACCAAGTTTGAAATTCCTAGGCCTTAAAGTTCTTTAGTTATTGATCGGAAACCGTTTTTGCTTACAAGGTCAATGTGACCTTGACCTTTGACCTCTTGACCCCAAAATCAATAGGGATCATCTTCTGATCATGACCAATCACCATACCAAGTTTGAAGTTCCTAGGCCTTAAGGTTCTTTAGTTATTGATCGGAAACCATTTTTGCTTACAAGGTCAATGTGACCTTGACCTTTGACCCCTTGACCCCAAAATCAATAGGGGTCATCTACTGGTCATGACCAATCACCAAACCAAGTTTGAAGTTGTAGGCCTTAAGGTTCTTTAGTTATTGATCGGAAACCGTTTTTGCTTACAAGTTCAATGTGACCTTGACCTTTGACCCCTTGACCCCAAAATCAATAGGGGTCATCTACTGGTCATGACCAATCACCATACCAAGTTTGAAGTTCCTAGGCCTAAGGGTTCTTTAGTTATCACTCGGAAACCATTTGGTCTACGGACCGACGGACCGACAAGTGCAAAGCAATATACCCCCTTTTCTTCGAAATGGGGGCATAAAAATGTGACGCCTATGCCTGGTTGAGAAGGATAGCTCTCCCTTTTATATAAATAAAATTGTAAATATAGTTGTAACATGTATTATATATAATTATTCAAAAAGATAATTTAAGTTTGAATGTATTGTGTGTTTTTTGTGTATGTGTAAAAATATGTTTATTATTGGGAAAAATAAATGGGTGACCTATGCTTACTGAAATTAAAAAATAAAAATAAAATTGTAAATATAATTGTTGATGTAAAAAGTAAGTGTGATTTGTATGAAATAATTATGGAAAAATGTATGCGATTTACATAAGATATCTATGGATAATTGTTATATACCTTTTTGTACAACCATGATTCCATGGTTCATTTCTCCCTCATGTATTCTCAGAAAACACATATGTCATTGCCGCAGCTGCCATGGCAACTAGACCCCCAACACCAGCAACTGAAATAATACAAATGATTCTTCATATGGTAATTTGTTAGCTAGTTTTCCAGCAAACATAAGAAAAGAAACTGGATATACACAGTCAACTTTCGTTATCTCAACATCGCTTTTCTCGATATTTTGTTATCTCGATGAAATTTTGAAAGTCCTGATTTTATTCTTTCTTTATCTATTAGATATATTTGTTTATCTCGATATTTTCAGCCCAACAGTTTATCTCAATATTTCATTATCTCGATATTTTTTCGACGGTCCCGATGACTTCGAGATAACTAGAGTAGACATTGCAAAAGAAAATCAATTTTGTAGCATTTTATTGTATGAAGACCATATTGAGTCATAAAAAAATGGAGGAAATAATGATAACAATAAATGGTCAAGTTCCCATTCATTCAATTTTTAAGGCACAAGTTATTAATTCAATATTACTTCTTCACAGATGTTCTGCTATTTTTTTATTTTTGTAGCAGGGTTTTAAGTGACATCAACATTACGGTAAAGATAACCTGTATAGAGATCCTCAAATCTTCTGTAAAATTATTTAGATTAAGGTAGCTTCCTCACAATATAAAAATACAAAGGCAAAGGCCCTGGTGGCAAGGTCTGAATCTATAGTCATTATGTGAAAGTGACATGATTCAGAGTTCTAAGCATCCTCAATAAATCTCCCAGAATCTATACCTGGATTAATAATCCAATGTACTCCCTACTGAGCTAAGTAGGCTTACAGTTAAAGCTGCCTTCAGGATTTATAATTGTTAAATATGCTACACATGTATTTTTACATCCGTCATTTCATAAAATTGTCAAATCAAAATAATTAAGATGGAAAATGAATTTTGACATTGATAAAATACATAAACAATAAGGAAACCCCTCAATACCTCTAATCTACCCGTCCACTCTCAATATGTAAATTAGTAAAGCAGATGATTTGTTTCTAGATATTCTATTTTTAGAAACAAACATCACTTACCCGCTATAATAGCTCTCGGGACTCTGTTTTTAAGAATGCTTAACAGTGATATGATCCATTTTTCCAAGATAAAATTACTGAAATACTTTGTTTAAAACAACACAGAATTGTTTTTTTCCCGACTAAAAATAAAAGATGACGGATGCTTTAATATTCATAAGGGTTCTGAATTAATAAGAGGGTTGCTCCTAACAATTTCACAATGTAAGAAGAAGGCAATTACCTCAAGTTACAAACACTATACTAACCTATATAATAGGTAAATCCCTTATTACTTTCTGTAGATGTGGTCATGGTATCTGCCTCGAGTGTACCCTCACCTAACAGCTGAAAATCTTCCTCAGCTGTAATGAGATTACATTATATTTAAATGTTAAATCTAAACAGATATTACATATACACTCAAAACCTGTCAACAAAGGCCATCAAAAGGAGAGCCCGAACATGCCTTTTGTAAACAAGTGGTCTTTATTTGGAGGTTAAACTAAGTTCTATTTAATCAATTAACGGTTTGTAGAAGAGTGGTCTTTATTTACAGGGTGGTCTTTATCTGGAGTTGGTCTTTTAGATCAGGTTTGACTGTAATGACAGAAATTCTTAAACTAACTTAAAGGGACTTAACTTATGTTCTTATTAAAATGATGGGACTGGAAATTTTCTGTTGTTGAGATTTTTGTTTAATTTGAGGTAGGTCTGAAGAACTAATATGCAAAATTGCTGATTCTTTCCTCAATGCATTATTCAAAAATAATTATCTTAATTGTGAAAAATTACCCCAAATCAAAAAGCATTGCAGCACTTTTAGCTAAAATCAGGCTAAGAATAGCACAAAACTTATTCTGAGTACATGTATATTATTTTATAATCTTTTGCAAATCTTTTTCTTTAAGTGTCCTAGTAAGTTGATCTATGTAAAAATTCAAAAACTCATGTTTTAAATTAGGCTTTTGGACCTCAATGGAACCTCAGTATAACACAAAACTCTTTAATACAAAAATCCTGTTTGACAAGACACAAGTATATATAAATACATGTGTGGCACCTTATTACTAATGATGTCAATAGAATATTCCAAAGGGCTTTCCTTTGCTATAAAACACATACATGTAATTAAATCTTAATTATTGATTATCATTTAGAGTAAAGTTATAAAAGAAAAAACGATTCCAAAAAGAATACTTTGTATTTGAAAATTGTCACAATGAATGCAAAGGACCTCCCACCCCAATAAAACATGGTGCCTCCCCATCCCTTAGCCTAGGGACATTGCTTTTACCCATCCATTTAAGATTTACCTTATTCTATACATACATTTATTTTTTAAACATTTTTCATTAAGTTAGTACTTATATTTTCATGATTCCAGGAAAACTAAACAGAAATGTCACCTTTGTACACTGAAATCACAAATAACAATATACTGGTACTTAAGCTTTGTCTACTGGCTCAACTTAAAAAGCACAGGGGAATCTATCTTTTCTCTATGCAAAACAAATTAATACATAACTTTTTCTTTATACCCAACCCCACCCCTATCCCCCTACTGCCTCTGAATTATAAGTATCTCACAACTTACTTGCAGGTCTTTCTGTGGTTAAATCAAGATCATCTTCCTCCAGTGATATATCCAGTAACTCCTGAACACGACCTATCAAATATATTTAAAATACATCAATGATATATTAACAAGAGGACTAAGAGGGCCTATATATATCACCTGAGTTAAAAAAGTATAAAGAAAATTACAATGGAACAGGGCTTGACAATCTTTGACACCTAGGCAATGACTTGGAAGACAATTTTTGTAGATGTAGCTCAAGTACATTAGACATTATTCATATTACTTGTAGTATTAGCAAGTGCTGCATTCCTTGCATCTTAGCTATATGCCTTTTGTTTCCAGAAGTTTTTTTGAAAGGATACTACTTAAATAAGCTATCTGCCTTTCATTTTTAGAAAAAAAAATTTAAAGGAAAAAAAAGTAAACATTGATGGCTGATTTAAATGATTTGTCAAATTCTTTTAAACATAAGAAGGAATAAATCATTAAAACGTTAATATGTAAGAGATTTTTATCTGTTTTAAGATAATATAAATATGGGAGAGACTTATCGTATCTTAAGCACATGATTTGTTGGAAATGACGCTAATATGACACTAAGGGAACGAAATAATTGCTATGTGAAAAGCATCTATAAAATGAAATAATCATTCAAACCTTTTACTTCTACTGGTTTTTCATCAGTAAACATATAGTCACACAGTTGTATCTGGCTGCCCGGTAGATTAAAGAACACTCTCCTGGGTGTTGTATACACTTCATGAGCCTCTGAAATATAATATCTGCAGTATTAGCTATTAGCTGTTCAAAATATGCATAAATAACCTTTTTTACTGCGTTAGTAACGCAGTAGAAATATAGCTGTCAATACTGAAAAATCAGTCATTAATCGCACATCATATGTAAAATATTACTTGAATCTTGAAACTTTTTGCTTTTTCTTACATCTTAGTACATTGTTCTCAAGTTTTATTTTAATGAAATATTTTTACTCATCTATAGCTTTAAACAGGTTTCCTGCCAAAAAAATCTAACATCGGCCAACATCTTAGCAAATCAGATTTCCCCGAATGTTATTTTTTCAAAATCTTTGGCATTAGATTTATTTACAAATATTCATCCTTTATCGCTATTTACTAAATTTCTGTTATAAATGGTTAAAAAGTTTTGAATACAGAATATTGTGAAAGATAACGTTCCGCAAATGGCCGATTTATTACGATATTGGCCGGTGTTAGACATTTTTTGGCGGGAAAGCATTACAGTAAGACTATCTTAAAAGTACAATAACATACCAGCATCTTCCTCTATCATCTGTATATCATCACATAGTAACTCACATCTTGATAAAACACTTCGTATCACATCGATTTGTAATGCCTGTAATATAACATACACCCTTACAATTCCATTTCTTGTTGATCACAACACTGCATGTTTGTAACGTCAGTTTTCATTCAACAATTGTGAAATTTATGTCATACAGTCATATATGTGTACTGGTACTAAAAATCTATTAATAATTCTAATCAAAGAAACCCCTTGTTAAAATGGTTTTATGCAATATAACCCCTTTAAAGATCCTATATGTTGTAATAAAGGTTGTTACCACATTTAAGTGAAATCTTATACATTTATAAAATTATGCTTCTTAAACAATTTTCAAACATCAAAGAATATGTAAAATATGTACTGCAAATATTTGTCCACATTATATGTAATCATTAATATATATGCATTCATTTCTTATTGACAAATTCAACTTAGAATTCATTGCAAATGAATTTCTAATTACCTCCCTTCATTATCATGAAATTTAAATTTCAGTTATATCTTTGCAAATAATGCTTTTTGGATCTTACAATATTGATAAAATTTTATATGAGCATTATATTTATGATATAAAACCATAAAAAATTGTGTTACAGGATCTTTAAAAATGGCCATATAAATGTTTGTTATTTTTGTTATATCTATAATATATCATTAATAAAAGCACAACAAGAACAAAAGCTTTCTCCATGGAAATAAGAAAACTTTAAATTTAAACAAGAGGAGAGGCAAGGTAATTTATACACCTAAGTGTTTGCCTTCCAAGCCGGGGATTGTGGGTTTAAGCTGCACTAGGGTCACATACATGTTTCCTCATATGTCATTAGTACTGGTTAATTCCAGGAATCTGACTTGTGATCCGCTTTTATCACAATCAAACAAGTATATTTCAAACTTAAAATTTGAACACTTGTATATGGTTTAACTTTGCTCAGCCAAATGGTATCTGTGTCAGGAAAGCACCTGAATTTGTAGCAAAAAGAGTTAATTTAAAGACATTTTTATGTGATCTAAAGAAAAAACGGATTGTAAAACACCTATATCTGCATAGCTTTAAGAGAGGGACATTATAGATTCACCAAGGTTTTAGAGTAACCACCTGTAAACATATGAATTACAAGCAACTGTTTAACATGAAAAGGTCCTCTGTTTTTTCATAAAACAGATAAATTGTATACCTGCTCAGCCTCATTAACAGTAGCTTTACTGGTAACATAAGCTCTACCATGTATAGTACCCCGCATCAACAACCGTGTAGAAGTTGTCTCAATTACCGGAGCCGCTGGCGGACACGGGTTTGACTGAAATGTCGAATAAATGATGGATTATATAATGGCTTTGAATACTGTTGACAGCTTAAAGTGGCCTTAAGCTTTTTTTAAGGTAAAATATATTATTTTACGATAAATTGTTTCATATAATTGTCAAATTCTAAGAATTAAGGTGGAAAATGAAATTTATTGTATATAAAATAAGGAAACCCATTTGATACCTCTAATCTACCAGTTGCTCTCAATAAGTAAGTTAGTCAAAAGGACAATTCATTTCACGGTCTTTTATTTTTAGAAACCAACGTCACTGACGCGTTATATAAATAGCTCTCGGATACCGTTTGGAAGAAGGTCTTACAGGATATGATGGACTATTCCAAGATATAAGTACTGAAATACTTAGTTTGAAACATCACAGAATTGTTTTTCTGACAAAAAAATAACAGCTGAAGGCCGAAAAATTGCCAAAAAGAAACAAGAGGTAAAAGCTGGTTCAGATAAATGGTTAATGAGTAACTTTTTGGATATTATAAAAGTACACTAAAACTAAAAAGTTTTGAAAAATAAAAGTATTTCCAAGTTATAATGGGCCTTTAATGTTCTTTGTTAGCTCTAAACTTACATGTTTGACAAGAATATTGCAGATATATCTGGTTTGAGATCTTGTAGACTTGTCCTTGTGTTTACCCTTCTTTTCTGCAGACTGGTCCAGTAATTCTGTTTTCTTTCTCAGTTTATCATCAATCTGTACCAAACTGGTCTGTAATCTCTGACAAAACGGCTGTAAACCATTCTGATAAAAATAACCCAAACTTGCATATTATTAACAGGCAATAATTTGTAACAATGCTAAATATACTTAAGAATAATGCACTATTACCTGCATTCTTCCCTAATAAAAACATGACTTCAATGTAAGACACCAGTACTGGTTAGTTCTAAAAAGTGCACTCAAGTGTGGATCAAATAAGTTACAAGATTCCTTCACAATTAGGTTTACATACATGTAAATAAATTACAAATTCTTTACAATGGATATAAATAAATAATGTTTTAACCAACAGACCAATGAGCATGAAGACAGACAGATGGACATACAGACTAATTACACTGCTGACATACCTGTATTTGTTTAGCTAGTGTCGTACTTTGAGATTTTTCTGGAATATCGACAGGAATATTCACACCCATGCTTGTCTCCAGACAGTTCCACACTTCTGAAAATGGCTGAAACTTCCAATCTGCTGGTCGAAATGTACTCTGTAAGGCAATAGGTTGGTTGTTGTTTATTTTTTTTTTTACAGTACTTTGAACCCATACCTTGCAAAATTTCATACATGGAATTGTCCGGCTTCCATGTTTAGAACAGTCCATTATCAGTTTTGGAGATATTAAGATGAAAAATTTGCTCTTGATAAGCCAACACTATACATGTATATTATATTATAATGCTGGTCAGACTACATGGATTTGCAGACTGGTATGGATATATACTTGTTGTAAAAGGCTGATCACTTTCTGGTCCATCAGAGTTAAGGTTTAAACACAGGTTGGTGTATATACTTCATGTACATGTATTTGTCTTTCAAAATTATATGAGCCGCGTCACGACAAAACCAACATAATACGTTTGCATCCGCGCAGTCTGATCAGGATCCATGCTGTTCGCTATAAGTTTCTCTACCTGAAATAAGGTTTGTAAGCGAACAGCATGGATCCTGATCATACTGCGCGGATGCGCAGGCTGGTCTGGATCCATGCTGGTCGCAAACGCATTATGTTGGTTTTGTCGTGACGCGGCTCAATTATGTATTATAAATTATCAAATGATGCAATTCAACATTACACATGGTTATAACAACTTCCTTTCTTAAATACACAATATTATGTTGTAGTAGCTTTCTGAGGTTTTGTATTTTGCTACGGGCAGTGTCGGAACAAGACCGAATTTTCACATGCTACGAATAGTAAAATACATGGCCCCAGAATGTTACTTCAAATTATTTTCTTTTTATTATATACATGTACCTATAAATTCTAAGACAAAATAGATTCAACTTAATTAACTTGTATAAGTTATTTTCACAAACAAAAATATAGCTGTCAAGTTATTATAGTAATGAATGACAGATTTATACATCATTTTTGCAAGAGGCCACACCTTAAGTAGCATAATTAGCGTAATGCACAGCTAAGATGGGAATGGACCGTGAGAAATTCTTTTATACACATGAAGGAAAATATCATCATGATACCAATATGTAAAAGATTTTTTATCAGTTTTCGTGATGACGATAGAGATTTTTATCTAATATAAGGCATATAATATATAGGAAATGGTGCCAGGGGAGATAATGCTACATGAAAAGCATCAATAACATAGTTATCTGCCTTACCTTTGGGTCACTGACATCTATAGTTCTGCAGGTATATCTATAGTACTGTTAAAGATTACAATCATGCTTTATATCTGAGTATCCTTACGACAAGTCTAAAGGCTTGCCTTGCAATATAATGAGTGGCTATATAATCACCAATCTGAAGACTTGCCTTGCATTATGTTGGTGTCGGGAATTGATAATGTCATTTATAGCACCTTGCATAAGGTGATATTCCACCCTTATGTTAATGTCACTTCTGACTTTACATTGTTTTGTTTTTTACTCTATATATGATTGTTAAACAATAAAGGTCAAATCTGGAAACTACAACGCATTTTGTTAAGTAGAACCAGTATAAAGGTTTGCCTTGCATTATGCTTGTGACATAGAATAAGTCTAAAGGCTTGACTTGCATTATGCTTGTGACATAGAATAAGTCTAAAGGCTTGACTTGCATTATGATTGTGACATAGAATAAGTCTAAAGACTTGCCTTGCAATATGCTTGTGACATAGAATAAGTCTAAAGGCTTGCCTTGCATTATGCTTGTGGCATAGGACCAGTCTAAAGACTTGCCTTACAATATGCTTGTGGCATAGAATAAGTCTAAAGGCTTGCCTTGCATTATGCTTGTGGCATAGGACCAGTCTAAAGACTTGCCTTACAATATGCTTGTGGCTTAAGAATCTTGTTAGACTACACCAGACTACAAACTAGCTTTGAGCTATGCTAGTGACTTCTTTCACACACTGGGAAGTCATACTGCCACTAGCTATCAGACTATTAAATACTTTAATAAAAGGATTCTTTTTCGTTGTTGAGCAGATCTGAAGTAAAACTCTGTCTGTAACAGCTTCTGTCATCTCAGGTACAGGTGATTTCTTCTCCTGTTTTTGAATGGCAAACAAAATCTGAAATGATAAGTAAGTTCTCATAGTTGGTTTTGCTGTACTTGCAAAAACTTCTTTATAATACAGTTTTTAACGCCAAAGTAGTCTTAAGTTAAATGATGAAACCAAACATATGCAGAGAGTACAATGTAACACTTTTATTGTGTATCCTAATACAAAAATAACATTAATTTTAAATTTAAGGTACCTTCATAGCAATGATTTTTTTAATCTTTAATTCAATGAAGACAGTCACAAAAATGACATCAATTCCAAATGTAATGAATACATTAAAATAAAATTAATTCCAAATGTAATGAATACACCAAAGTATCATTAATTCCAAATGCAATGAAAGTACCAAAACAACATTAATTCCAAATGTAATGAATACACCAAAATAACATTAATTCCAAATGTAATAAATACATTAAAATAACATTAATTCCAAATGCAAAGAAAACATTAAAATAACATTAATTCCAAATGCAATGAAAATGCCAAAATAAAATTAATTCCAAATGCAATGAATACACCAAAATAACATTAATTCCAAATGTAATGAAAGTACCAAAACAACATTAATTCCAAATGTAATGAATACACCAAAATAACATTAATTCCAAATGTAATAAATACATTAAAATAACATTAATTCCAAATGCAAAGAAAACATTAAAATAACATTAATTCCAAATGCAATGAAAATGCCAAAATAAAATTAATTCCAAATGCAATGAATACACCAAAATAACATTAATTCCAAATGTAATGAAAGTACCAAAACAACATTAATTCCAAATGTAATGAATACACCAAAATAATATTAATTCCAAATGCAAAGAAAACAACAACAATATGTGTTCATTACCTTTTGAGTAAGAGTTTTATTCAGCCAATATAAAATTTTGATAAAGATTACATTTTCTAATGATAATCAGTGGTTTTTACTCACTTAATTGGGAAAAATTAATTTGGGGAGTAAAAAAAGCTGGTGTACAATGTAAGTTCAGATTTTTGGGAAAACCAGATCGATTTTAAAGAAAATTTCCATTGCAAAAAGGTCCTATATATAGAGGATATTGAATGAGTGTTAGTTCAATACTACATTTATTGCACAAGTTGAATAAAATTATATTATGGAAGCCTCTGGCGAGCTTAATATTATTTTATTCAACGAGTGTAATAAATTCAGTAATGAACTTACACAAATTTAATATTTTATTTATCACAAACCCAAAGTAAAGACCGTTTAAATTGAAATAAGAGTCATTTTTTATTGACGCGCCTATAGTATATAAAGCTAACATTTAGCGCGTCTTTACACTATGTTGGTATAACGCTAATGACGTCACTTCAAAATTTATGCACGGCCGTGAAATACCATATTTACGGAGTCGCAAAATCGGCACGGGTGTGTGATATAACCTCTGTTGTATGAGGTGAAAATTCACAGATTATAATGTAAATACATAAAATACCTGTCTCAGTTTTGGTTGTGCTTTATCTATCATTGCATCAGGGGCAACAACAAATATACCAATCACATTCAATCCTCCAGGTAACATCATGGTCACCTGAAACATTGTATTGAAAAACTAAAGTATGTACATGTATTAATGTTAAATACACCTTTCATTTTCCCAAACTCAACATATTTCCCAATAAAATGTGTTTTTTCAATATTTTTCAGAAAACAGAAAAAAAATATGCTTAAATTTTGATAAAAGCCTGAATGACAGGACCTTTCACCTTCTTTGAATGTTGATGAAAGTAAGAGACATGTATGACATGTATGACAGTTTATGAGTTGACATGTATGACTTTCGACCTTTTTTAAATCTTGATGAAAGCCATGATCGACATGACCTTTGACCTTGTTAAAATATTGATAACAAGAGCTGTCCGTAAGACAGCGCGCTCGACTTTTTTATTGCTTGCCAATAAAAAAAGTTTTTGCAGTAAAAGGCAATACAAGAATCTCTGTATTTTTAAAGTGAACAATGGCCATGAGCATTAAGATATTTAGTGAAGAATTATTTTACTGAATTGTGTGATACCCTTGAACACTGCAGCAAAGTTTGAAATGTTTAAGTCAAAAGAGGGCTGGTAAGAAAGAAAAAAAAACTGAGTTGAGCCTTAAATAAATTTAATAGTATTAAACAAATCCTTGACAGAGTTACCTTCTCTTGCGTACAGATGGGGGTAATGATGTGAAATAGCATTAAAAGTTTCAAAGCAATATCTCAAAGGGTTAAGGCAATAAGTGGATTTTACCCATATTCAATGTATTTTCTAAGTCAAAAAGGGGCATAATTCTGTCAAAAACCTTGACAGAGTTATGTCCTCTTGTCTGTTGATGAAGGTCGTGATGGTAAACAAGTATGGTCAGTTTCAAAGCAATACCTCCAATGGTTTTGAAATAAAGTGAGGTGGTACAAAAAACTTAACCAAGCTCAATACACTTTTCTAAGTCAAAAAGGGCCATAATTCTGTCAAAAACCTTGACAGAGTTATGTACTCTTGTCTGTAGATGGAGGTTATGATGGTGAACAAGTATGGTAAGTTTCAAAGCCATACTTGTAATACTTCTGAAATAAAGTGGGGTGGTACGAAAAACTTAACCAAGGTGTGACGCCAACGCCGACGCCGACGCCGGGGCGAGTAGGATAGCTCCCCTTTTCATAGAAAAGTCGAGCTAAAAAGGCAGAGTGGTGTGACCTTCGACATTTGTTAATTATTTTATGGGTCACTTTCAAGTCTGCATCCTGGACTTAACCATTATTGTGAGGAAACTTGGTCATGACCCAATTATGGCTTCACCAAACGCACAGCCAAATTATGAGGGAATTTTTAGCCTATATGATCTCCGACCCTACACATCTCAAAACCAAGTCTAGGACAGAGGTAACTGCAAGACTTATTGATACCCAATATGTAAGCTATTGGTGAATTAACCTTGATGAAGGTGCTTAGACTCTAAAATGAATAAACATACTTGTTTGGCATGTGTCGAAGCCCAAAGCTCATTCATTGCCTCTAAGGTGGCAGGTTTTGTCTGTGACTTTCTCCTCTTTCTTGTTGAGGTTTCCGCATCCACATCTGCATCATCATCTCCGACCTGATCCTCCATTGGTTCTGGTGTACGAACAATATGGACAACATAATCCTTTGGGCTTGAGAGCTTTAATGGAAAAAAAAAACAAACACTGACATTTTGTTTGTTTTGTCTGGTTTACAATGCACCAACACAATTTGAGTCATATGGTGCTGAAACTGGAAAGATAATTTTAACTAACCTTGGGTGTTACAAACTTAAAGCAACACCAGGGGTCAAAACCACCTTACCTGCTGGAGCTAAAAGATGCATAGACTTAAGTTCTTCAAATCCATTAAGAAGACTCTTAATATCATGCTGGGATAAACAGTGACTGCAATTCTGATGCCTTAAGTATTAAAGCAAACCCCTCACACTTTTAGAGTAAATATTGGGTATATTTGCGTTTTTCTAAGGATGGCATTTTCTCTGACATCTGTAGATGTCAGATGACTAAATATACATCAATCTGATGTGATCTACTTATATCTAACATCTGATTACCACCGCAATGGCATATATGTAATGGTGTAGTGTTATTTAGGAGCTGATTTTAATCAAATTGATGAATACCTGTACATGTACATGTACTTGCAATGAACAGCTGAATACTTCATTCAAAAGGAAAGTTTTTGCGACTAAAAACCTGAGTATGATGAACATTAGTAATTATTTCAGAACATCCTGTTAAGAACTTTTAAGTATAAAAGGTTGATAAATTCTGTTGACATTTATAACTCTTATTTACAGTGTTTACTTTGAACAAAAAGTTTGTACTTTTTTGCTTATCTCTATCTTTAGTTACCCATGGTTACCAGGTATATATTCCATACATACTACAATCATTATCTAGATAATGTAGAATGTACAGAATATATACAAAATGTACCATGGGTAACCGAGGATGGCTAATCTCCAGAAACTGTTGTTTGTACCTTTATATTATGTCCAAGGCAAAAACCTAGAAAGACATTATTATCACATTATTGATGAAGTGAACACTATATGAGCCGTGTCACGACAAAACCAACATAGTGCATTTGCAACCAGCATGGATCCAGACCAGCATGCGCATCCGCACAGTCTGATCAGGATCCATGCTGATCGCTATCAGTTTCTCTACTTGTTATACGGTTTGTAAGCGAACAGCATGGATCCTGACAGACTGCGCGGATGTGCAGGCTGGTCTGGATCCATGCTGGTCGCAAACCCATTATGTTGGTTTTGTCGTGACACGGCTCATATGAATATCAGTTAAGAGCAGAAACTGCCAAATTATTTCATTTTTGATATTATCAGTGATTTTCGGCATTTTTTATAACAACCTCAGGCTTCACGAAAGTTGCCGGACCGTCGGACATGTCCGGCAAAAATCAGGCCGGTCCGATATTTTTTTTCGGAGTTCCGGACCTTATGTCCGGTACTAATACCGGGATATATCCAAGACCGATCAAGACCGAGTTATCTCCCTTGAATAAAAAAATGTAAAACGAGTTTTGATTCGCCGTTTCATTATAAGTGTCCGATACATACGACTGTCAATAACCAAAATGTCGGTGTTACTACATTATTACGCTGGCGCTACCCCGGCAAAAATCGTAAACTATCCAATGAAGAAAAAAAAGCGAAACAAAAGGAATACGAGTCCAGGCGCCCGCCGAGAAAATTTGTGGGTAAATGGAAAAATGGCCGCTTTGATCATGAATGTTTTGATTTCCAAACAGAGTCCATCCACAGGTGCTTGAAACAAACTTTTTAAAGTTTTATATGGGCTATATACTATTATATATATCTTTATATACATATATAGACTGGTTATGTAAAATATTTGAATATATGTGACTGTCACTAGCGCCTGTGAGTCCATCAATCTGGATAAACTAATGTTTTATTTAAGGGAATAAAATTGTGTTGCAAATCTTTAAAAGTTGTTATGTCTTTAAAAAAAAACCAAGGTATTACCATATACATATATTTGGGGGGAAAAATTCGGTCAGACAAAAGTTCTTTCGGTCAGACAAGAATTGAAAGTTTGTCTGACCGAATGTCAGGCAAATTTTTCAGCAGTTTCGCGAAGCCTGCAACCTATGACTTTCTGATGGGGAAAATTCAGTGTAGTAAATCATCAAAAGGTAAAAAACAACCAACAACTGAGAATGTGGCATACCCATACTTTTTATTAAATTTTCAATTTCAAATTTAGAATTTTCTCTCTATTAAAATTTAGAGATGTTTATTAAGTAATTTAACTTTTTTGTTTTGCAATCATTTTTTTTTTCACAGAACCTTTTCTTTTGTTCGAGGGGGAAAACATTATTTCACTTTCAAACTGTTCAGTTTTGATATTTGTAGATACACATTTACAAAATTACAATATCGTCACCTCCTGGGTACGAAACTGCTAGCCGGAAATATTTATACCGGTAACCTATCTATCATAGTAAAGCGGAAAATTAAATTACATATATGCTATCTCATTTATTTGTATTTATACCTTTCCTATGACAAGACCGAGATACCATGTCCCCGAACGCTGTAAATTTTCCACATATGCCTGTATTTTCTCGTCGGCTAGGAATATTCGACCCATTTTAAGTAAGCACAATATACTATTTTACAAACCCAAAGGAGTGTTATCTAGCATACGCGTGAAATTAAACCCAAAGAAGGTAAGGGGATTTGAGTAAATTGTGAATAAAATTCTTTTCAGTAAGTAAGATCACGGATTTATCGTGGGATCACGGATTTATAATATAAATCCGTGGTAAGATCTAAACAATATTGAAGTTATTTTTCTTTAGTTGAAAAGTTTATAGGAGCTTTATTTGTATATAAGTATTTGGAGCAAAGGGACCCAGCACAGTGTTGGGATAGTGTAAAAAAGTAATTTAAAAAAAAATATATATTGTATATATAATGTATAGACTATATATTATATATAAAGTATAAATTTTTTTCTAGAATTACTTTTTTACACTATCCCAACACTGTGCCGGGTCCCTTTGATCTGGAGACTAAAGATGTATCTTTCTGTCCCAGAATAAGCCTAAATTTGAATAAATACATTAAATCTTTACAAGTATCTATATATTGTTTTTCAAATAATGTCCTAATTTTGAAAAAAAAAAATGGATTTACATTAGTTAAAATGCGAATAATTGTCTGTAGATAATAAACTTAAATCTATGTCTGCGTTTTTGATATGATAAAATTGAACGAATTTCTTCAATATATATCTTGTCAGCTTGCATATACTACTTTCCTTGTTCATTCATTCGGGATTCCATTTTTATCTATTTCATTGCCTCATCAGTGATATTTGTGCCGTATGAAGCGTTCATATAATCAAAGTACTTGAAAGACCTATCACAGTGGGTTTTGTCAACTTCACGATATTCCCTGAAGCTAGAACCGTGCTTGGTTTTCTGTTAAGAACTACAAGAAAGGCTATTCTCGTGGGTTTGGTCAGCTTAACTGTTTTCCCTGAAGCTATAACCGGACTTACATATCGGATATACGCGGCAAAACGCGGATTTAGACTAAAATATAGTTAAAATAGTTTTAGTTAAGATCGATTATTGAAGAATTTTTTTATGAGTGGGTCTTACATGAAACTACGGTGGCACAAAGGTGACATATGTGTGTTTTTTTTATCTCGTGGCCACGAGATACTATGTCGTGGCCACGAGTTACTAAGTCGTGGCCACGAGATAGCATTACATTGACTCAAATTTAGGATACCGCAGTTCATTATATCGTTAAACAAATACTAACATTCATTTGTATTAAATAATAATGCCCACGTAACTCAAAGATCTTTCAATGATTTTATTATGCATCGACTTTTCAATTATAACATAATAATTGACATGTTAAAATTAGTCAACATGCTTCTGTCGAATAATTTTTTATATCAACGAAAGTAACATTTTCTTGAGTCAAATCTAAGGCTTTGTAGAATTAAGGTATAAATGTACGGCATTATTCTACTGATAATTGCCAATAAAATCAAGAATTGAGTTCAAAATATACTTAATTAATTATGATACTAAACGTCATCGCGCACCTGCAAAATGAAGGTAAAATATGTTTTTATTTTTAAGAAATCGTTAGAATATCAACAGATAATGTAGCGCACCAAAGATTGGCTTTAAAAATATAGTACTTGATATAATTTTCAAAAAAGTTTAAAAAGTTTCTGCCAAGTTTAATCCGGAAAGCTATGGTGGCTGATTTGGAACGCTTTTGTGTGTCGTGTTCTCGCTAGAGACGTACAGCACAACAAAGCGCCACGCGGCGCGTTGTCGGACTTCCGTCTTGTCGTCCTGTCGCTAAAGAGGAACGCCAAATGGCGCGTTGTCATGCGGCGTGTTGTCGCGATGTCACATTGTCGCTCGGCTCATATCCAAGGATTGGCTTATAAGTCAAGCGACATGGGCGACATCACGACAACGCACCGCACGACAACGCTCAGATTGCCGTGCTTCGCTAGAAACAGGACGACAAGACGACAGTGTGACAACGCGTCGTATGGAGCATTTATAGCTAGCGACAAGACGAAAAAGGTGATAAGTGAACGATATAGGTTGTGTTGTCGCTTTCGACAACGCAGCGCGCAAAGTGTAACAAATCAGCCACCATAAAAAACGGTACAGAGCTTTTTTTTCTAAATGCGCAGACTCTTAGTCTCAAACAAAATTAATCCCGTTTTCAGTCTGAAACCATTCAGTAAAAAGTCCGATTGGTACGGTGTTCAGTTTGGACAGTCGTGATTTTTTATTTAGTCTGTTACCGCGATGAACGATGGTACGATGGTGAAAACTCGATGGTACGATGGTGAAAACGAGATGGTACGATGGTAAAATCGCGTTGGCGCGATAGTACGATGGTGAAAACGCGATGTTACATTACGTATGTTAATAACTCTCTTTGTTCACTTTAACATATTTCACCTTTAATTTACATTACGTTTTCAATTTTTTTTATGAAAATTACCATGGGTCTCGAGACATGCTGCTTTAACATATTATTTCACCTAATTTCAGCCAACAGAAATATTTAAAATAGTGAAACTTGATTTTATAGACTCAAATCATAATGTATCATCAACAACAAGTTTGGTTTCAGCTTACTTATTGTCAATATTAGAACTTCGGTTATAATTAACGGAACATGGCTTTTCTCTGTTATGTTTTTTTATTGCTTGTCTTACTTATTTACCTTTTACAACTCGTTTGTGTAAAGTGCTTATCATAACCCCTGTAGCAAAAATACGAATATCAGCCATGGTATAACACTTTTAACCTTACCGCTTTATTTGCTATTGAGGTGTGAAAATTCAATAGCGTAATTACTCAATTTCTTGATACCTAATGTGATAATGTATAAAGGATTTTCCAAAATAGTTTTAAATCAGAGCGGGTGCTGTGGTGCAGTGGTAACACTGTTTGACTACAAGTCTAGGGGTTGCGAGTTCGATCCCCCGCTACTCCACTAAAATTACTAACAATCTTTGACACACAGACTGACCTGACACACAGGACACTACTAATAAACTAGTTTGACAGACAGGCTACTACTCACGCACTGACCTGACACACAGAACACTACTCACAGACTGACCTGACACAAACAGAACACAACTCACAAACTAACCTGACACAAACAGGACACTACTCACAAACTAACCTTTGACAAACAGGACACTACTCACAAACTGACTGACACACAGAACACTACTCACAGACTGACCTGACAGACAGGACACTACTCACAAACTGACCTGACACACAGGACACTACTCACAGACTAACCTGACACACAGGACACTACTCACAAACTAGTTTGACAGACAGGCTACTACTCACGCACTGACCTGACACACAGATTGACCTGACAGACAGGACACTACTCACAGACTGACCTGACGTACAGTGCTTGCAGAACACTATTTACAAACTAACCTGACAGACAAATTACTACTCACAAAATAACCTGACACACAAGACACTACTCACAGACTGACAGACAGGACACTACTCACAGACTAACCTGACACACAACTAACCTGACAGACAGGACACTACTCACAAACTGACCTGACACACAGGACACCTGACACACAGGACACCACAGACTGACCTGACAGACAGAACACTAATCACAAACTAACCTGACAGACAGGACACTACTCACAGACTGACCTGACACACATGATACTACTCACAGACTGACCTGACAGACAGGATACTACTCACAAACTTTCCACTAACTGACCTGACACACAGGACACTACTCACAGACTGACCTGACACACAGAACACTAATCACAAACTAACCTGACACACAGGAGACCACTCACAGACTGACCTGACAGACAGGACACTACTCACAGACTGACCTGACACACGGGATACTACTCACAGACTGACCTGACAGACAGGATACTACTCACAAAACTGACCTGACACACATAATACTACTCACAGACTAACCTGACACACATAATACTACTCAGAGACTGACCTGACAGACAGGATACTACTCACAGACTAGTATGCTAGATCTATTTTTATTTTCCTGGATCAATGTTATGCACGTGCGTCAGCGCATAACGTTAGCTACGTCCCTGATATTTTCGCATTTTCGCGTTCCGGTTGCACATGCGCATGGAGATATCAATTTATTATTATCATTATTATCATCAATTAATAATTAATTAATTAATTAATAAGTTTTGTAATGTCTGACCACAATGATATATTATCTAATTCATAGTCATATATTCATTTATAAGATATGTTGTAATTCACTCAAAATCATCTCCAGGGGATCCTAGAACCTCTCTGGCGTGGGTTCGATCCGCGGGAGATACTTTGGTAGTTTAGCGCGGAGGAAGGTAGTCTAGTATTGGTGTAACTTTCCAGGAACGATGGTTAGGAAATTACCCGCCTATATGAGAGAAATACTGTTGGGTAAAGGCGTAAAAATGAAACAAACAAACTCAAAATCATCATGATCCGCCCTTTACAAAAGTGAAATAATTAAATAATATATAACGGTAAGGCTTTCAGACTGTTTTGAATTAATTAATGCAACAATTATTATAATAAATACATTAATTTGTTTGATTATCAGAGTTTCTTTTAAATATTTTGTATCATTCCCGTGACCGGATTACACCGATGCATTGAAACGAATATAGCTATATACATGAGATATTGGATGCGGTCAAAGTACTTGGCATATCAAGAAAATGTCGCTAAAAAGTGAGTAATGTGTTGATATATTTCAATTGATTATAATCGAAGCTATTTGTAATAATGGTAGTTTAAGTAACTGATTATTAATTTAAGCGATTCTATACTTTTTTAAATGTTAAAGTTTTCTACATCCAACTTTACATAATTTAGCGATCAAGTAGATTTTGATCATTTTAGCAATTAGTTTTTCATTTAAAATGGCATGGTTGGCTGCAACACTAGATGAGAACTGTTAACAGAAAGCAAAATAAAAAGAAAACATAAGGGTAGCTTAAAACTAGGTCAGCTGTGTTTTTTTGTATACTGTAGGCGAATTCGATTTTCTCGAAAGCTACTGGTCCGTCTGAAACGGAATGAAACTGCGAGCGTCTATTATCGTAAATGTACACACAAAACAATGTTTACACAGAAATGTGCTTTATTCAATATTGCTGTTGTTGGCTATGTGGGTGTTTTTACCTATGTATGTTTGTTGCAAGTGGTACATTGTAGTATGTGATATACATTCGATATGGATGGGTTTTTTTTACCCAGGAAATAGAAACAAGGCTAAATTGATGAGATCCGATCCGATAATTTAGTCTATTGGACATCAAGTGGTTGAAACGCTAAAAGTTCACGTTTCTTTTATAAGGTGTAAAATAAATACTAAATACATGTATTGTAATATCATACATTTTAAAGATTTAGGAGAAACGGACACATACATTACAGACGGATAGTTCCCGACATCATGATTTACTAAACCCCATAAGCGCTCTTTGAAGTTTGTTATAGAATTGGCAGAATAAAGATTTTCAGGATCTTTTCTTTTTTTTTATTTCTTAATTTCACTCATGTTGATAGCCCTTCATGGTGTGTCTTCTAAATTCATATGTAATATTTCAGGTTATACCTTCAAAGAAGGGGAGTTTACTGTGACGGATGAAATGAAAACAGACTTTGGTCAAGATGGATTTGTTCTAGTCAAGTACACACTTAAATAAATGTTTTTAGTTTTTTCTGATAACTACTTAAAAATGTTCATTGGAACGATTACTAACACGACGTACCATTATTTAAATGAGGCCAAATTAGAAATCTGTGTTTCGAGCAACATATACTCGAAATAGTTAGAGATTGATCATTGGTTAATTTATTGATCTTTGATTGATTGATTGAATGATTGATTGATTGATTGATTTATAGATAGTCATTAATAACTTTTGGATCTTTGGGTTACGCTAGGTAGGGCGGACTTGCCCAAAACACGGGACTTGTTTTGCCTAAGATAAAAAGCTGTGTTCATGGAAAAAGAATATACACGATTCACGATAACACATAAGCGTGTTTTGTGTGCTTAATAATAAAATAAGTAATAGAAAGAGCATCGAAACACGAGGCTATCTGATATGTACGAGGGGGCGTAGCACCCCGAGTATTAATCAGATTGCCGAGTGATTTGATGTTCTTTTCTTTTGTATCATAGTCAAACATAAAAACACGTTTCCTGTTGTCACAATATACAGCCCCCCCTGCCCCCCTCCGGGTTTGCCTAAAATACGAAATGAGATTTTCCTGACGAAAAGTGACGCGAAATGTTGAGCGCAAAGTCACTTTCTATAATATTAATTGATAACGTAATGATTATTTTAATTAGACTTTTACAAAATAAAATTGCAGTTTTTAGACGGTATATTATTAGAAATACTTATATTTTATTATAAAAAAATAATCGTAATTAATGATTTTTATTTCGCCGGTTTTTATTTGCATAATTATATACAACAAACTCTATAATCTTCCTTCGCTTACATTAAAATGGTACCGTTTAAATTGAGGATTATTTTTTACTATTATTGCACAAAATTGGAGACGTAAATATCAGAAAATTGATTAATATTTACTCTTCAAAGATAATCAAATTATAGATCGATTAAATCGCCATTTACTTTTGCAGTTAAATCTCTATTTTACACAAGTTCCTATACAGAGATCTTCCTTCGCTCGCAATCCTGAAAAATACGAAAGTGCATGACAAAATATCAAATATTACTGTGGCTTTAAATGAATGTATTACTAAAAATTGCAATTTAATTTGTAGATGTACAATATCAGGAAGTCAAGTTATATTTATTTTTAAAAATAATCATTATGTTGATTTAACCGCCCCTTTATTTGCATTAACACAAGTTAACAGGAATCTTTCCTTTCCCTCACATTGAAAAATACGAAAGTGTCTTCAAAAATGTCAAATATTAGCGCTGAAAAGACGCATGTTTTCAGAAAATGCATTAAAATATATTAAAAAAATCATTATGATGATTAATATCCATGTATTTTCATAATTGCTGCCTATACCTGTATTTCTGATATCTTACTTTTTTGCCTACATTGAACAATTACGAAAGTGACTAAATCGGAACGAAAGTCAATGTCAATATTCACGATATTAATGTTTTTTATAATAAAAAAATAACAATTGAGTCATTTCATTATTATTCATGTTTCATGGTGATTGACCTATAACTGATGATGAAATGACTAGCCACAAAATATATAAAAAAAAAAATCCTAACTTATTAAAAAGATTGAAACTTTACCGAATATCTATACAAAATTCCGTGGATTACTTATTTCCTTTTTTCCATAGTAAATATTATTTTAACAATGATGGGAAATTCCAAATTATTTTTCAAATTATCATGTACATTGCTCATCTACCACCTGGATGAGCATAATAAACTGCCACTTTAATCCGTGCAAGATATCTATGGTTGTGCAGAAGAAAGGTTAATTCAATTGTCCACTAAATAAACAACCGGGCAAGTGTTCATCAGTTACATACCTATGATTGGATTATAATAATACTTTAGTGGGATTAAAGCGTCATTGCAGTCACCGTTCGTGTGTACTATCAATTAAAGTGGATTTGCGGAAAAATGATATGACAAAACACGTGTTTTGCATGTAAACATATTCATACTTTATTTTGTCTCATTCGTATACATGCATTTTTAAACATATATACAACTATTTCACATTAAAACCTACATACCGACCATTCCATTTAATAATTTTCAAAGAGACATTATAATAAAATGAGCAAACACATTCAAGACCATATTACTGTTAGATTTAGAATCAAACAGTTTATAATTACAATATAATATATAAAACAGAATATTAAATGTAGGTAACACCATCTTTAATCAAAAAATTAAAAACTGCCCGAAAAAGACGATGTAGAAATAGAGATACTGTAAATCGGGGCCCTAACGCATAAATTGTATAATTTCATGTTTTTTGCCAATTATAGTTTTACATAATAAATTTCATTTTTCATCTTAACATATTTAGTTTTATAAAAATGATATTTACTATAGCTTATAACATACGTCTTACAAACTGCAATATTATTCATGAAATTCTATTTCAACGCTATATTTGATATTCTGTAAGTCACTTTCGTCAGGCTCACAGAAATATAAGTGAAAGGAAGATCAATGTCTTAGCCTGTGTATAAAATATTATGCTAATAAATGAAGATCAAATCATATTGATTAAAGATACTAGTTTTGATAATATACGTCTACAAACTGCATTATTAATATTTAATGCAATTTAAACGCCATATATTTGATATTTTTTAAAATCACTTTCGCTTCCTCTCCCTAAACATTGAAAAATACGAAAGTGAGCGAAAGTAAGATCTCTGATTATTTGCTATATATAGAAATAATGAAAATGCATGAATATTATAAACCTCATAAATGAATTTTAATTATTTTTTATTCATTTCTGAAACTATGCGTCTACAAACTTTTATATTAATATAAAGTCAAAACAAACGGTATATTGAATGTTTTATAAGTCACTATGTAGATCTATGTAGTTGTGTATAGAAATTATGCCAAATAAATAGGCGATTAAATCATCATATTATAAATGATTATTTTTGTAAATGAATCTTATCAATTTCTGATAATATACGTCTACTTAGAGCAATTTTAGTAAAAAAATCAACTTAACCAGTATATTTAATATTTTATATTGTCACTTAAGTATTTTTCAATGTGAGCGAAAGGAAGATTTCTGAACTTGTGTATAGAAAATTATGCAAATAAATGTGGCGATTAAATCATCATAATGATATTTTTTAAAAAACAGATATTATCAAATTCCAAAACTATTACGTCTACAATCTGTAGTTATATTAATATAGATTTAAATTAATCGCTATATTTGATATTTTTGAAGTCACTTTCGTATTTTTTTCAATCTGAGTGAAGGAAGATATCTGAACTTGTGTATAAAATTAATGCAAATAAATAGCGATTAAATCATCATAATGATTATTTTAAAAAAATAGGTATCATCAAGTTCTGATAATATACATCTACAAATTTGTAATTTTAGTAAAAAAATTCAATTAAAACAGAATATTTAATATTTTAATAAGTCACTTTCGTATTATTCAATGTGAGCGAAAGGAAGATATAAAGAACTTGTGTATAGAAATTATGCAAATGAGTAGCGATTAAATCATCATTATGATTATTTCTGTTAATAAATATAATTATTTTCTAATAATATACGTCTACAAACTGCAAGTTTGTTTTAAAAGTCTATTAAAATGTTGTAATTACTATTTTAAAAGTCACTTTCGCTCACTTTCGCTCACTTTCGTCAAAAATCTCACTTTCGTATTTTAGGCATACCGCCCCCCTCCTGCCCCCCAAAAATGTAACCAATGAACGAGCATCTGGATATGATATTTCTATCGCTTTCCGTTTCTCTGCCGTCACAATAAGTAAACCCGAGCAAAAATGAGCCAATCAATGGGCATGCTCTGGAATGCGGGTAACTAATACCTGCACTCCAGTTAACGCACTATGCATGCATAGGTAACTCTGACACATTTTCGACAGAAAGGTCCCCAAACTATGATACAATTTGAATTTATTTAATATTGTTTTGATATTGATAAGTAAGATACAACATGCTTTGTATGATATTAGTTATAATGTTTTTGACAGGTTATATTACCCCCATTCAGACGCTTGTTTGCAATATAACCCGAGCCGCTAGGCTAGACAACTTGTTAAGAATCTTTACAATTTATTTCCTTTATTTGAGAGAAAAAGTAAAATTAATTCATAAATTGACAGCAACCGTGAATAAACATTGTAGTTAATAATAAAGTTTCCTTTTAAAAGGAAAGGCTTGCACAGTTGTGCCTTCATCCCAACCCTTTAAAATGTTTTTTTTTTGTTTTAATTTATTATCACATTTTTTTTTTTTTGAATAACGGTATTTGCGTTATTTAGTTCTCTTTTCTCTATTGTATAAAACTAATAAAGAAAATGATCAATCGTAAAATACTAACGTGATACTGAAGTCTGAAGCGGAAAACAAGTGTGCACCATTTCATTTCCCCTTTTTTCGCAGCGAAATCATTCCTTTGCTTTATAGACAAGTAAATGCACTAATTAAGAAGCATTACATGTATCAAACTATGTTACACGATCACAAATAGACGATGCGCTATGGGTAAGGTTAATGTATGCATGGGCTATTTTTAGATTTACCTCACCAGTTCAGTAGGATCTAAAATATAACTATTATGCAGGACCACCCTTTGAAGACGGAATACTACTACCATTCTCTATTGTATAAACTGATACAGACAAAAAACAATTATAAAGAAACTAACTTTTTGCGTTTGAAAAAACAATTGAAACGGAACAATTTCGTTTATAATTTATTACGGTAATCAAGTAAAAATAGAAATCCTATTTTATATAAACAAAACTGGGATTACCGAAGTAAGTAAAAAATAGCTTAGATTTTCCATTATATTACTTAGTATGACGGAATCCCCGAATTGTCACGATTGCAATCGGAACTACATCGGCTATTATCATTAATCGAAGAGTCGACGGAAAAGGCCGAAAAGGTTGCGCATTGGCACGATTGCAGCTGGTTACCCGTTCAATCATGGCACCAAACAGATTGTAAAGTGCCAGAAAACCACCTAACCGCGAACTTTTTTCCCTATATGAAAGGCTTGCAGCCATTGCTGCAAGCCAAAAAACGTCACGATTAGCCAATAAAAAGCGGCGTTACAAACGCGCACTGTAGTAACGAAACGTCAAACATCACGAGTATCCAATGAAAAGCGGTGTTACAAACGCGCACTGTAGTAACGAAACGTCAAACGTCACGATTGTCCAATGAAATATGAGCCGTGTCATGACAAAACCAACATAATGGGTTTGCGACCAGCATGGATCCAGACCAGCCTGCACATCCGCACAGTCTGGTCAGGATCCATGCTGTTCGCTTACAAACCCTATTACAAGTAGAGAAACTGATAGCGAACAGCATGGATCCTGATCAGACTGCGCGGATGCGCAGGCTGGTCTGGATTCATGCTGGTCGCAAACCCATTATGTTGGTTTTGTCGTGACACGGCTCATATAATCATTACAAACATGAAACAGAATACTGTGCTCCTCTTAGTTCACGGTACTTAGCACTTTGAAGCATGAAAGAAAACAACACATAAAACCTACAAAAATTGCCATAAGCTGTAACATATCTATTTCTGCTGTATGACACAAGGAAACAACAATATATTTAGTCAAAATCAGTTTAAATGAGCCAGACGTAGACCATATGTCGGCCATTTTGAAAACAGTATATCATCAATTAAATCGCGGTAATGTTGTTTTATTTCAGTTTTTTTCATGTTTCAGTTAAAATTTCTATATTTTATTTTGCATAATTTTAAATATTAAAAGTATCTTTACATTTTAACTCAAAATTTATTTTTTTCAACAAACAATGATGATTGTTTTAGACGTATTCAAAAACTTAACTTTTTGCAGAAGTTTTTAAAATGTTCTGTTTTACGTAAAAATCTAAAGATTTAAAAGATTTTGCACAAAAACTAAGTTGTTAAGGTGTTTGAATAAAATATGTCAATTCTGACTAATTTAACACTGGTCACATAAAAAAATGCCATTACCTTGAAATAAGTGATGACGCGGAATTAGTGATGTTGAGTATATATAGATTACAATTACACGAAATTATCATGTTTATTTCAGGAATATGTTTTCTAATGAAGAAATAAAACATATAGAGAAGGCTCTGGTCACAGGATCATTTGCAGATTATACACTAGGAGTAAGTAATGAATAGTATCTTTATCATAACAGCACGCCCGTGAGTCTCTTATATCGTGTCTAAACTTTCAGAAAACAGGTCTAAATCTTTAAAAAAAAGTCTTAAAAACAACGTTGTCAACATTTATTGCGGAGTTATAGCCTGGGCCAGGCACTGATTGTTTGTAATGGTATTAAATTGTTAAAAAGGTGTTACTGCGTCAGTTGGCACCAGGGATAGTGAAACTTGAAATTAAGTGTCAGTCATAATTAAATGTATGGTTATGTAAGGGCACAATTATGGGAAGAGGACGGAGGGTGGGCGTAGTGTAAAAGGATATAGAATGAAAATTAAAATTGCACGTCCAATACGGCCTCTTCTATACAGATAAAGTTACCGCAATAGAAATGAAAGACAACTAGTTTCATTGACTGAATTGTATATTTGATGTGAGAAAGATTCACTTAAAATTCTGTAATGAACGATTTACCTATTTACAATTCTGTCCTTAAGGTTTATATTTGTCTTTCTGATTACGTATGCGAATGTTGTAGATCTGCAGATAACTAATAACTAATTTGCATTATCACTATTCTTATGGTTTAATAGTGGTGTTAGACCTTATTGATACTTTTTGCGCTTCATAAATTCATCTCGCTGAACATGTTTTTTGTTCTTATAATGAAGGCCCGTAATGCCCCAGAAATGCTTTTATTTTTTTCTTAAAAAAGCTTTTTTGATATTGGTTTACTTTGTTTTACTTTTATAGTATCCAAAAAGCTACTTATTGGCCAGCTACCTGAACCATCTTTTTCATTTGTTGCTTTTTTTGGCATTAAACGTACAGCCAGTCCGCATAGCTCAATCGGTTAGAGCGCGAGACTTGTAATCTCAACATTGTGGGTTCGATTCCCGGGCTGGCCAACTAAAATTACCAAAGCTACAGTCTCACATACCGGCAGAGCCCCGGTAGACGTCCGGGTGATCCGGGGTACGACCGGGAATAACCGTAGTGCTTCCGTAACTGCCGGCAACGTCCGGGATGGGAACATCCGGCATTCGACCCCGGATGGAATAAAATATTTAATATCACCGGGGTGATCCGGGAAGTTTAGCTTTGCCGGCTTCATCCTAATCTCAGCCGGGAACGATCAGGGTTACACCGGTGAAGTACCGTAGCTCTGCCGGCATAAACCAGGGATGATCCGGGGGTATGATATAGCCGGTAGAGCTACGGCAGAGCCCCGGTGAATGCTGGCAGAGCTCCGGTGAATGCCGGCAGAGCCCCGGAGGATGACGATGAAGCTACGGTTGATCCCGGTAGAGCCCCGGCAAAGCCTGGTTCATTTCAAAAGAATCACGACAATTTGCGATGATTGCACTTGTTTGTATTAAAACCCTTCCCATTGCCGGTCTATCCTGTCTAAAATTAGGAATTTTCAGAAAATCATTATGAATTACTTTTCTGGAACAATATATATTAAATTGAATAAAAATTATGTATCAATGTTATCATTTTCGCGCGTTTTCAATCCACCGGGGTTCTACTGGGGCTCTGCCTGGATCGTCCTGGGCTCTGCCGGGGCTCTGGCTGGATTGACCGGGGCTATGCCTGGGTTAACCGGGGCTCTTCCGGCGTCATCCGGGAACGACCAGGGAAGCACCGGCATGAACCGTAGCTTCACCTGGAGTCTGCCTGGATGGACCAGAGCGCATCCTGGGTGGTTAGTTAAGAATAACCGTAGTGCTGCCGGGGTAAGTGTGAACGCAACAATAATTTCACCCCGGATCATCCTTGTAACTTACCGGGATGATCCTGGGCTCTGACCGCAGCTTAATCAGTCTTTCGGATGAGACTTTAAATCGAGGACCCGTGTATGAGTGCCTAAACACTTGCCACGTTACTGTACCAGGGGAAGCTTCTGGAATTGGGTCATCTTTCTGTATCAGTATCTTGCACTATCCTCCAAAATATAAAATGACTAATACTCTTCTGGAGGACTCGCCCATATGGGCAACCGGTGGCGAGTATAAATAAACTCAAATACACTAAGCACTTCATCTCCAAAACCTCCAGGGAAAATTCAGTGAAACTTCACAGGGGTGATCAGTACTATCCCTTGTTGTGCCTATCGCCGGTATGTTCGCTCCGCTCTTGAAAGAGCTATAAATAGAAAAATCTTGTACGTGCTTCATCTCCAAAACCGCTGGGGTGTTTCTGTGAAACTTCACAGGAGTGATCAATACCATTCCTAGTTGTGCATATCGCCGGCACGTTCTGCTCCGCTGCACAAAATGGTAACCAAAGCTTTAAATAATATAACATCTTGTTTTAGTGAAATTTGTTTTACACTTTTTAATGGAATAAATGAAATTTAAAAAATGATATTATCAAAGGCGGTCGGGGCTTATATTACCGGTATTTTGGCATATATTGCGGATTTTATGTCAAAGCTTCCTTTCGGGGGCAGACGTCACTTTTCAGTGACAGGTCATTTTGATATAGAAATCCAATGAACTATGACTATTGTTCAAAATTCATAGCTGGGCAAACCCAAATTCAGTAGAATTAGAAATGATAAAATGTTGTCGCTGTTGTTGTTTACTTTTTGTGTCGCCTCTACGGAGTAATGGCGACATATAGGGATCACTTCTCCGTCGTCCGTCTGTCTGTCCGCCCGTCCGTCACAAAACTTGTCCGGACTACTCCTCATAAACTACTGGTGCAATTTCATCCAAACTTTACAGGAATGATCAGTACCAAGTCTAGTTGTGCATATTGTCAGCATTTTCCGGTTCAATGATTTTTGTCAGAGTTATGGCCCTTTAATAATTTTTAATTTTAAAGTTTGTCCGGACTACTTCTCTTATACCACTAATGCAATTTCAATGAAACTTTACAGGATTGATCTGTAGCTCAAGTCCTTGCGCATATTGCACGGGTTTTCCGGTTGAATGATTTTTGGCCGAGTTATGGCCCTTTGATAAAAAGGTGTTTTTTTTCTTTGTGTTGCCAGATACGCAAAAGCTTGTCCGGACTACTCCTCATAAACTACTGGTGCAATTTTATCCAAACTTTACAAGAATGATCAGTACCAAGTCTAGTTGTGCACTGTCCGTCTGTCTGTCCGTCTGTCACAAAATTTGTCACAACATGAAATTGGTCATCATGAGGCGACACATGTGATTACTGATCGCTCTTGTTTTTCTTATCAGATACCGGATGGCGACGGTAGAGAAGCTCACATGATTTTATGGAACCACCCGGGTGTTGACGTCACAGGGATGGTTGGTAGGTGCGAAAAGATTGTCGACACGTGCGAACAGGTACAGTGGACAAACAAGAGAACATATCTATCGTGATATAAAAGTAAATTGCAATAGGTTTTGAATTAGAAACCGACTTTAAGCAGTTATTTTGTACTTTCAAACATCATTTAGACTACCACTTCATTTTACCACAATAAAAGTAAAACTCGTTTATATGTGTCCAATACTGAATTTACATTATCACTTCTGCAATAGTCGTCGATGTTGACTTGGTCGACGCCATCTTATTTATCATCATCATTACAGTCATCATCATCATTACAATAATTTTTGTTTGTTTTGGGTTTTACGTCACTTTGACACAGTATAGGTCATATCGCGACGTTCCAGCTTTACTGGTGGAGGAAGACCTCAGGTGCCCTTCCGTGCATTATTTCAGGCACGAACGGGCACCTGAGTAGAACCACCGACGTTCCGTAAGCTAGCTGGATAGCTTCCTCACATGAAAGAATCCAAAGTCCCTGTCGGGATTCGAACCCACAGCGGTGAGGGGCAAGTGGTTTGAAGTCAACGACCTTAACCACTCGGCCACGGACGCCCCTATTACAATAATCACCAACACCTCTATCATCATCATCATCATCATCATCACTGTCATCATCATCATCATCACTGTCATCATCATCAGAATCGTTAAATTTGTTATTCCAGTTAATTGGAGGTGAAGTTTACCACTACCATACTAAATTAATGAAGAAACCAGCAAAAATCGGGGGTAAACATGTCTGGCACCAGGACTATGGGTAAGATAAAATAGTTCAAACATAAATAATTATTAGTAAAATGGCTGTAGAACTTCAATGTTCTTGCTATAATGCACTGTTTGTAATCACAATTTTGCGTTTTGAAAAACTGTATTTTAAATTTTACATGGAGATACGTTTGTTTCCAGAAATAAATGTTGAAAGTAAATTTTCATTTTGTATATAAAAGATTTGCTGACCGAATTGTTTCTTTAATTCATCTTTGCTTTCGTGACATTGTAGATATAGTTTGATTTTTATTTTGTGCCCAGATGTGGTATATTTTGAAAGCATGATGTACGCCGTGTGTCGTGTTCGTCGCCATTTGTTCAGAATTTCTTGAAACGACATCCCTTCCTTATCAACATGACCATGCAAACTTTATAAGAATGGATACGTAGTCAGCCCTCTGTAAAAGCTAAATAGTTCTAATCTTTTTCAAAAGCAAATCACAGGAGCTAAAATAGCTTTTTATTTTCAAATAAATGTTTTTGTTGTTTTTTTTAATTCTCCAAAGATATGCCAAGAGCTTATGTATTTGGCATATAGCATCCGCCTTTTGGTCCTGTGTAGGCGTTAGATAAATCTTGCTCCTAGTGACAAAATCGGCCCGCACTTTTGGTCACTTATTTTATAAAGATATATACATGTATATAGGATTTTTTTAAGTCTTTAAGTCATTTCGTCGAGACGAGAGATTAAATATTTGTCATGGCATAAAGAAATATATATTTATATACAGTATATATACTGAATTTATAAGTGTATAAGTCCCCAGTGTAACCCATTGGCGTTTCTCAGTATTAAAGTCTTATGACCAGACCATTACTAGCAACGTATATCAGGTGAGCGATCTAAGGTCATTATGGCCATCTTAATATAACTTTGGATTGAAAACGATTTTTTTCCTATAACTCTTTGCTGCTATTTATAGATATTGGTATCAGAATGGATGTTTATTCCCAAACATGCTGACAGTATTTATAGCTGTTGACAAATGTTCCAAGGAAAATAGCTGTCTTCAGGTAAAAACTTTTGATGTAAAATACATAATACTGTTTACAAACTTTGTGATACTTTTCTGTCAGAACTAGTTGTATAGAACATTGTTTCCTTTTGATTTTGTTTTGAGTTATGACCCTTTGAATTGTAAGACATACGGTTTTTTTGTTGTTAAATTAAATGTTATCATATGTTAATTTAATATATAGTAATTGACACGATATATTATTTTCAATTTATTTGTAGTGCATTTGCATGTGATTTCCATCAACACATTGTAGATTTGTTCACTATTTATTGTACTCATTCACTCCTATCTCCAATTTGTTGCGGGGCGGGGGAGCGGGCGTAAGGTTTTCTTTAAAGTCTTGATCACTTAAACTTATTAGAATTTGATAGATCATTGTCAGTTAAAATTTGTACGTCAATTTTAAAGTCAAAGCTACATACCTTTGGTATAGTTATGTAAATAAACATTGAAAAATCAGCCGGTCTTGCGCATTGATATTCAAGACATTAAAAAACCATCCGCGTTGCTTTAGATAGAAGTTGTATCTCCAAAATATCATTTACACGAATAATGTATCTTTCTTTGATTTCTTTCTTTTAGATAATGAAAGGGTCAAATAGGTGTGGACGGATTGAGCATTTAAAGGTTGGAGGACAGGTTGGAGCGGACTTGGAGCGTGTTGAGGCACTTAGCGAAGCTTGTCCACTTCAATATGTCGAAATGGAACCAGGTGTTCAAAGTTGTTCTTGTAATCGTATTCAAAACCTTTGAATTAATTCGTTTTTTTCTTCCTATTTTTTTGTTTTTTAAATGGCTGCAAATGATCATCTTTTTGTAAATATCTTTGTTACGGCATTACCTAGTGGTCAACGCGTCGGACAAGTAATCTAAAAGTCTCTCGTCGCGTGTATTGAAACCACGACAGGAACAAGACATTGTTTCATTGCCGAAGAAACTGCAAAACCATTGCTCAGTACTGGTCGGTTCCAGGAAACGATTCGAACTTCATCTAAAATAAATTATGTACAGAAGAAATATCTTTCCTTTTTATTGGACACTAGCTATATAGATACTCGATATTAGATTGAAATGAGATAACATAGATTTAACTAGAAATTGCATTAAGTAAGCATAATTAATAGATGGTCATTGCTATAAAAATAAAGTATGTACGCTTTTAACCGAAACAAAAATCACTGATCTTTGCAATTTCTTTTCCGCAGGGCCTTTCAAATAGACCCTAATTTAAAGACCCTGTTTTCCGTAATGAATTCAACGTGCCAGTTTAGGTTTGTTTACCACTGCCACCGGGAAATAATACCATATGTGTAAATTTGAACCTATATTCTATTATATTATGTGCTTGAAGTAGATATAAATTCACAATTTGTATGTAAGTCTCGTTTGTATTTATATTCTAGGTGATGCACTATTTTTTCACTGTAATCTGTTACACTGTAGCGGGGCGAATACTAGTGGTTTGAGACGATGGGCATTTCTTTGTGCGTACAATAGAGCCGATAATAATCCAGTGAAGGAACATCACCATCCCCAATATACACCTTTAAAAAAGGTAATTATATTATTAGTTTTTTATCATTTTGTTTTCAAGGTGATATATATGTATGTATATATATTTGTTATATACTTATAAATGATATATTGGGAACTATTGATAAAATGAAATGCGTGTTTTCATATTCTGTATTTTCACTGTAAAATTTTATTTCCCCGCTGCAGTGAATCATATTTTCCGTATTTTTCACTGATGTCTTGCCAGACTACTTTCTTCTGAATTCAGCCAAAACACAAATCTGTAGGGGAAATCTTTCAAATTGTAATATCAAAAAAGAGGAAAATGTATATGATAAACAGAATTTTTTTTCTATAAATACAGGATTTTCATCTTGTGGTATGAAAATTATCAAATTTCATTCGTGCATATCGCCACTCATGAAATATTTATTTTCGTACTACGCGATGGAAATAAATCCTGTATTTAATTAAAAAAATCACTTTAATATCGTCCTTATGTTACATACGTTTAATATAAAGAGTGAGTTTTCAATCTGTGATTTTACCGTTTTCTGCTTTATTCACATGATTGAAACAATCTTATCTTTGTTGGTGTTCCAAACGTTACAAGTCTTGCCGAACTCTCTATATAAAACTCATATTATGAGGGTTTTTATAAATTGTTGAATACAATACTGAATTAAACTCGTATTGGACGTGTACAATATTGTCAAACCTGCATTACACGTCTCGTTCATTACATGTTTTGTGTATTGTATTCAACAATTTATAATGTTTTTTCTTATTGTTTATACCAAGTAACAAAATTCTGATATTATGACAGAACATTGTATTCTGTCACCCCTTTACCTGACGGAGTTCATGACTGAACTTTCAGGTTTTTGTCGTCTGTCCGTTGTCCATTTTTTTGGGACATCCAAAGTTAAAATTTAGATTTAGTCAGCAATCAGTGTAAACTCAGTTCAGCTTGTCCGACTGCACGGGTGTTCATTGTTTCTCTGACTCAATACTGGTGACGGAGGCCAATCATTTATGATTTTTTGAGAATTAAAGGGACTCCACTGAGGTTTTTTAGACATAACGGGACAGGAAATAATTTCGCGAGATTTGTGCACCACTTGATATAGACTGAAGCAATAACTCGTGTGCAAATTTTCAGATTATTCCCTCACATTTTCCCCCTGGTATATTCATTATGCAAAATGACCCCAAAATGAAAAGGGTTGCAACGCTTTTCGCTCTTATTGAGAAAAGAATCGCACAAAAATCGATTTTCAATGATTTTAACAGACATTATCTTATCATTCTTATGATTAAGCTAAACATCTTCGTTCCTTTAGATTTTAAAATAAAAATGACTAAGATTGACAACGATCCAATGATTTAGGCCCTGCTCTCTTTTCCAGCGCACATGTTGGAATTGTTAGTATATTTCTTTACTATCCATTCCAGAGTTTTCATTTTTCAGTTCTTCACTTGATATATGTAAGATTTCAAATTATATTTTTAGGCTTTTTGACCTCAGTAGAGTCCCTTTAATGGTTGACGAAATCATATGAAATCATTTTTACATACAGTGTACACCATAAATGATTTCAGGTACCAAATTCAGCAATTCTGGAATGTAAGGACTTTACGACAATGGATGGGAAATGGTTTCTTGATCCAAATGTTGAGAAAGACATTACAGTAGAGTCTCGTGTTCTCTCGCGAGAAGAACAGTTGTGATGAACTTTGCCTGCACTTCTTTATTACGCCTGGTAACCGGGAAAATTTAGCAATTGTATAAGGAAACATTTTTGTTGCCATTTTAATTACTCGTTTACTATTTGCTCAACTGTCACAAAGTGACAGGGTGAGCTTTTGTGATCGCTTTTCGTCCGGCGTCCGTCCGTAAACTTTTACTTTAAACGACATCTCCTCAAAAACCGCTAAGCCAATTGCAACCAAACTTCACAGGAATGTTCCTTTGGTAGTCACCTTAAAAAATGTTCAAAGAATTAAATTTCATGCAGAACTCTGGCTGCCATGGCAACCAAAACACAACTTAAAATATCTTCTTTAAGAACATTGTAGAAAACCCAAAAAGCTAGAGCTTAGATATTTGGCATGGAGCATCTTTTAGCTTTTAGTGAGTGTCTACCAAGTTTTGTTCAAATAAAAGCCCTGAGGATCAATTTGACTCCGCCCCGGGGGTCATTGATTTTCCTATATGTATATAGTAAAAACGTTTAAAAAACCAAAGAGTTAGAGCTTAGATATTAAAGATGAAACATCTTCTAATGTGTGTCTACCAAGCTTGTTCAAATAAAAGCCCTAGGTTCAAAATTTGCCCCGCCCCGGGGGTCATTTATTTTCCCTATATGTATATAGTAAAAACAAATAAAATCTTCTTTAAAAAACCCAAAGAGCTGGAGCTTTTTTTATATATTTAGCATGAAACATCTTCTAATGGGTGTCTACCAAGATTGTTCAAATAAAAGTTCTGGGGTCAAAAGTTGCCCCGCCCCCTGGGGGTCATTGATTTTCTTTATATGTACATAGTAAAAACTTAAGAAATCTTCTTTTAAAAACAACCAATAAGCTAGATTTCAGATATTAAGCATGAAAAAATCTTCTATGTGTGTCTACCAAGTGTGTTCAAATAAAAGCCCTGGGATCAAAATTGGCCCCGACCATGGGGGATATTGATTTTTCTTATATGTATATAGTTAAAACTTAAAAAAACAACTTTTTTTTAAAAAGCCCAAAGAGCTAGAGCATAATGTATGAAAAGTCTTATAGGTAGTGTCTACAAGTCTATACATGTAGGTGTTCAAATAAAGGTCATTGGGTCAAAATTGTTTATAGATTACAATATTACTTGTAGTAATATGGATAGTTTTATATTCAGGTGAGCGATTTCAGGACCATCATGACCCTTTTGTTTGTTGTTAACAAGAAAAGAGGGACATGTATACCTGAAAGATGTATCATGGTTTTATTTCTCTTGTTGTTTATATGCATTGTATTTATTTAATAAAACGTATATTGAATCAAATGAATAAATGTGGAAACAATTGTTGTTAGTTTATAACAATAATACATACATGAATAAGCAATGTTTGCAAAGTCACTTATATTTTAAAAATTAAAAAGTTGATAACTGTTGATAAGCGGTAATGTGTGTGTGTGTGTGGGGGGGGGGGGGGGGTATGTGTGCGTGTGTGTGTGTTTTGTTTTTTTCCTCTCCAGAAAAAAAGTCTTTCAATTTTATGTTTAGCAAAATCTGCAGTTTTCTTATATATGACTGTTACTTACAATTCGGCAATATTTATGCAGTTTTGCCTTTAGCAAACAAGGAACATTTGTAATTTTCACATTTGGCAAATCGGCAAATTTTTCAATTTCACCATTAAAAAATGCTGTAAAGGTGGCAAATATAGAGTCAATCAAGAATCGATTAAAGCAGCATGCCTCAAGATTCATGCACATTTTCATCAACATTTTGTATTTACAATTCAAATTTTGTGAGCTGAACAATGAAAGTAATTTACACATCGCAAATGACACTTAAAATCCACGTACGAGTATATAACCATAAAGAGGTCAAAATATGCAAAAAAAGCCCTTAATTGATGCGTTAGTCACGTATTAGAAATATGGTGACGAATACTGCAAAGTCGGTCATCAATCGCACATAGCATGTAAATTATTACTTGAATCTTGACTTTTTACTTTTCTTAAAATGGTAGTACATTTTTCTCAAGTTTTCTTGAAAAAGTTTTGCTCGTCAAGAGTCCTTCGCAGCTTAAATTTAAATTGATTAACTTAACTTACGATTTCTACAGCGAGATACATATGTCATTTACAGATACCGATGCAGGCATGCGAAATAAAATGATAAGTTTACAAATTCATAAAATGTTGTCTTGGTTTATACAGAAGTTATTTAAGTTCGATTGTGTATAACGCTTTAAGCCTAGATCCGGTCTCGGACCCAGTCTGTGCTAAACAATGAGTGTAAAGATTCTTGCTCAAGGAAACATTGGCACGCCACTTACAGTGTTTGAACCCACGCTGCTATTATTAGATTTCTAGTCCGACGCGTCCAACTATCAGCCTTGACCTGTTGTTTCAAAAACTCACATTTTTTTTTAAAGAAGGCAATATTACAATAATGTATATTATTTGTTAAGACAAAATAAATATATATATTGCTGGGTTTGAGAATGAATCAGACCGTCAATTTAGGCCGAACTGGAGAATAAAGTGTTTATTGTTTCATCAGTTCAATGGAGATTTCAAGTCAATTTAAATTGCCAAGTTCCATGTTTAAAAAAATGATTAAGTATACATATATAGCTTAGTTTGTTGCGCACTTAATATCCTTTTCAAAAAGTAATCAAAATAGTCCAATGCCCTTGAAGCAACAACTGATAAATTTATCTTAACAATTATCTGAAGATATCTTATATGCAGATTAAAACAACTTCACACTGAATATATTGAATTAAATTTGAATTAAGATATATGTTCATATCTCACCTATAAAGATAACAAAGTACTCGCGACAAGCAAAACATTGGCCGGCAAAGCAAGGATTTAAAATTCTTCAGTGAAAAAAAAAACGGCAACAACGGTACAAAATGTCGTTAAAAAGTAAGTTATTTTATTTGTTAATGAATTAGCTATTTCAAAAAAATACTCATCGATTAGTAGTTTATCTTAATTAACATATCGCATCGAAATAAATATTAATATGAAAATAATATCAACCCTTGTCCTGCTTGAATTTCAATTGCCACCTAGTATAAAGCTTCGTCACTGTTAACAGCTCAATTTAATTATTTTGTTACTAGAATCTTTTGAAAATAAAATGGACTGTTCCAAATTCAGAGCACGGCAAAGTCATTTCACAAACTAAGCAGTTTAAGGGTGCTGGATAGGGTATGAGGAGTGCTGGATAGGGAATGACAGGCGTACTGGATGGGGAATGAGAAGTGTGCTGAATGATGTATGAGAGGCGTGCTGGATGTGGAATGAGATGCATGCTGGATGATGTATGTGAGGCGTGCTGGATAGGGTATGAGAGGGGTGCTGGATGGAGTATGAGAGGCGTGCTGGATGATGTATGAGAGGCGTGCTGGATGATGTATGAGAGGCGTGCTGGATGATGTATGAGAGGCGTGCTGGATGTGGAATGAGAGGCGTGCTGGATGATGTATGACAGGCGTGCTGGAAGGAGTATGAGAGGCGTGCTGGATGATGTATGAGAGGCGTGCTGGCTGATGTATGAGAGGCGTGCTGGATGATGTATGAAAGGCGCGCTGGATGATGTATGACAGGCGTGCTGGATGTGGAATGAGAGGCGTGCTGGATGATGTATGAGAGGCGTGCTGGATGTGGAATGAGAGGCGTGCTGGATGATGTATGAGAGGCGTACTGTATGGAGTATGAGAGGCGTGCTGGATGGAGTATGAGAGGCGTGCTGGATGATGTATGAGAGGCGTGCTGGCTGATGTATGAGAGGCGTGCTGGCTGATGTATGAGAGGCGTGCTGGATGTGGAATGAGAGGCGTGCTGGATGATGTATGAGAGGTGTGCTGGATGGAGTATGAGAGGCGTGCTGGATGGAGTATGAAAGGCGTGCTTGATGGGGTATGAGAGGCGTGCTGGCTGATGTATGACAGGCGTGCTGGATGATGTATGACAGGCGTGCTGGATGTGGAATGAGAGGCGTGCTGGATGGAGTATGAGAGGCGTGCTGGATGGAGTATGAGAGGCGTGCTGAAATGGGGTATGAGAGGCGTGCTTGATAGGATATGAGAAGTGTGCTGGACAGGATATGAGAGGCATGCTGGATGGTGTATGAGAGGCGTGCTGGATTTGGTATGAGAGGCGTGCTGGATGGGGTATGAGAGGCGTGCTGGATTTGGTATGAGAGGCGTGCTGGATGGGGTATGAGAGGCGTGCTGGATAGGGTATGAGAGGCCTGCTGGATAGGGTATGAGAGGCGTGCTGGATGATGTATGAGAGGATTGCTGGATGGAGTATGAGAGGCGTGCTGGATTGGGAATGAGAGGCGTGCTTGATGGAGTGTGAGAGGCGTGCTGTATGATGTATGAGAGGCGTGCTGGATGATGTATGAGAGGCGTGCTGGATGATGTATGAGAGGCGTGCTGGATGGGGTATGAGAGGCGTGCTGAATAGGGTATGATAGGTGCACGGGATGGGGAATTATAGGTGTGTTGGATAAGGAATGAGAGGCGTGCTGGACAGAATATGAGAGGCGTGTTAGATAGGTAAATGAGAGGCGTGCTGGACAGAATATGAGAGGCGTGTTGGATGGGTCAATGAGAGGCGTGCTGAATAGATTATGAGGGGCGTGCTGGATGGGTGAATGAGAGGAAAACAAACATCATGTCATTTAATGAATATGTATACACTATTAGATGCAACACTTCCACAATAGGAAAACATACTAGTAGCATTTATTGATTGTTTTAGGCTATAAGTACGCCGAAGGAGACTTCAAAGTTACTGAAGAGATGAAAAACGATTTTAAAGAAGAAGGTTTCGTCATAATCAAGTAAGAATTATAGTAGTTATAATTATGATAGTTTAAAAACCAACATGTTTCGATAAAGTTCCTATACATTACAAGGGCTTAGCGCAAAACGGTAGTAACACTTATAACATACAGAAAGAGTTACAACCGTTTCCCTCCAAGCCCTCGAATTATCATTATTGTTTTCATTTCAGGATGGATTAGATCCTTAGCGTTATAAATGAATCATTTAATGTTAATTTATCAAAATAAGTAAAAATAAATTGAGAATCTTGTTTTATAATAGCCATCATGATTCCAATATAAAATGTACGGTTCTCGAAAAGAAATGAAATTCGCCGAATCACTTCAAAAAGAAGTATGTAAGGAACCTCTGTAAGACTATCGCAGTGTATATTTCCTTGAGAGTATCCCCTTTGATTATAATGCAGTCTCGTCTAAATTGATAAGCAAATGACTACGTTCAGAAAGAATGAGTCGAAAATACTAGATACATTTATTTATGTTTCCGAACTTTTCTTAATCGATCTTGAACAATTAAGTATTAAATATAATCTATACATTTTCCAATTCAATTCTATAGTTATTAAAATTATTTAGGGTATCTTTGTAATTTCAGGGGTCTGCTGTCCGCCGAGGAACTAAAACATATTGAAAATGCACTAGTGGTTGGCAAGTTTTCGGATCATGCGTATGGGGTAAGTGTTAAGATGGTGTAACGTGTACCGAGCGGATGTACAACGAATATAATTATAATAAATTTTTCTTTGGGCTACCTGCCGTTTGATTAGATACAACTGATTATGAAATTATCATATATCATAAACAATCAGCTTGAATTAACCCTCCAAAATACACTATTAAATTCTAAAAAGTCACAATATAGTAAATATCTTTACAATATTACACAATGAAATAATTCAAAAGCTATAGATATCACGCTGCAACCCGATAATTTCCTATAGTCCAGCAACTACCTCCCTATCTATGAAGCGAGGCTTCTATTAGATAGGAAGATAAGCTGCTGGTAGGGATTTACAACAAAGTTCCAACTATACAAAGCTTATTCGTTTTAAATCTACCTCTGGATTTTTAATACCTATATGTTACCATTCCCTGATAGCGAGGCTTTCAGAAAATGTGGAGATCTATAAGTACCCAGAGTCAAATACAATTTCACAACTAAACTAAAACGACACTATATCCATGAAGCTAGGCTTCAATTAGATAAACAAGGGTATTTAGTTTTTTTTGGCCAATTCTTCTTTTCTACCTATGAAGCTAGGCTTCAGTTAGGTTGACGAAATTATCCTCTATGTATGAAGCGAGGCTTCAGTTACATAGAATAACCTGACCGATGAATTCCTCTGCAGACTGAGTAATTTTGGCTCTGTCGCCGTATTTTTATACCTGCTGGGATGATCGCTCAAGCATGACTTATTTTCATTTGCTGATTAGAATGATCACTATCACTGAGACGATTATTATATTATATGATATAAAACGTTTATTGAAAATACGTATACCAAACGTATATTATAAAGTACCGTAAACTAAAATACATTGTCGCAATATAAACAATTAACATAATAGTAAAGTTACACTAAAATCATTTCAGCAAACGATAATCTTTAATAAAAACTAGCTTAGTTAAAACGTCAAAACGTTACACTACCCACGCCTCCGTTTTACATGCGCCCCGCATGAACATACAACATACTTTTTTAATGCCACCAACAATTTATGGCATGCACAACTTTCGAACTTTAGATTCCGTAACTTTATGTATTCTTCTACAGTGCTGTCTTATATAAGATTTCTTTTTAAATTTCATTCCACAAAAATGACACATCAAACGATTACAACCTATCGGACCTTTACATTTCAATTGTATCTTTTTACCATTGGCTGTCAACTGATTATTCGGAACATCTATTTACAATAGTACTTGCTGTCATAAAATCTAATCCTAATATTGCATCTTCTCTATGTCAGAAACTATAAAAGGATTCGTCGAAATTTCATTATTCAATTTAATATCTAAATGTGTCCTACCTTTTATTTCTAAAGGTTTTTCCAGAAGCAATTTACAATTTGTTTCAAACGGTTCTAAATTTTACTGGCAACTGACATCTATCTATAAAACTTGAAGAAATAATTGAAAGTGTTGCACCAGTATCAATTAAACAATTAACTTTGATGCCATTTATTGTAGCTTCAACAAATAACCCTGAACCTTTCTCTAATACATTTATTTTTCGTTTTGATTTCCTAATGAATTTTCGACAATTGTATTTATTATGACCTTCCTGACCACACTCATAACAATTCAAAGACTTTGTATTTGACCCATAAGCTAATGTTCTTGAAGACGTTTTACTATTCTGATTTCGCTGGGCAATATCTGCGTTTCCCTTATCACACATTTGAAAATTATTTTGGCGTCGAAACATTGATAACATATTCTACTTTTCCTCTACTAATGTTATCAGGCTATCTAACTTGTCATCTTCATTTTTCGGACTATAATGTTCGTCAGAATTTAATTTTCTCATATAACCACGAGTTTCATGGGATTTTTGTTCTGCTCTGTTGAAAGCCTCAAGTTCAACAGCGTGTCGTACTGCTTCATTCAAGCTAGTAGGGACCGAGCTTGTTTAATTCTAAGCCTCATTATCCGCGATTACAGTTGACCAAAGAATCTATAAATTGTTCTTTCGCTAAAGTTTCTTTCACATTTGATGGTGCTGAATGGTATGCTAAATTAGTCAAACGTCTTATGTCCTGTCCATTTCAGATAAAGATTCTGTAGCTTTTTTTGTCTTCTTTCTCTTAGTTGAGCTCTATATAATTCAGTTTTGATTGTGTGGTGAAAACCCTTTCTTCTAAAGCTAAATACAAGTTCATCCATAATTTGGTTGATTTGCTTGTCAGATTGCCAAAATACACCCTGAGTTGACCTCTTAATGAAACAGATAAATAAAGAACCTTTTTTCTTTGTTTGTCCATTTGATTTATTTTCTGAACATTGCTTTCAAAATGGCGCTTTATAATCTATCCATGAGCTAGTTCCATCATACGTAGTTGGCTTCATCATAACACTTCGTTTGAATTTGAGTTTTTAGGGTCACGTTTTATTTCTGTTGAATTTGAAGTATCCAATTGTATGTTGCTGTGTAAGGTCTCTGTTTTAATTGCTGGTTGTGATTTTCTCTTTCGAAAAGTAACAAATCGATCTCTCGGATAATTTAAATCAGAGCCACAAGGAGATTCCGTAAACCTTTGTTTTCAGCTAATGGGGTTAAGACACTTTCTATTTTAAAGGGCTTTTTATCTGGGGTCGGTGGTAATAAACGTCGCCTTCTTTTTGATAGAGGTGTTGCATATTGTCTTGTTAAAAATTTAGGTGTTGACGTTTGTTTGTCTTCATAGTTTGAGTCATATTGATTTTGAAAAGATAACTGCATACTGTCAATCTGTCTTTCAAGTATTGATATTTCATTTTGCAATTTCAAAGCTTCATTTTGGTGCTGTAATTCTCTAAGTTTTTCATGTAACATTGTAAGTTCACTATCATAACTATAATCTTTACTCTCAGCCATTTTTTTAACGAAAATTTATTTTAACGTGTGAGTCTAGTCAGTAGATAATGGTGTTCTTATCTATATTATCCCACCGCTGCCACCAATTTTTGTAACGTGTACCGAGCGGATGTACAACGAATATAATTATAATAAAATTTTTCTTTGGGCTACCTGCCGTTTGATTAGATACAACTGATTATGAAATTATCATATATCATAAACAATCAGCTTGAATTAACCCTCCAAAATACACTATTAAATTCTAAAAAGTCACAATATATAGTAAATATCTTTACAATATTACACAATGAAATAATTCAAAAGCTATAGATATCACGCTGCAACCCGATAATTTCCTATAGTCCAGCAACTACCTCCCTATCTATGAAGCGAGGCTTCTATTAGATAGGAAGATAAGCTGCTGGTAGGGATTTACAACAAAGTTCCAACTATACAAAGCTTATTCGTTTTAAATCTACCTCTGGATTTTTAATACCTATATGTTACCATTCCCTGATAGCGAGGCTTTCAGAAAATGTGGAGATCTATAAGTACCCAGAGTCAAATACAATTTCACAACTAAACTAAAACGACACTATATCCATGAAGCTAGGCTTCAATTGGATAAACAAGGGTATTTAGTTTTTTTGGCCAATTCTTCTTTTCTACATATGAAGCTAGGCTTCAGTTAGGTTGACGAAATTATCCTCTATGTATGAAGCGAGGCTTCAGTTACATAGAATAACCTGACCCGATGAATTCCTCTGCAGACTGAGTAATTTTGGCTCTGTCGCCGTATTTATACCTGCTGGGATGATCGCTCAAGCATGACTTATTTTCATTTGCTGATTAGAATGATCACTATCACTGAGACGATTATTATATTATATGATATAAAACGTTTATTGAAAATACGTATACCAAACGTATATTATAAAGTACCGTAAACAAAAATACATTGTCGCAATATAAACAATTAACATAATAGTAAAGTTACACTAAAATCATTTCAGCAAACGATAATCTTTAATAAAAACTAACTTAGTTAAAACGTCAAAACGTTACAATGGTATTTTTATCACAATTAAAAAAGCTATGAATTCTGTATCAAATATTAACATAATATAACTAACTAACTATAGGCTTCATGAGTAGCCATAATTATTACAAAGATTTTGTGTAAATTATTGCCAACAGGTGAAATAATTTATTTAAAGTCATTTACAAATATATACATGTATGTTTGTTAATTAGATTACTTTGTCAAATGTCTCTAGTTTTATGTTTCTCCTTATCATTTAAGCGCGTATGAATATAAGTTTATATGAACTATATACATGTACACCACTTTGTAAAAGTATGCAGTAATTGCATGTTTCCTCCTCAAAAGGAAGTCTGCTGCATAACACATTCGTTATTAAGATTCTATAGACAGGTTATATAGTCGTATATTATATGGTCTACAGGCCCGGGTAATATATTTACAAACAGCCGTATTATATGGTCTACAGGCCATATAACCTGTAAAATACCTTTATAGATCGTATCATAATTCTGTACGGGCTTTGGTTATATAAAAACAACCATTTTAAATAGTCATATATAACCTGCCAAATATCTTTATAACTAATATTATATATGTGGATTGAAATAATGCAATGTGTGCTTGAACTACTCTGTCTAAGCGATAATCGTTCAGTAATGTGATAATCCAATGTTCTACGTGCACTAAACGAGATTACAAACGACTTTTTGGCTTCGTTATCAATTCAAATGAGGAAATATACGAAGCTGAAATATTTTCAATCTTTATACAGGTACCTGACGGTGATGGTAGAGAAGCTCACATGATTCTATGGAATCACCCAGGTGTGGACGTGACAGGAATGGTTGGTAGATGTGAGAAGGTCGTTGGCACATGCGAACAGGTTGGTCACTAATAGAGTAACAGCATTCTTTACAATAAAGATTTCATTGGGAGTAACCCTTTATCTGCTGTATGTGTTCAAAGAATTTGTCAAACTTCCATTTTTGTAACTGTGCATTTTCAAATTTTGGGATATTAAGATGAAAATTTAAAATTAGACAGCCAATAATAATTAAAGGGCGTGGTCTGGTCGGGCTGTACAACATTTAATGTCTCTATACTGGTGGCAAAGGTTCATCCCTTTCGATTCCAGTAAGGTAACCGTAATGTTTTCATGTTTTGCTTGACTGTAAAAATAAAAATTTCACTATACAATTTTATTTATGATTTTTATATTTTTATATCAAAAGCCCTTTTATTTTTGAAGATAGATCATGTATATGTTTTTGTTCAAATTAGTTAACAGAATCATACCATAAAAATATTTAGTTGCACAAATATATGTGTTCCATATTTTTACCATCAGGTCAAATAGTTACAAAATATTTATGTAATATACCAATCTTAAAGCTTTTAGACGGAGAAGTTTACCACTATCATACCAAACTGATGGCAAAGCCTGCAAAGATTGGTGGGAAACACGTGTGGCATCAGGACTATGGGTAATGAATATACATTTTTTTGTTGTGATTTTATTTGTTTCGTTTTGTAAATAAAAAATACAATATACAATTTATAGGAAGAATGAATAAACATATATGACATATTTTGTAACAAAATATGAAATAAGACCAATAGTATGGTAAAACCGGTATTTTTAAAGGCTTACAGTCAATTTAAGTCACAAAAAAACAAAAACATAAACAACAAAAAAACACACACACACAAAAAACTATAGAATAATAGAAGAGAATATATTAAGAATCAAAATTTCTTGATAATAAAAACAAAATTATGTATAATTATACATTATATACTTGTGAGTTCTACCAATAAGTAAATAAAATCTATGTTAACCGTTACACAGATATATATAACCATCAATTGTTATTATATTTCAGGTATTGGTATCAGAATGGAAATCTATTCCCAAATATGATGACAGTATTTATGGCCGTGGACAAATGTACAAAGGAAAATGGTTGTCTACAGGTACTATTGTATTACATACCGGTACTGTAAAATCACATTATTTCCTTAGATTGGTATAGGTCGTTGACTTCAAACCTGTCACCTTTGTTGGTAAGAATCCCGACAGGGACTTTTGATTCTTTCCGGCTAGATAACGGAACACCGGTGGTTCTTCTCAGGTGCACGTTCATGCCTGAAATAATGTACGGAAGGGCACCTAAGGTCTCCCTCCGCCAGTAAAGCTGGAACGTTGCCATGTCGGTGTGACTTAAAACACAATCAATCAATCAATCACACAAACAAACAAACAAGGCATGCTGCTACCTGAAAATATTCATAATATTTTTACGTATCTGACAAATGCAACAAATTATTCATTGTAGGTATTTTTTTGTCTTTAAAATATGAGAATGCAGCAAGGCAGCAAAACAAATGACATGAAAGCGTATGTCAATATTGCATTAACACGCTTCCGTAGCATTTAAAACAAATAATGGCCACAACGAAGACATATGTATTTTAATTGCTGTCTTGTAAATGATTCCCGTTGACTGATGATACAGAATATAAAATGAATATCTTCAGAGTATGGAAGCCGTAGAGGGACACTTTCGAGGTTTTGATTTATATGGATTTATTGTATTGAAAGTGGCCCTCCACGTCTTTCATATATAATATGTACCATAAGAACTACCTTAAAAGTTTGATAACAATGGCGTAATTTTGGGGGGAAAAAAAAAACAAAAAAAAACTCTGAAAACCTTCTTGCCATAATATATATTTTTTCTTGATAAATGTCCTTTAGAGTTTGTTTATGAACAGATATTAAGAGGTTTGTTTATGAACAGATATTAAGAGGTTTGTTTATGAACAGATATTAAGAGGTTTGTTTATGAACAGATATTAAGAGGTTTGTTTATGAACAGATATTAAGAGGTTCCAATAAATGTGGGAGAATAGAGCACGTGCAAGTTTCAGGACAAGTGGGTGCGGATATGGAGCGAGTTGATGAGCTAGCTAAAGTTTTACCACTAGAGTATGTGGAGTTGGAACCAGGTAAGTTAAAGGAGAATGTACCATTCAAAAGCAATAAATGTTGAACGTCAGTGTCTTTGTTCATGTTCCGCTAAACATTTATGATAAGCTCTTGAAAATTGCACGATTTAGGGTTGGATTTTTTTTCAAAATCAAATAAGCTTCAATTGAAAAGACCTGCTAAGGGTCAATCAATAACAAAAGGGCCATGATGGTCCTTATATCGCTCACCTGATTATTATGGTTCTTATTTAATATTAATAGCAATGAATCAAAAGCAGATCTTAAACAAATATTATAACGTTCATATCTGCACCTGAAATAGTGCAAATCGAGGGTTTGTTGCGAAACAGCTGTTACTCATATTACATAATCAAGAAGTTACGTCCGTTCCGCACCGATCCATCGAAATGTAAACAAGGTTTTCTCGCATGTGACTGTCACCTAGTTTTTTGATCCCAGATTACACATATCCTCACTTGACCTGGAAATAATTTAAACAACATTGCTGACAAATTTCCAAGATGTTTGAACTGAAAATATTTTTTATATAGTGTTAACAAGGTTGTTCCATATTTGGGCTTTGTAACCTTGTTCTTGACCCCAGATGACCAAAATTCTAACTTGACCTTGAAATCATCTACACAACCTTTCTGATCAATTTCCAGGATATTTAGACCATAACATGGTCTCTAGAATGTTAACAAGGTTTTCCTAGGTGACCTAGTTTTTCATCCGAGGTGACCCTCGTTCGAGCAATTACTTGGACAAACATCCTGACCAAGTTTGGTGACAATTGAGGCAAAAATGTGACCACTAGAGTGTTAACGAACTAAATGAGGACGGACGACGGACATTGAATGATCCTAAAAGCTCACCCTGAGCCAGCTCAGGTGGTGTAAAAAGATTGTCAGTTGTTTTCCTTACCATAGGGACCGATCTTGATACAGTCAGAGGCTTAAGATATATAGACTTTAAATATAGCTCTGTGATGGACCAAAATATGCATAGGTTAAAACGATTTCTCGATTTCTGGTATGAGGGATAGGATTCAATTTCAGAAAAAAAAAGAATCTGTTTTGCTTAAGAAACAAGAACATCCAGGGATCACACGTGTCGCCTGGTTGTATTGTGGGGTGATTGACCAGTTTTTTTTCCCCTATATGTCGAATGTTGCAACTCAAGAGAAGTCAGTTTCAGGCCAAAACGTATTTTTATTCAAGGGCCATAACTCTGCCAAAAATCAATCAACTGGAAAACCCGTTAATTATGGGCAAGTGCTTGAGGTATCCATCAATCCTGTGAAGTTTCACTAAATTGCATAAGTAGTATAAGTGGAGTGGTCCAAACAAAACTTACAACACATAATTAAAGGGCCATAACTCTGACAAAAATCATGTAATGGAAAATGCCGACAATATGCACAACTATACGTGGTATTGATCATTCCTGTAAAGTTTAGATAAAATTGCACCAGTCGTTTTTTTAGGAGTCCGGACAAGTTTTGAGACGGACAGACAGACGCCTATATGCCGCGTATACTATGTAGCAAGTGACATAAATACCAATAATAAAACATGAAATGAGCCGCTTCAGGACAAAACCAACATAGGGGTTTGCGCCAAGCATGGATCCAGACCAGCCTGCGCATCCGCGCAGTCTGATCAGGATCCATGTTGTTCGCTATCAGTTTCTCTACCTGTAATAGAGTTGGTAAGCGAACAGCATGGATCCTGATCAGACTGCGCAGGCTGGTCTGGATCCATGCTGGTCGCAAACGCACTATGTTGGTTTTGTCGTGACACGGCTCAAATGATGTTTGCCGAATGTGTTGTCTGCTTGCTCTTTTAGTTTGTTGTTTGTTTTTCTTCAGGTGACGCCTTATTCTTCCACTGCAATCTACTCCACTGCAGTGCTCCTAACCTTAGTGCCAACAGACGCTGGGCATTTCTTTGTGCATACAACAGAGCGGACAATAATCCGATAAAGGAACACCATCATCCAAGATTCACACCATTAAAGAAGGTTAAAGCCCCAGCCCATCAAAAAATAAAATAAAATAAATAAATAATGTGACGTTTCTGAATTTTTTTTTGTATTCAACGAATTCAATAAATTTAGTATTGAAGCTATACGAATATGATATTCTATTTATCAAATAGTCTAACTAAGAACAGTTTACACTGAAAGTGGATAATTTTCTTTATTAACACGCTTAAACTGTGACGTTAAGATTTTACATGGGTTTACGTTTCGTTTCTGCAACGCATAATTATGACGTCACGTCAAAATACACACATGGTGTGCAATATGTATGGCAGTTTTTTTACGGAGTCGGGTATTTGATTAACTATCTATGTTTATTTTATCATTAGTAATACTTTATTTTTCAGGTTCCTAATTCAGCTATTTTAGAATGTCAAGATTTTACGACCATGGACGGAAAATGGTTTATTGACCCGGATATTGAGAAACGTCCAGGCCGTAAACTTGCTCACAAACAATAAAGATGATGATGTTTAAATGACTTATGGCTGTGGCTTACTGAAGAAGATAACGCCGAAATATGAACAATGTTTTTTTTTGGCTTCACACAACATCTATCATTTAAAATAGAAAAAAGTTGAGATATGCATATCCGGACGCGTGAAAAATATATTTGTTCCAAAAATATATCACAATTAATGAATTTCCAAATTCTATACACACTGAGTGTACATCTGTAATTTATTTAACGCAAGAAGTATTTGTTGCAATATTTAACAAAAGACGTTGTAAAATGTGTCCTAATAAAATTGATTCTTCCTGAAATAATAGTGATTACGTTTCAAGTTGTTTGAAACATCTTATAAGAAAGGAGTTATCTTGTTTGTTACAAAATCAAGTTGTTTGAAACATCTTATAAGAAAGGAGTTATCTTGTTTGTTACAAAAGTACACTCACGGTGTTAGTACATGTATATTAAAGAAAGAGACGCGCGGGGTAACGCCAATTCCCCGTGCGGCTTTGGGAACATACTGGCTATAAATGGGGAACCAACTAGTTTTCCAATGAGTGCTTTCGAAACGAAATTGGCCCATTTAGAATTGTTTGCTGGAAAGTCAAGTTGATATTTGTATCCACTACACATGCCTACCAACATTCCTGTTAACTTTAATGACTCTAGGTCAAATACTTTTTTAGTTACACAAGACACAACTAAGTCAAGGGCAATAACTTTAACAAAACTGAATAAATCCAGAAGCGAACCCCTTGTGAACAACTTCACATGCTGATCAACATTCCTGTAAAGTTTGTTGATTCTAGCTCAAGCACTTTTTGAGCTACATGTGACACACAAGAAGGCACGGACAGACAGACAAGGGCAAATTCTGAATTCCACCCCAAGAGTGGGGCATAAAATGGCAAAAATAATAAAACATACATTTTTTTTCTATTTTATTGTTGTAACATTTACATCAGTGTACAGTGCATACTTTTTTCTGTAAGTTCGAAAACCAAATTTCTGAACAATTGAATGCTTTAAATTTGAGCATTGTTTGCAAGATTTCCTTTAAGGTGTACGCTGCAGTTGATATAAACAGAATGAAAAGAAACACACCAAATCTTAGAGTCTTTTAAAATCTAAATACTTCATTTCTTTAAAGTGGATTGGTTTACAATGGCCACATTTTCTGTAAGTATTTTAAATATTAATCATAACAATAGAAATGATTTAGTATGAACATTTATAAGAATAATAATATTTTTTATTTTCTGCTATAATTATATAATTATTTAAAGTATTGCAGTCCTTCCTTTATGGAACAATAAACATTCTGTATGGAAGCTGTCAAACCTGTATAAAAGACCACCTTCAAAATCAAGATCATCCTGTGCATAAAGACCGCTCTTTGACGAACCTTTCTTGACTACATAGAAAAATCATCAATAATTTTACCTCCAGATAAAGACCACTTATCTATAAAGACCTTTTCAGCCTCTTCTTTGGATGGTTATTTTACCTCCAATTAAAAACAAACCACTTTTCTATAAAGACCATGTTCAGCCTCTTGTTTGGATGGCCTTTTATCACAGGTTTGACTGAAGTATTAATTTTGCAACCAAAAATGCTGATATAATTGACTAACTGGAAATACCTATGGTATAAACAATTTTATTATACTGCCATTGTAACAGTTGCAAACTGGGTAACAGTGACCTTGACCTTTGATGGAGGGATTCCAAAACAGATCATGCACATAACTGTATAACCTTCACACATAGTTTAAAATGATCTAGGGGCCAAAGCATACTGGAGCTTTTGATTGGAAACACTGTAATGACATTGACAGTGACCTTTGACTTTGACTTAAGTGACCTTTAAAGCTACATGCCTCCAGATGAGTCAAAATATTTCAATAAAATCAAACTTGAGAAAAATGTACTAAGATGTAAGGAAAGTAAAAAGTTTCAAGATTCGAATAATATTTTACATATTATGTGCGGTTAATGACTGATTTTTCAGTATTTTGCAACTATATTTCTACTGTTTTACTATTGCAGTTAATGCCATTTATGCATATTTTGACCACTTTTTGATGATTTATGTGGTTGGTCAGTGCCATTGATAATGTGTAAATTGCTTCCTTTTGATTAATTCACATTATTACACATTCAAATACATTTTCAAAATTTTCATGAGAATAAGCATAAATCTGGAAGCGTGCTGGTTTAAAGCAACAGTAACAATCTGTTGCTAATGAACCAGGTGATCAAGTCTCTATGACAAATTCATTGGAACATTTCCTGAACAGACTGACCCACAAATTGCCTTAGATGTTTGACTTTTATGCCATTTTAAACACATTTTTGGTCATATTTTGCCTGTCCATGCTCTAGGCCTACATGATTTCCTGGATAACTAACCAGTAAGTACCAACTTCTCAGCATGTGACTGACTACTCATGCCACAAGATTTCTGAATCAGTAATGAGGGGCAAATGACCACTAGACTCCATGTTCAAAGCAATATGCGTCAACTTGAAAGGAGCGTTATCAAGAAATTCAATGCAAATTAAAAAAAAATGTCATAAATTTCTGGCTCAAACATTTCCTTAACTACAGTCCCAGCACCACAGCCAAAGCTAAGGCAAGCCTGATATATTTTCAATTCATTTCGAACCTGCGTAGGAAAGTCAGCATGGAAAGAAGTATTCTTCATGTGTTCTGTTATTCCAGTACATGTAAAACCAAAATTGATTGCAAGCCAAAGTGCTATAACAGATGATGTAATAATGTGACCACCTGGCGTCCACAATTTTATCACATTACTTTCCAGTAAAATATCATGTTCACTGTCATACAGGAAAAGAACAATATGTGATTTAGCAATACCGATGCTTGGAATCAGGAAATGTTCATAGGCCGGCCTTTCTTTTTTCAGCAGGAAGGAATACACAATTGACTGTGCGATCAACTGATCTCGGTGTTTTGCCGGAAATTCTGCCGACGGCTTTATTTCAAAAGATGACTTATTTCCTTCATATAAATCATCATCATCATCATCATCATCTACAGCTGTTACAGGTACTTCAGAGCCCAAAATAATGTCTACATTTCCATGCCAGACAGAAGTGCAACCTGTTTTTATAAAAATAAATACAATTGTAATAACTAATACTTAGAGTGGCATTATTCTGTGGCATTATTCTGAAAGTGAGCAGTAAAGAAGTCAGCAAACTTCACTATTCTAATGGTACAGTTGAATTTCAGAGAAACCTTGAAGCAATGTCCAGATCATGCTTAATTTTTTTTATATGAAAGTTTCTGCAAAAAGACAATGAATTATATATATGGAACATAACATATACATTGGGTAGTGCCAGTGCTATCTACACACATATGATAATTACTCTGACAGGTAAAAATCCCTAGTGAGCCACTACATACACTTTACATATCATGTGTGCCTTAAACTACCGCATGTGTGTATAGAATAAATAAAGTTACAAACTGATACACATTTCTGTATTGAATGAGTCTGAGTGTGCCCAGGCCCTGAAATGCTTGACAGAACACTGTAAGGGATACATACTTACCAATACTTGTGTCTCCAAATTTTACCGTGATAGCCTCCTTACAACATGTACATATGCTGGATCTACCAGAGTAGCGGTTGTTAACAACAAATGCTTGATTAACTGCTAAATTTCTCAGTAGATGTTCAGAAAGACTTATTGTCCAGTCAAAGTTTTTGGCAGACTGGGCTTTTTTCAAGGTTTCTTCAATTGCTGAAAATAAAGAAAGAAATCTTGAAGTTGATACATGTACCAAATAAATCCAATTATTGGAACAATAAGATTGACACCCTTTAAAAGAATAGAACTTTACATAATAATATGTATCATAGTAGCCTACTCTTTGTTTTTTCTGTATTTAAATGTCAATTTTAAAGGTGCATACCTCCAGATGGACTTCTGTATTCCAAGCAAAAACGTCATAATATGAACACATTAACCCATCGTTTAAATGCTCGTCTGAAATTCTTAACCACAGGCGCTAGTCACATAATCAAATATTTTTCATAATCTGCCTATATATGTATATAAAGATATCTTTATATACATATATAGGCCGATTATAACTAGAACTGCCACTATCATGGCGTGAATACCCCCGCATACCACTTTGTCAAATCAACAGTGGCCATTTAGAGCTCAAGGACAACCTCCCTGCAAAATCTGAGGTTACCTAGCCAGTGCATTGCTAAGTTATGTATTCTACATGCTTCAAATGTGAATATGTCAAAATCAATACATTGTTGACAGGACATTCTTCAGTAATTGAGAAGAAAAGATTTTTTGGGTCAAAGTCACTGTGACCTTGACCTTTGACCCAGTGACCTCAAAATCAATAGGGGTCACCTTATAGTCATGATCAACATCCATGCCAAATATGAAGACTGTGGGTCAAAGGAATCTAAAGTTATTGGGCGGACAAGCTTTTTGAAGTCAAGGCCCCTGTGACCTTGACCTTTGACCTGAAAATCAATAGGGGTCATCTACTAATCATGACTAACCTTAATGCCAAATATGAAGACTGTAGGTCAAAGGAATCTTAAGTTATTGGGCGGACAAGCTTTTTGAAGTCAAGGCCCCTGTGACCTTGACCTTTGACCTAGTAACCTCAAAATCAATAGGGGTCATCTACTAATCATGACTAACCTCTATGCCAAATATGTAGACTGTAGGTCAAAGGAATCTTAAGTTATTGGGCGGACAAGCTTTTAGAAGTCAAGGCCCCTGTGACCTTGACCTTTGACCTGGTGACCTCAAAATCAATAGGGGTCATCTACTAATGATGACTTACCTCCATGCCAAATATGAAGACTGTAGGTCAAAGGAATCTTAAGTTATTGGGTGGACAAGCTTTTTGAAGTCAAGGCCCCTGTGACCTTGACCTTTGACTTAGTGATCTCAAAATCAAAAGGGGTCATCTTCTTATCATGACAAACCTCCATACCAAATATGAAGACTAAGGGTCAAAGGAATCTTAAGTTATTGGGCGGACAAGAAAAAACCGACGGACAGCCGGACGGACGGACAAGCTGATTCCAGTATACCCCCCTTTCAACTTTGTTGTGCGGGGGTATAAAAAAATATTTGATTATGTGACTAGCGCCTGTGGGCCATACAGGCCCATATTGCTAGCGATAAGTTCTAACCATATGTGAGTCATGCCGTATCACTAGCTTTTACGCACTATTGAAGCTAACCGTGTGTCATTTTTAAAATAACCTCAGACAATAATGAATATATAATGCAAACCTGTGTCTATCAATCTATCAACCAGACAGCTATGAGATACAAGGGAATCCGGGAACCAGTCCCTAGCGGCCGCACAAAATACCCAAATTTACCCAACAGCGATTTTTTTCACTAATATAGCAATATTTATTTTTGTTCGTATAAAATATAGATTACAGTGTTCCCATTTACGCATATATGTGTCATAAAGAATCTGTATAGTAAATAAGCAAATGTCACAACTTTAAAAATTTATGTACCCCCTGAATTTTTATTTTACCCCCAGTTTTCAAAGGTAAGGGGTAAAAATACCCCCAATGAAAAATAGAAGTGGAAATGGGCAATATTTGGGTAGGCCCCTATATTTAGGCAATATTTGGGTATTTTTGGGTGTATTTGGATATTTCGTGCTGCCCGTCCCTAGATCTTATTGAATAGACCCCTTGGTTCTTTTACATGCATGCCTGAGTGTTACATAATAGCAATGAAACATGCACGGAATAACAGTACAACTCTGGGTAGGTGAGAAGGTAATGTAACGATTCGCCACATTAACGATTCGACACATAATGATTCGCCACAGAGAAATAACGTTTGGTCAAAGTTAAGTAACGATTCACCACATGTTGAAAATAGAATCTTTTTCACTCCTGATATTAAACTGTCTATGAAACCTTCTTTCATTCGTAAATTACATAAATTAATGCTGAAAGTTATACTAAAAACAACTTTTATTGAATAAACACTCAGTAAAACAAACATGTTTCATTACCAAAATTACATAACACAGTGATTTG